AAAGTACGGCAGGGATGTAAGGTACAGTAAATTATTTAAATGATGTTTTAATTACAGGGATAAATAAATGATGCTGAACATTTAAAAAATTTGGAAAAAGTTTTTAAAAGGTTATCTAAAGCTGGGTTTAGACTAAACTTTTCACTATTTTATATGATATCTAGGTCATAAAATATCTGCAGATGGGTTAGAAACTGATATAAAAAAGTTATTTTAAAAATCCGTGAACCTAAAAATAAATAGAGAAATACGTGCTTTTGTTGGTATGATGAATTACTAATTACTATTCAAAATTTCAACCACCCCTTCATTTTCTAACGTACTATAAGATTACTCGAAATCAAATCCGTTTTTTTTCTACTCTTTATATCCCAATCTGAAAAATATCTGAGTGCAAACGATTTTTATGTTGTTTTTTTTTTATTTTTTTCTTTTGCCCGAATACAAACGGCACGATGTTATGCTAGTAGTTAAGTGTTCATAATTTCGTTTTATTATAAAGTTCCCCCGCTTTTATAGGGTTGGAAAATCAATACTGGCGTATCGGGTACCATCGCGTTACAGGTGGTCTGCAAAATTTTCGGAGCTAAAAAAGATTTTCGTGCCGGTGTGCCGTGCTTCTAGATTCGGGTTTCTGTTGCCTGCGAACTGGATTTTAAAAGAGGAAGAGGATCATAATCATTCCCGTATTATACGGCAAAAGTAAAGTTCACGAAACGCGGTTTACAAAATTGATTTTTCTTTTAAAGGACAGTTTGGACTAAGGGCAGGGACCGGTAAAAATACAAAGATTGCGTAAAAACTACAAAACCTTTAAGTTGACTACGTCAATTTTATAGGATAATTTTTTTATGTAGTTTTAATAAAATAAACACATTTTTCTCCAACCACAACGCAATCAACGGGGTTAGTGTAGCCTGGATCGATACCGAACAACTCAAATCTTTTTTGAAACTACAAAACTGTATAATATAGAAGTCCGATATCTCAGAAAATAATTAAGATATTTTAAATCGAATGCAAATATATTTAGAGGACTATATACAGGGTGTTCCGTAATGATTGTCTAATATTTTAACAGGGTATATTCTACCAATGATTTAAGAAGCGGTTTTCTTATAAAATTTTGCAATTTGGGTCCTCTCTGTCGAATATTTAAGTCTCAAAATATCGAAACAATTACGTTGTTTTTAATTATGTTTAATAATTATGTTTGTACCACATTCTGACTGAGTGGGATTTAATCAAGTACTGCACCACTACATTCACTGAAAATTTCAGTTTTCTAAAACCCCGGCGTCATAGGTTTAAACGCACCCCTAAATATGTATTATTTTTTTACGAGAAAATTATGCGTTGTGCCATATTCTGATTATTTGGGATTTAATCTGCTACTTGACAACTACTTTTCCTAAAAATAGCAGTATTCTAAAACCCCGGCGTCATGGGTTAAAAAGCACCCCTAAAAGATTATTATTTTTTTTATGAGGAAACGGCGATTTGTGCCACATTCTGACTAAGTGGGATTTAATCAGGTACTTCACGACTACATTTAGTGAAAATTTCTGTTTTCTAAAACCCCGGTGTCATAGGTTTAAACGCACCCCTAAATATGTATTTTTAACAACCATACGAATTTGGTATGCGACAATTTTCATGCGAGATTCGAGAATTCTACCCCTGGAATCAACGATTCTGTTTGAACCAAAACAAACCCTATATTGTCGAAAAATATGTCCGAAGTCGAAGAAAACTCAAATACAGACCAATATTTGTTAAAACTGGACCACTAACAACTGCAAAATACCCGAAAATTCATTGTCCACTAGACTCGCTAAGTTTAGCATTTCATAGGGACTCCTAAAAGTTTTTCACAAAATCTATTACAGTAGTTATTGTCCATAAGTTATTCTAGAGAGAATATATAATTCATATGGTCACGTGACGCTGTATTAGTTCAATCGAGTTTCGTTATTAAGTGACAATACCACGGTGTTATTATCGCTCCAGGGAGAGGTACATGGGGGCCATGCCATGCTAATTAAAAATGTACTGTAATTTTAACCCCTTGCACAAGGTAGCTACCCCCTTGAAATCCTTAAATAGCAATAAGGATCAACTCATAGCTTATTTGAAATGGTTTTTAATTCTCAATTCAACAATTTAAATGATTTTCAAACTTTCTTTATCAGTTATTGACTTTTAAAAACCCTTTCAATTGAGCTATCAGTCGACCAATTTCCTCATTTAAAATTTTTGAGTGTAGCCAAGGCATTTTCGAAATTAACGTATTTTTTTTATTATAAAAATATGCTTCATCAGAAAGAAAAATCGACCTGTCTGACCATTTTCTCGAATATTTTACCTGAGGGAGAAAAAAAGTTCGGAAATTACCTAAAAAATGTTTTTGTGATTTCGGTGATTTCGCTGAAAATTCACCTTATACGATGGCCTTTTTTTTTACTATTCCCTTGTCTTTTGATCCACAAGCTGCTGAATTTACGTTTTTGAGTGACAAATTAATGATGATTTCGGAATTTTTGTAGTGATTTCGGTGATTTCGATTGAAAACTTACCAGTATTTCGAGGGTGGTTAACCGCTCGATTTTACCGTACAGAAGTTAGAAGGGGGGAGATAACGCTTTACGTTGGTACTGTATAAATGTTTTTAAAGTCAGCTAATAAAGATTTGCTTAGATTTGTTTTCTGACATGTTTGTGTAATATCAAAAAATTGTCGATAAAAATGGTATTACTTATATATTACTTTTGATAATATGAAAAAAATTACATTTTTATTTTAAGCTTGACTCTAGAAATATTAAAAAAAAATGCAGCCGAATTGCATATCTAATTTGTTCTGTAAATATACAGTGTGTCCCCGGATAGGTGAAACGACTCTTGGAAAATGTAAAAAATTCTCGAATTAAATTTTCATTTTTTGGGCTTCAGCCTTCAACCCTAAAAACTAATTTTCACTAGTAATACCACTAGAGGTCAAAAAATTTCCTGATATTAATTTGACCTCGCGTGGTATTCGGTAAGAAAATTCCACGCCGAATTATGGTTGAAAATTAAATATTTTTAAAATTTATTTTTCGTTTCTCAACAATGCAAATTATTTTCTCCAAGTCACCAGTGAAACATAAAAGGTGTTGTCGCCTTGATTGTTGAGTTGTCATGGTAACTAAGTGAGACCCTAACCTCGAATATAATTTCAGTTTTGAAGTTGTCAAGCGGCCCGACGTAAAAAAATGTTTCGCTGCAATTATTTAGGCCTTCAAATTGCTTATTTCTACTCATTGTAGTTGCATGGGAATACCATTTGAAAATAGAAAATAGTATATTCTTTAATTTTACGTAAGTTTTGAATAACTACAAGTGGTAGAAAATTGTTTTTCTGCGTTTTTATTAACATGCGTTATGAGCGCTTTAAAATGGTATGAAATTCATAACCAGCGTCAGCAAGCATCAATCGTAGGAGGCTGTGATCATTGTATTTTGACAGTTCAAAACATTAAATAACTCGCGTTTTGTTGCGATAAAGAATATTGCACAGCAAGTAAAACCAACAAAATTACCTATTTGTTTAAAAATGAATCGATTTGAAAATCATACGCTATGCAAAATATGCGTGAAATTGTCTAATGTAATGATCAATCATTGCACCATGACTTACTTACTCGGATTAATAGAGGATTGTGGCTCCAACTTGAAAAACGAAAATTTGTTCCGAATTGTCCACGAATATTTGCACCTAAACTACGCAAAATTCAAAGTGCTGAATGGGAAAAAGGTGAATAAATTAGTGTCTAAATATTATATATATTTTATTAGACATAGACACATAATTCAAAGCATCCAAAGTCCTGCATTTTCGCCCTTAAGAAGAAAAGAAGTGGCCCAAGAATATAGAAAACACCTTAGCATTGTAACTAAAATGTATCAAAACTAAACCTATTATGTGAACAAATAAAAACCAGTCTGTCAAAAATGGTCTGTTATTGTAAACGTCAAAAAATTTCCAGTATAATTCGCTGTTGGGTACCCCACGAGAAAAAATTTTCCACTAAAATACCTCCGTTGCCATGGTGATCTGTCAAAAACACGTATTTTGATTGGTTCAAAATTACAGGTGTGGAATTTTCAATATAATTTCAGTTTTGAGAAATCAAAGATGTCTTGGAAATTTTCAGAAAACCTATTTTTCTCCAGCGTAAAGTACCTTTTATGTTGTAGATATGTCCAAAGTTATTAAGAAAAGTTGTTCAGAATTACCATCTAGGTCCATATAACAAAATTTGAAAATGTCAAAATCCTCGGCCAACTTTGATTTTTCATATTGACAAAATAAATGAGAAATCATAATTGGCCGAGGATTTTCAAATTTGGTATATGAACTTCGATGCCGATTCCAAACAACTTTTCTTAATAGCTTTTGGTCATATATGCAACATAAAAAGCACTTTACTAAGGAGATAATTAGATTTTTTGAAAATTTCCAAGACATCCTTGATTTCTCAAAACTGAAATTATGTTGAAAATTAATCTTCAACCAAAAAATTAAATCGAGAATTTTGTAGCCTTTTCAAGAGTCGTTTCACCTATCCGGGGACACACTGTAAAAAATTAATAGACACACCTTTAATATTTAAATAAGTTTACGTTAAAACATTTGTGACATTTCAAAAAATTGTCGATAATAATCGTATTTTACCACTTGTTATATTACCCTTGATAATATGGAAAAATATTCCCATATTTTTATTTTAAACATTTAAATATTAGAAAAAAACTACCGCCGAATTGGATAATTTGCTTTGGAAATATAAAACAAAAATAAATAAGACATCTTGAATGTAACGTTTAAATTAATTAATACGTTAAAACCCCCAAATCAAATCAGTTCAAAAAATACGCTTTATAAGAAATAATTCTAAAAAGTTAAGTTCCCTACCTTAATTTACTGTTTTTGTTTTTTCTTAAAAACGATAAAATCTATTAATCGTCGTCTTCTTCGTCGTTAAAGGAAAGTAACGTTTTGTTCTTTATCTTCTTAGAATCGTTTTTGGACGATTTTTTCTTTGGAATATCTTCGGTTTCTTGTTTTTTTGGTGCTTTGAATACTATGGGGGCATCCAAATCGGCCGGAGCTTCTTCTATTTCTGTATGAATTTTTTTAATTTACTCCAAAATAGTACGTATTTTTTGCAGTAATTATTCACATGAAGATTAGTCATATTATGTTAGTAACATTTAATAAAAACTACTCTCAAAAAATGTAATGCCTATTTTATCATTAATGTCCTTTATACTGACTAATAAAAAATGATAACCAAAAATATGGAATTTGAGATTTAATGTTTTAATATCATGGTAAAATTGCCATTTTTGTGGGAAAATAAAGAAATTTGTGAAATATAAAGTTTTGTTTTTTGTTTTATCATTTTTAATTTATTCATTGTTATTTATGTAATTTTTTTTTTCTTCAATATGAAAGAAATTAACTGCAAATACTGTAATCGACATACAGATGAAAATTAATAATTAATAATTGATTTCGAATGAATGAATGAAAGGTATAAAAAAGTCTTAGAATGTCAGACTTCTCATTAAAATTTTTCCTTTTACCTGGATATGTTTTTGTTTAAAGTAGTACCTAACTTGTTATTTTGATTAACATTTATTCCATAAATGAGGACGCGTCCTATCAATTACTCCTGTTCAATAATTCGGGACACACTGTACATAAAAGTAAAAATAATGTAAGGACGGCACCTAGAGACAGAAATAAATTTGAAATGAAGGTAGATCTCTATCAAGGTTTAATCTTGAACCCATTCCTGTTATATACCTATGGTATTAAAGTAAATAAAAGGATACATACAGGGGGAAGAGAAATCCTGGAAACTACATGAAATGAATCCAGATAATGTAATGATGGATGTTCAGTAATTCAGTAGAAGACTTAAACAACAGGTTAGATCAGTGGAACGAGAAGTTGAAGGCACATGGTAAAGTGTTTGGAATTTGGATCAGTTTTCAAAAACGAAGAAATATAAAAAAATTGAATAAATTTGCTAGAATATAAGTACTGTATAGAAAATAAAGTTACGTATATAATAATTCAAAGGAAATTAAAACAGGCGTGTAAAACACGCTGTCCTTTAATAGTAAACTCAAAAGGATTGTATTTTGAAAAATTCTGCGTAATCAAAAATATTCATAGATAAATAATTTAAAATCAGAAAAAAAAATAGAATTTTTAATAAAAAAATAAAATAAATTTACAGGAGAAAATTGAGGGATTTATAAAAATTAATTTTATTCCAAATTGGAGGTGCAAAAAAAATTCAAAAAAACCCGGAAATTTGGGCAAAAAAAATTAATAGAAAAAAAATGAATAATTTCATCGAAAGATACGTATTTTATTAAATATGGCGGCTGAAGAAAATTTTATCTGCCAGGCCACAGTCACAAGTAAAATACCGTTCCGTATAATAGACCAAACCATTTTCGCTATAAGGGGAGTGAGCACCTTTCCAAAGTCTTACAACTGCTCTCCAATCACGTGTTCCAAATATGCCGTTCTTTTCTAACACCAATCGCCGCCTGTAAGTCCGGCTCTGTCTGGTACACAAAGCCGACGTGCGGAAAAATTTATTCCGATATATATTACACAAACAATTTTATCAAAATTTTCTCTAATTCGAAAAGAAAAAAATCATTCATTACGCCCTTAATAAAACAAAAATTTAGTTTTTTAATCCGTTTTAAAAGAACATGGATTAATTTGAGCGCTTTTTCTGCAAAAATTGAATTAAATAAATTCGCGCTTTTGATTACGCGCCAGTACGAATACGCATGCGCGCGGCGGAAATACCCGAATACGTCACAGCTCGAGCGCCTCGAGCTTGACTTTTACGATTTGATTTGACAGACGCCGTCTTAAAATTTAATAATATTTTTTTTTATGTATTTTACAGTAAAAATCATGATTTTCCTTAGATTTGCAGATGTTATTTTACAAGTATTCCATTAATGGAGGCATGCAAAAGGTATTTAAAGTGAAAAATTATTCTTACCTTTCTGTAACCTATCTTCTTCGATTTTGGCTTCTTCGGCGGTCAAATCGCCCCGTTTTAATACAACTACGGTAGGTAATTCGTCCTCTTTATCCTCAAAATCCTCCTGTGATACCTCACCGTAATCTTCGCGCTGTAAAATACTCAAAATTAGTAAAAAAACATCGTGCAAAACGGACATAACCTACTTTAGTATCTACAGTTGGTCCTTCTTTATATCCAGCTTCTTTTTTCAACTTTTTAAGGAAACTAGGTTCGTCCGGTTTTATAAAAGCGACATGCCTTTTAGACATTGCTTCATTAATGAGTCGATTTTGATAAAAACTTTTGAAAATTTTGTAACTAAGCTGTTTTAGTGTGACGCAGTGGGGCCACTACAACAAACTGAGAAACTGTGCAAGCTACGAAATTCGAAACACTTTTCCTTCACGGCATACCGCGATGTGCCTGTCCCTTCTCGGATTATTTTCTGCTTCTATCCCGTATTTATTTTCCTACTATGTCAGCGCTGAGAAACGGGCTAAAAAATTGTGAGAAAAGTACTTCCATTCTGTGACCTCACTGCCAATAACATACAGATTATTATGTAAACACGTTTTTTTTTTCATTCAAAATTTTAGAATTTCGATGTACCTATCTGATAAAAAAAAAGTTGTTTATTTTTTTATTTGGTCCACTTTTGTGGGTTCAGATAAAATTATTGATTGGTAGGTACCCAACAACTTGCCCGTGTATACCGGAGAGCTTTAAAGTTACATGAAGCTATTTTTAGAGATTAAAATGGCCACATTTAGGCCAAGTCATGATGAACTTTTTAGCTTAAATTTTTTTAACTAATTTTTCAGTTTAAAAACTTTTTGTTTATTTAAAACATTTTTTTAAATACCTTTTTATAAGATATTGGTATACCTACAATTTATACCTAGGTATTTACATTATATAACTTAAAATATTCTGAGATTGGTAGGTATATAGGTACCTATAGAGGTACCTACCTACCAATACCTGACTATCGAAGAATATCTTCGTATTATCAAACAATAACTCTTAATCAATTTGCTTATAAAAGAATAAAAAATCGAAAGTTAATTTTTTCGAGATGTGTAAAAAGATTTGAAAAAGAAATTATCCTAAAATTCGGAATATTCTAAAAAATTGCCTTGTCTTTCACTCATTTAAAAAATGAACTGATCAATCCTGTATTTGCGTTATTTAGATTTTTCAAGCGTAATTGATTTAGAATAAAATTAATCATTAACCAACTGTGATCAGAATGTAATACCTTCTAGTTCAGCTGAAATGTCTTTTCTATTTATAGCCCATCAAATCATTTCCCTTTGGATACCTGCCATATGCCTTTTCGATATCATTAAATAACATTTGAAATCCGTATTTCTAAAAATTTCGCATTCGTTATAGAACCTTCCCAGCATGAAATCAACTGATTCTCATATTCTCGTACCTATAGTAAGCATACTTAACAAAAACTAGGTAATACAAGAAATTTATTACCTAGGTATTTGAATTTTATAAACCCCTACGTTGTTTCACAAATATTTATTTCAAGTATTTACCTATTAATATTTATGAGTAAAGAAATTCTTTTACTCAATGCCTATACCTAGTCACTCTTTATTAATGGATTCTGATACCATCTCTTAAGGCACCATTTAGGAAGGCGAGACGGAGACCGACTTCAAGCGACAGGCAACAAGCAGCAAATCCTACTGTACTAAAATTGCTGTCGTCGGTTGCGCCTTCCGAAATGTGTTTCATATAATTACATGTATACAGACGTGAAAAGACCGTTTTCGGTCTTCTTCACTGTCGATTTACGTTAGAAGTCGGTCTCGGTCTCGCCCATGAGTCTCGCCTTCCTAAAGTTTCGACTACTACCTAGGTAGGTATAGGTAATTAAGTTCTGATACCTAATACAACAGAAAACTGTATGAATATAATTAGAAAATTTTGTTTGTTTCTCAGTTGATTTTTGTTTTAATGATTTTGTAACTAGGTAGGTACTGTAGGATAGAATTAAATACATATACAACTTCCCGCCTATACCCATATTCAAGATTCAAGGTAAAGAGACGTCAGCTGTAAAAGCGGCCTTGAAAACACAGCTGCTTGCTTGCAGTTAGTGCTTCAAATAACATCTTCAAAGTCTAATTTTAAATTTTAGTCATAACGAATCCACTTTCTTCAAACACTACTAGTTATACAACACATTCAACACCATTCTGTATTGGGTGTTATCTATTGTTACAGGAAGAGATAAATATGTTTGCCATTTTTTATTCAAAAATAATTAAAACGCTGAATTTGGTCCAAAATACTTTGATTATAGAATCATTGTATAAAGGACTTAATACAGCGATAGAATTTTTCAAAAAATAGATTTCTTAGAACATAAAAAACATTTACATTTAATTTTTCTTCTAGCGCGACATCTGTTGTTTAATAGCTATATTTAAAGAAACTAGACTATTAATTTCAATTTAGGGCATAAAATTTGCTCATTTTGCAAACATATATTTACTCTCAAACGGTCTTTGTTTTTTGGATTCATAAAATGCTGGAATCATGAAATAATTATTGTTTAAATAAAAAAAAAGCATTTTTGTGGCGCCATCTTCATGCCATATGATTAATTATTATACTGTAACTTTGACAAGTTAATTATAATAATGCAGTATTGCCAGATATCCAATTTTGATAATAATCTACTATTCTTGAATGCTTGTTTAAATTAACTGTTGATAAAAATACCAAATTTGAATAAAATGGACTAAATTCATAAACAAACTTAATTGCTGAACTTATTGGCGATTCGAAAGTTTCTAAAAGCTAAAAGTAGTAATGCGCCTGTTCTAAGTAGACGCTTTAAATGTGCTTGCCTGGAGCGACCGGCGGTCTGCTCGCTGCTCGCAGCAGTCAGCCGTCAGTTTCACGACGATCACAAAGAGATTTTCAGTTGATTTGTAGAACTGTGTTAAGGAAGAAAAACAATGCATTTGCACGCTGAAATATATGTTATCAAAGTAGATAGATAATAATAATAAGGATAGTGTTTTAATAACAAAAGTTTCTTTCAGATGTATAGGTACAATTTAACTTTTCAGTCTTGACTCCAGGTATAGAAACAAAATGCTATTGAATAGAGAGAAATAGAATAATAGGTCGCCGACTGCGTACAGCATCATTTAAGCGTCTCTTCTTTATTTTGCTGGATGCGTTGGTTAACGTATTGGATATTAGGGCCGATTCGACTGTCGTGTTAAACAAAGTCTAAATTACTAAACGAAGATTAAAATGAGATTGTTAATGTAAAAATGTCATTTTAATCTTCGTTTAATAATTTAAACTTTGTTTAGGACCGATTCCACCGTTGTGTTAAACGAAGTTTAAAATTACATTTTTACATTATCAATGTCATTTTAATCTCCGTTTAACACAACGGTGAAATCGGCTCTTAACAATTTAAACATTGTTTATCACAACTGTGGAATCGGCCCTTTTTGTATTCCAGTTGGAAAATTTTGATTTGGCAACACTGAGTTGACGTGTCAAAATTTCATTGACGTTTCTTGATGACAGCTTTGTGTTTTTATCAATTTTGTAAAGGTACCGGGTGCGGGTTTTTTGTAATATTAATAAGAATTCGTTAATAATTTGGCCTTTAGTAGTACATTTTGAAAAATAGAAATGGTAAGATCATTAATTATTCTCTTTAAAGCATATTAATAATTATACATACTTTTTAGGTCGACACTGCAAGATTATCACGCTATGTGTCCCCAGTAAACCCTGCAGTATTCCCACATTTAACGTTAGTTCTACTGGGCATTGGGGTCTTTTTTACTGCCTGGTTTTTCGTATACGAAGTCACTAGTACGAAAAAAACGAGAAGTTTAAAAAAGGAACTATTGGTAGCTCTAGTTGCCTCGATTTTTTCAGGATTTGGAGTATTATTTCTTCTATTGTCTGTAGGAATATACGTGTAACTAATAGGAAAATAAGAAAAAAATTGCATGAAAGTGCGTACCTCTAAAAGACTTTTCACTTCAAAATGAAATCATTTCACTTAAAAAATTGTTAAACGTTTATAATTTACTCTTTTATGAAGTTTTTAATATATAAATATATATAAATTTAGGTTCGTTTTATTTGTTTATTGTTCTTCTAGTGCCTACTGTAATTTATTGGGGCGATTATTTTATAAAAACCAGTAAAAAATGTAACTTATTTAAATGTAAATATGTAGTAAAATGGCTAAACCTGGGATTAAGTTATAAAATGGTTGTAGACAAAATATGCATTGTTGGCTTAATTTGATGTTTTTAAACCACCCTGTACATTTTGTGTATACCTACAATTTCGGCCATCACATATAAGGTCGTTACTATGGAAATGGTGATTTGATACATAACATTTTACAAATAAATGTTCTAATTATTTTTTATTGAAGAATAAAAATGCAATTGAAATTTTTACAAACAATTTTAGAAGCACAGGTGTGTACTTTACAATATTTAGATTTCCAAATTTCTTTTTTACATTGAGGAAAAATATTAAAGAAGTAGTTTTTCAACTTGTAGGAGTACCTATAGGTACATTATTTAGATTTATTATTAAAAGAACCAATCTTCATTTCTGTTCCGCAGTGCCATCCCTAGACCACAATAATAGGGTTCCTAGACTGTCATTAATGACTTAAATAATAAGTAGCAATTTCGCATTTTTAGTAAAATGTTGATTTGTTAAAAGATAATTTTGTATTGGTAATAAAGAGCTACATATGTCGCAACTTATCAAAATCTGAAACATACCTGCGGAAGTTCCAATATTTCAGTGTAGTATTTTTGAAAAATACGGATTTTTTAGAATTATAACAATGAAAGAATAGTTAAAACCAAATAAATAAAGAGTTGTAGATAGGGCATAAGAACTCAGCTTAATTTCGTCATCTCCTTTACTGCCTGTAACAATAATTACCACGTCGTCTGCAAACGCGCATATTTTCAAATTTAAATTTTTTTAAGCCTTTAAATTCATCCATAAATACAATAAATATTGTTGGATTATAATATATTTATTTTGCAAAAAAAAGGATACAGACTTCAAAATAGCTAGCCTGTGTTGGTCCCCGAACAACCAAAAACTAGCCGTAGCCACTTGCGACAGGCAGATTCTGCTTTTCGATGAAAAAGGCGAAAAAAAGGACAAATTTTCTACAAAACCGTATGATCCAGAAGCCGGAAAAAAGTCGTACATAATCACCGGGATTGCCTTTAGCCCTGATTCCACGAAAATCGCTGTGGCTCAAAGCGATTGCATCGTTTACGTATATAAAATAGGCGAAAAGTGGGGTGAAAAAAAGGTAAGACACAGATTTTAACACTTTTTATATATTCAGACTTCTTTAGCGTCCTTACTTCTTCTATATCACCCCAAAATTATAATTAAGGTTCTTTTAACACCTCTCTTGAAGGTTCTTTTTACTTCTTGCAAGTCATCAACGTCTTACTAAACGAAATAACTCGTTTGTATGTCACCAATGTGATTTCCATATTTTCCAGTTAAATAATTTCGTCAGGATTTTTCTCTAAGCCGATTGTTTTTCAGTGGCTAATATGCCTGATGTATGTATCCCTTTTCAGAATGTTTGTCCTCTCCAAGATATCTGTGAATTCTGTTTTAGACATCATTTATGATTTATTAGTGATATCTATTTCTAGGCAATTTGCAACAAATTTCCTCAACCTTCTCCAGTCACCTGCATCATTTGGTTGCTCTCAGGCCCCATAATATGCGGTTTGGTTGACGGCAAAGTCAGAGCCTTACAAATTAAGTCGAACAAATCTCAGAGCCTTTTTGCCTCTGATAGCCTTGTAGTTGCTTTGGCGTCCAATCCTAAAGGTACCGGATTTTTATCAGGGCACGTTGATGGAAATGTCATTAGGTAAGATTTTGGTAAGTGTATTTTCATAGACTTTAATGCTTCATTTTTTCTTTTAGGTTTTACATAACGAGCGATCACGGTGAAGACGAAGCCCAAGGTAGAATAGCTTTACACTCGGTGCCCCCATATGCTCTAGCTTGGCCCCAAGGCCACATTTTTGTAGCAGGGTGTGACAAAAGGGTGTCTGTATTTAACAACCATGGAAAATTGGTAAAGAATTTCGATTACAGCAAAGACCAGAAGGAGTTCGATTTTACGATGGCTATTAGCAGTCCTAGTGGGCAGGTATAGTGAATATATCATATTCCTGGAAATTCAAAGTTTTAAGTTTGAGCAGGGTTCAAATCAAAAGATTATAGATGTTTTTTTTAAGTTCGTTTAATACCTATATCGATATGTTTCGAGTTTTAGGCTGTGGCTATAGGCTCTTTTAGCAGACTTAGACTTTACAATTGGAATACCAGAAAGTCGGTTTGGGAAGAAACACCTCCAAAAGAGTTGACTAATTTTTATACAATTACAGCCTTGGCGTGGAAACGCGATGGGTCAAAAGTTGCTTGTGGAGGCCTTTGTGGAGCCGTTTTCTTGTTTGAATCGGGTGAGACGAATACAGATTCTATTTAATTTATAGATTTGAAAAATGTGTTTCATTATTTTCGTATAATATTCTCTTGTATAACTCCATTATGTATCATTTCTTAGTACTCAAAAGAACAGTCTGGAAGGACAAATTCGAAATAACTTACGTAGGTCCCAGTCAAGTACTTGTAAAACCATTAGACGTCAATGAGAGAGGAGTCATTTTGAGATCCCAATACGGAGGCGAGATAGAAGACGTTAAAATAATGGGGAAGGACAATTATTTGGTGGCGAGAACAGAAGAAACCCTTCTGGTAGCAGATTTGATTAGAAATCTTTTGAGCGAGGTAATTAATAGCAGTTTCTCTTTCTTATTATGTGGCTTTCTATTGATCATCTCACCATAGTCACTCATACTTGGCGTACTTTTATTTTTGTCAAACACATCACGCGATGATAATGTATTTTTATTTTTGAAATCGGTCGTTTCTGCAGGTTCCTTGGAACAATTCCGGTCATCATGAAAAATTCTACTTTGAAAATGCCAACGTGTGCCTGGTGTTCAATGCTGGAGAACTTACACTGATAGAATACGGAGAGAATGACGTTTTGTGTTCAGTGAGAACGGAATTCGCCAATCCGCATCTAATCAGCGTGAGACTGAACGAAAGAAACCAAACGACAGATAACAAAAAATTGGTTTATCTGCTAGATCTGAAGACGATCTGTATCGTAGATTTGGTGAACGGGTATATGATATGTCAAATTGGACATGATTCGAAAATCGACTGGTTGGAACTGAACGAAATCGGTACTAAGCTGTTGTTCAGGGACAAAAAGCAAAGGTAAAAGTTCAAATCTTAACTATCTTAAAGCTGGAAAGACCCGTTTTCTAATTTTTTAGACTAGTTTTATTCGACGTTACTACCCAACTCAAGCAGACCATCTTCACGGGCGTCAGTTTCGTACAATGGGTGGAAAGCAGTGATGTAGCAATCGCTCAAGCTGGCACCACTTTGGCTATTTGGTACAACATCGATTTACCAGAAAATCCTACCCTTATGAATGTGAAAGGGGACGTGGTGGACGTTATCCGAACTAACGGAAAAACCGAAGCCATTTGTGTCGATGGAAATAACACTTTTAATTTGGAATTGGACGAGGGATTAGTAGAATTCGGTAAAGTATTTCTTTTGACTGCGCCATACAGTGTAGGTATATTGAAATAATTTTCAGGTACAGCCCTGAACGACAACGACTACAACAGGGCCGTACTCTTCCTGGAAAGCATGAACAACACATCGGAAGCAGAAGCAATGTGGCACACCTTATACCTAATAGCGATGAAGCAACAAAACTTATCCTTGGCCGAACGTTGCAGCACCGCACTGAAGGAAGTTGCCACTGCCCATTTCTTGCACGAAACGTTACAAGAGGCTCAAAAGTTCGAAGAGAAGTACAACGAAAATCCTAATAATTCTCCCGGAGTGTGGGCCAGGTTGTCGATTTTAGTAGGAGATTTGAATACTGCTGAGAATATCTATCTGGAGCAGGGAAATATCGAGAAGGCTTTGGAGATGTATAAGAGGTTGCATAAGTGGGACGAGGCAATCAGGTAAACGTTTTACTTATATTATTTTATCGAGATGATGCTGTTACTCTTTTCGACAGGTTAGCGGATCAACGAAACTATGAGCACTTAAAAGAACTCAAAGCCGAGCACATGTCGCTGTTAATGCAAAGCGGTCAATACGAAAAAGTCGGACAAGTTTTGGAAAACGAAGGAAAGTACGAAGAGGCATTGAACATGTACATGAAAGCCAACAAATTGCTGAGAATACCGAACCTTTTGAACAAACAACCTCAGCTGTTGAACGATCACGGCGCCATAGCGGGAGTGTTGAAAAATTTGATCAATCAGGAATTGTACGAACCTGCTGCGGACATTTACGAAAAATTGGAAAAGTCCGATTTGGCCATGGAGTGTTACAGAAAAGGTTTGTATCTTAGCATAAATTGGCACCCTAACCAATCGTAAATTGGTTTTTTCAGGAAAAGTTTGGAATAAAGCGGTAGATCTAGCAAGGACGGTGAGTCCTGATAAAGTTGTCCAATTGGAAGAAGAATGGGGCGACAGTCTAGTAGAAACCAAACAGATGGACGCAGCTATTAGTCACTACATCGAAGCTGGTTGCACTTTAAAAGCTCTAAACGCAGCCGTAGCTGCCAGACAATGGAAGAAGGCCGTTCATATTATAAAAGTTATTGACGATGCCGATACTGTTAGGAAATATTACGAGATCATCGCTGGACATTTCGCTAGCGTCAAGGTTTGTAACTGTTGTTAAACTTTGTTCCCTTCAAGCTAAAATAAATTTTCCACAGGAATATTCGACAGCAGAAAAATTATACTCAGCTTGTGGTATGTACAAAGAAGCCGTGGACATGTACAACGAAGCCGGTCAGTGGGAGAAAGCTCACGCTATAGCTTCGAAATATTTAGACAACGAAGAAGTGTCCGATATGTATCTGAAGCATGCCGAAGTCTTGGAAGAAGCTGGAAAGTATCGCGAAGCTGAAAAACTTTATTTACAAGTCGATTCACCCGATCTGGCCATCGCCATGTACAAGAGAGTGGAACAGTACGATAATATGGTAAGTTACAGGCAGAGAAAAACTGTGATGTTCATTTTTAGTACGACCCGATGATGTAATTTACTGAACGCGAAATTTGGATTTAATTTGCATTGCCACTTGTGTTAAATAGTAAAACAAAAGTCAAATGTCAAAATTTTAGTATAAAGTCGCATCAAATATTTAAAAAAATAAAACTAAAATGTAATTTTACCATCATAAACATAGCTGCTTGTGTTTGTCTGACAAATGAGTCATAACGTCTTGTGTTATAACAAATGGTTTGGTTCAGGTGAGACTGGTCGAAAAGTACCATCCTAATCTTCTAGAAACGACTCATTTGCATCTCGGTCAACAACTCGAAAGCCAGGGGAAGTACAGAGCGGCCGAAATTCATTATTTGGCTATAAACGAGTGGAAAGCGGCAATGAATATGTATAGGAACTTGGGAATGTGGGAGGAAGCCTACAGGTGAGTTTTTTTGGCAACATTTCCTTTCTCAGGGTACTTATTCCTATATTTAAATCTATATTCCTCCGTACCTTTCCGATCTTCCACCATATATCTTCTCACCCTTATTTACAGCGAAGCGAGATTTAAAAACATGTGAATAACTACGTTTATCTTCGAATTGTAAATACATAAATAGATAAAACAAGTATAGAGCGTCATTGACACCTTATACGAGTAGTGAGTCCGATTGCTCCCTTTTCTTGATAAGGTTTTCCGATGCTTTGGTTGAAATATTCATCAAATTTATTGGATTGCTTTTCCTAGTTTACTTTTTGCCCAACTCCCATCTGTGTTCTGTTTGTAGGGTGGCGAAACAAAATGGCGGGGCCAATGCGGCCAATCAAGTAGCTTTCCTATGGGCCAGAACACTGCACATCGATTCAGCCATCAAATTGTTGAATAAATACGGAATTCTGGAGCAGAGCATTAACTACGCTTGCGAAACTTACCAGTTCGATTTTGCATTTCAACTGTGCAAGAATCTTCAGAGCAAGGTAGATATTTATTCAGTTAATAGATTGCTTCGACTTATTGTATATTTTGAAGGTGAATGAGGTCCATTTAAAATACGCCATGGCCCTGGAAGACGACGGAAAATACGCAGAAGCCGAATCGGAATTCATCCAAGCCAATAAACCCAAAGAAGCCATCCTGATGTACGTGCACGCTCAGAACTGGATCAACGCGCTCAGAATAGCGGAAAAACACGAACCCGAATCCGTTCCAGAGGTCCTACAAGCTCAAGCGGCACAGTGTTTTAAGGACAAGCAATATTCCGAGTTCGAGGTGTTACTGCTCAGAGCTCAGGCACCAGAGTTAATAGTTCAGAAATATAAAAGCGAAGGTAATTATGTTTTAAGTGTAGCTATACCCTGCTTATTCAAAGATTCTTCCAGAAATGTGGATCGACGCTCTACGCGTTTGCAAAGACTACTTACCGCACCTCTATCCGTCTCTCCAATCTGAGTACAGCAGCTCTCACCACAACCAAATGACAGACGTCAACATTGAAACGCTTCTGTCGAGGGCCAACGAATGGGCCTTGGCGGGACAGCACAAGCAAGCCGTGGATTGTCTTTTACAAGTGAACACCAGCATTACGGAGCCGTCTATCGTCAAAAGAGCCCTGTTGAGAGCGGCCGATATGGTCAATAAGTTTCTGTTTGGAGATGAAGCTTTGGAGGTTATCAAGGTGTTGGGACCGAGGTAAATAAAATATTTTTTTTCAGTTAAACGCCCTCGTTGAATCAACTTTACTTTCTACAGGTTGATTGAAATCGGTGAACACAATGTCGCAGCCCAACTGTACGTCAGCATGGAAATGATGAAAGAGGCAATTGATGCTTTCATCATAGCCGAAGAATGGAACAAAGCCAGAAAAGTAGCTAAAGAACTGGATCCGGCGTTTGAGAGCTACGTCGAAACCAAATACAAGGATAGACTCTTGAAGAAGGGGGACGTCGAACAACTTGCTGACGTTGGTAAGGTCCTATACAGACAGCAAATTTCCATAGATCTACTGAAAAGTTGCGTTTTATTAAAAAATATCACCATTTGCAGATATAATAGGGGCGTTAGACCTCTTAGCGGAACAAGGCCAATGGAGTAGATGCATAGAAAAGGCAAAATCTCACAGCACGCCCATTTTGCACAAGTACGTTGCTCTCTACGCTGCTAAATTGCTGAAGGATCGTTTCGTCACTGAAGCTTTGAATTTGTATTACACATATGGCGCACCATCGATGCCGCAGAATTTCAATATTTACAATCACATAGCGACTGAAATGTTCGGAGCCAACGATTTATCAGAACCGGAAACTTACGGTGTTTGGGAACAGCTTCGACAAGTTTTGTTGGAAATAGTTAAGTTTTGTTTCTGAACTGTGGATGTCAAATTTTAATTGAAAACTTGACATCTGTCACTTTCAACTGTCAAAATTTGTTTCTGTTATAGAACGGCGGTGTAGAGGTGGCTGTTAACGTAAACGCTGACACTAAAGTCCATTTTAGAAAATTGCTGCTGGTAGCTCATTATTACGCGCTCAGAGCGGCTTGTAGACAAGTTCCATCGCTGAAATCTATCGGCGTTAAGATTAGTACTGCGCTTTTGAGATACACAGACGTCATACCAGCTGATAAAGCTTATTATGAAGCAGGTAATATCATTTGTGACAATTAGGTATAAATACTCTTGAAACATTATTTTAGGTAAAGATTTGAAGGACGAAGGACGTCTTTCGGAAGCGTTCGTCTTTCTAAATCACTATTTGGATCTCTGCGAAGCCATAGAAGAGGAAGAAGGTCAACTGGTAGACCATTCCGATTTACTACAAACGGATTTCCCATCAAACATTCCTTTGCCACATCAACTGTACCTAACCGAAGACCAAAAGGAACACGACAACATTAAAGAATGGGTGCTGGCTATCAGCATGGACCAGAAAATAGATCAGGTATACTATGAGGGTTCGTTTTCGGGTCACTATAAAACGATATTTAAAAAAACACTTGTTGAATATTTTAGACGCTGCCGCTCGACGATAGGCAGTTGTTCGAATCTGCTTTGCAGCCAGGAGAATCGCCATGTTTGGTAACTGGTTATCCAGTCAGAAAGCAACCGGTGCATTTCGGTAAATCGACTATGCAGGCCAATAAAGATGCTTGGAACAAGTTGAATATGGGTGCAAAGATGTCGCCCGATTCCAACGTTGCCAGTGCTATTTCGTTTATCGTGAAGTGGTGCGGACCACCGAATTAAGTTTATGGAAATTGTAATGTAGCTTGTTGATGTGTTTAATTAATAAAGAATTTGAAGTTTTATTTGTATAATCTGAAAAAAAATAAAAAATAGAATGAAAGATTTAAAAATTGTTGATCCGAAAACACCAAAAATTCTTTTAAATAATGTATTGGCTACTAGGGAAATTAAGTTTATTATCTAATTTAGTAAAAGAAATAAAATTAAATATTATTATATTTATTGTGCCAATTGTAATTTTAAATATACACGCTATTAACATATTATTTAAAAAACCACGTTCCTTATACAGTTTCAAGTTTAAAACTACGCCTTTGGCTATATTGGTTTTTAAAAGACGCCCGCAATATATTAGTTTAGTCAAATACGCTCCATTATCTCATTAGTTCTAAAACCACTCGCCTTTGGCGTTGTCTACTAGTTGATAGCCTCCCCTTTGGTCATAAATTACTATTGTAACCGTCAGCAACCATGAGGTAAACCAAAGTAACCGAGTGATCACATTAAATCATTTTCTTAACACAATGGTCGAGTTGGTGATAACGAAAGTACAATAGGCGGAGCCATACGACTTTTAAAGATCAGCGCAAGTTCATCATTGTTCAGATTTAAACATTTTTCTTATACATATTAAATTAACATCATGTATATGAAGTTAATTATTCATTGAATTAAAATGTTAAATTTCATATAAGCAGTTAATATAAATTTATTCCAATTTCACCTAGAGTTCGATGTGTAAATTATAATAAAATATGCTTATTTTCAAAACATTGAACTGGAAATCGAAATTGGAATATTTTTGTTTATTTAAAAATTAAATATGTAGTTCTAATTATTTTTTTTTTTTACAGTATTATAAATAATGTATTCACCTTTGATTTCTAATCATGGTCCTTCGAGCCGGATTCATGAAAACCGTCTTGTGGTATTAATGCGAGTGCAATATTTTATTACGTAACTATGGTAAAAAATAAAAACCTTTTAGTTTTAAATATTTTTATTAAGAAATTTAGATGTCATTCTACGACTGATCAATATGTTTATTCCCAATTTAGAAGTTAGAATACACGTATTTTATTGCATGTATCACGTTCGTACAAATCCTGCGATCAAAGCTTGACAGCTGACACAATCACTACTAACCCCAGTGCTCCAGTTTAATTAATCAATAATTATTACTATGACAAAATGAATGGGTGAAAATCATTATAATTGACCAAAATATTCTCACGAAAGTATTTTATAAATAAAAAATATACTGAACTTAAATAATTATTAAATTTTTGATCAGAACATTATTTGGCAATTTCAACGACACTGTCACTGAATAAAAACGTTTTTGTTCAAACTGTCAAAATTTACGTTAAATTTATGAAGAAACGTTATCTAATTTCAGAAAATCATTAGGATTGTTAACTTAATTTAAATATATATTAGTTTATAGATATTTCTAAGGATTTTTACAATTTTATAAGATTTATAGTAAACTACAATATTTATAAAAAAATTTCGATAGTTATTTACAAATCACAACATTCATTAGAATTTAACATTTACAGAGTGGTGGATCAGAAAATAGTCCAGAGTCCGCGAAATATGCGTAATTTTTATCGAAATTCAATTACTGGGGGCATGAAGTCCTTTATCGCCATTATCATATTAGGTAATATGACGTCCGTATTCCCAAAGCATTTTTAAATAGTTACATACAAGCAAATCCTTGAAGACAGAAACGTCAATGCAGAAAAAAAAAACAAGAGTTGGACGATGGCGTAATTTTTAAATCACACTTTGACTCTTTAATGTGATTAGTAAAAGTCAAATAAATGAGGTTACGTTTTCTTAATTTATTAGCAAATTAAATATTCAAGGGTTAATATAGCAAGACATTGATAAATAGTCAGCTATTTTTGTTGCGTTTAAATCTGGAGAATATTTTAATATCGATTTGATCAGACTTAATTTTGGCATTATTAATCTAATTAGAGCCCGAAAGCTTTAGCTCGAGGGCTTTAATCAAAGAAAACAACAAAAATAGCAGAATATTTTTCTAGAGAAATAGTCACTGATATTTTGGTCTAGTGAAATAATCGTTATTTTTCTTGAAAAGATGAAATCGATAGAAAAACATGTAAATCATGTTATACCAAGATTAAAATAATTAAAAACAGTTCGTGAAATATCGCCAAATCCTATTAGACATTAATTTTAACGACGTTCCTCTTTTTAAGGGTTTACATGTGAGTAAAAAGATGCTTTGTGAACTAGGCCATATAGATAACAAACTTGTATTGTCAATTAATTACTTTGGATCAATTACCGTTATAGGAACGCTACGATTTTGAAAATTATCCAAAAATATACGAACATTTCGCTATCCAGACGTAATTTTAATTTTTCAAAACACAACAGAGTACCTTCTACAATATTTATATGTATTTTATCAAAATAAATTTGATATATTTACTTATTACTTGTACCGGTTGTCCCAGTTGAAAATATAGATGCTTAATCAGTTGCATCTCCAAAAATCTACTGTTCAATCACCAAAATGCGATTATTAGTAAATTTTTAGAAATACGTTAGCAAAATCTAAGATTAGCTCTCGGGGACAAACGATACGTGGATTTTTTAGGAAATTATACAGATTGTCCCAAATTTCTATAATAGATATTTATCACTCCATATTACTAAATTAGCCAATATAGATTATGCAATATTGGTGATTTCCTTGAATATCGGACATTCGGGACAATGAGTAGGTATATACGAGGTTTGAGAAAGTTTCCAGGATTATTGAAATTAGGAACTCTTAAGGAAAAATTACATTATTAATTCTTTATTTTTCCACAATACTTTTATCTCGTTGTGGTTTCTTAAAAAAATGTTTGGGTGCCACGCCCTAATTTTGATCGCCCCTAAATAAAATACGCCTAAAAAAATGCATTTTTTAAACACATCCACAAATTCAGTTATTTTTTAAATACATATTCCGAATAAACTTATAAGCTTGAACTAAAGATTAAAATAAATATCAAAATAAACAATTATAAGTAGGGTCCTATTACAACAAGAACACAGCTACATCATCATTTGGCGAAGTAATTCATTGGCTATCGCCGCCTACTGGGGGTTTAGGGCCGATTCCACCGTTGTGTTAAACAGAGATTAAAATGACATTGTTAATGTAAAAATGTCATTTTAAACTTCGTTTAACACAACGGTGGAATCGGTCCTTAGTGGCTTTTTAATATTATAGAAATATAGGAAATCTGTTTTTTGTACCCAACAACTTACTTATTCTTTATTTATTGATAGTTATAGATAATATAAATTTGAAATTCTAAATAATAGTTATGACGTAGTTCTTCTTATTGTAATCGGACTCTACTGAAGATGGTCCAAACTATGTACCGAAAGCTATACAAATTTAAAACATATTATTTTTATTAAATCAAACTCCTAAATCATAAGAAAATCAATATCAAAATACGAATTAAATTATTATTCAAAAGTTTGAAAATCCCCATTAATTGAATAAATGAGTTTATACGATTATTTTTTAATAAACAGCATTACTGCAAATTCGTAAACATTTTACGTAAAACAATTCTAAAACAACTCGATGTGTGGAAAAACAATAGAGAATGTACCAAAATAACTCGATGTGTGGAAAAACAATAGAAAATGTACAAAAATAGCTATCTTTTCCAAAAACTAATATAAGGAAGAAAAATTTCATACATTTAAATTCCAATAAAGTTTCGTCGAAATTATTTAAAAATCCCAGAACTTTTCTAAACAACCTCGTATTAAGTAATAATTAAAAAAATAATCTTATGGCACAATTCCTTAGCATCTAATAAATTTAAACTATACTATTATTAATATTTCGCCCCTACTAAAACCCTATTCGATAATATATAGGGTGACGGTGACAACTGAACACATTTCGCTCTTAAATCGGTAATTTTAAGCATATTTATTGCATGTCTCCTATTTTTTTATTGCCCTCACCATATATATTTTCGAAAAATCTACCTATAATAAGTTGAGTAAAAAATAAATGCTGAAGGAATGATTTTTCTCCTAAAAGGGATGGAACTTTTTTAAAAAATATAATTTTATAATCTTACCGCTAATTTTTAGATAAAACGATATACAAAAATAATTTTATATACCAGTGAATCATTACAATTTTCTATTTAATTTTTTTTTTTTTCGTTTTGGATTCACTGGTTTTACAATAAACTAAAAATGTAGTTAAAAACATATAGGGTGTACCAGAAATAAGTACATTCATTTTAACCAGTGATACAACTTATGAGTTATGATGCAATTGACCTACAGTTTAGGACCCAACTATATAAGATTTTTTTTGCTTCAAAATTCATCTGTTTAAATGATGCGTATATTATCCCTAATACACCGTATACAAAAATAAATTAAATAAATTAATTGAAGAAATAAAGTTTTTTAAACAAAACAACACAAACTAATCAGATATTTCGAAAAATGCAGAAACAAAAAATAGATTTTAATATTTTATAAATATTTTTGTACCCTATAGTATACGTATTTCTTCAACCCGCCTATGTACTTGACAAAATTAGTTAAAAAATAATAACAATAAGGAGAACCTTTAAAAAAATATGACGTTTTCGATATTGCTAATCAATTATATCAATACTTGGAATTTTTTTAAATTTCTCGCACGTTTTTTACGATATTAATTGAATTGACAATTTTTCGATTGACCCCTGTACATTTAAATCAACCTCTTATGCATATTGTAAGCATTGAAATACAAAACTGTAATAAAAATATCATCAAATTACTCCAAAATTAAATCAATATCGTGTTTTTGCAACATTAACTGTATAACTAAATAATGTATCAAATGAGTATTTGCGTTGAAAACAAAAAAAAAAACAATCTCGTTGAATATCTGCCCGCCTTTCGATTTTATGGAGGGCGTGGCAAAAAGGCGTATACAAACCTCTTTGAATTATAGACGCCCCTTTTCAAAAATCATAACCTCATTCTGACTCGACAAAAAAAAAATGAAAAAACTACTTCAAATCATATTCGATTGGACTATCTATCCTAAAACTCTTGATCTTGCCGTGCTCGACCAACGGCGTAGGTAGATCGTCGTTATCGATCTTTATCCTAATTTTGTTCGTGTCCAGGAAGGGACACGCCCCCTTGGTCAGATCGCCGTTGTGCGGACTGGCTATGGGCGTGTCCAGAGGCGTGTACGGTACGTAGATCCTCAGCACGTCCGGACTGGGCATGCGCGGCGTCGCTCTGGGCGTGGAATGGCTGGAAAGTCCCCTCTGCAGGCTGCTCGTCGCTCCTACTCCCGATCCGGCTGAGCTAACTCCGCCCACGGAGTTGTCGGACATGTTACTGTGTGTGTCGAGGCTGTTCTCGTGTGCTTGGCTGCGGGTTATCGTCGAAAAGACCGACAGATCGGCCGTGGAGGTTACGCTGGTGTCCGCTAAGGAGCGTCTCGATCCGGTATGTTCACAGTCTAGCAGCGAGCTGGCGTCGTCCATGCTGGGATCGAAGGAGAACTTCGAACCTGCAACATCGGTGGTGAGATACAAAGTCGAGGATTTGTTGGGAAACATTTTTTTTGGAGGCAGAACTGAAGAGTTGCTTTTCTTGCGATTTAGGTTCGTAAATTGATTTAATAACGAGCATTCTAGGCTTTAAACCAGCTCTGCGAGGAGAGATAGCCTCATAATAATTTATATGACCGTTTCTCTTTTTGTTTTGCGGAAAATGCTTACTTGTCTTGGGAAAAAGATTCACAATGCTCTCAACTTAGTGCTACTTCAGATTAACCCATCCAAGACATCACCGCAGCGCGACTACTTAGGAGGAGAAGTCTCTAGTTTATTGTTATTTGTTATTATAAAAGAGGTTTTCTAGGAAAATTTAATCTTATGTCAATTTATGAACCTAAATTCGAAGAAAAATAAGTAATTTTAATTCAATTGGAAAATACTCTTCAATTTTGACTAAAAATTTAACACAGTTATTTATTTTGATATATGTTCTAGTGAAAATACAGTTTTTTTTTTGTATTTGTATAAAGCTGCCCGTTAAATATTACGAATTCCCATTTTTTTTTTTTTTAATTATTAATCGAACATGCAGTTAAGGAATCTGTACAAAAAAGTTAGTGTTTGTTTGAAGTTTTTATTTATATTAAAATTTAGTTGATTTTGGTCGAAATAAATGTGTTAAATTTTTTAGATTGTAAATATATTCAAGCATTTGGAAGGAAAAAAACACAACAGGAACATGTTTTAGGGATTTGTGGTTTGTTAGAGACATAAATCAGAATGATTGGATGCATTTGTTTGTATAATTTTTTTTTTAATTGTCAACTGTCACTAGATACTGATTAATTCTAGATGAAGGATCAAAAGCGTTAATGGCTAGCCATACTTTATTATCAAAATTTGCAAATTACCTTCCCCGTAATTAAACTCCTGCCAAATATCACGATTTTCCAAAATATTCAAACCTCTTCTTACAAACTCCGTGAAGTCAGCGTTAAAGTCTATGTCAAAGTAATCTTCACAATTAAAAAATTTATTTTTTAATATTAACTTAATTAAAACAAAAAAATATTTTAGCTTTCTAAAATAACCAAAAATACATCTAAAATGTTCAAAAAACAATAAATGCATCCAAACGTTATTTGTTAGTAGAAATTTATACCGTGGGTGTTAAATATGTTTTAGCGGTCATATCACGTAAATAACATTTTAGCACCCTGGTATACTGGATGTGAATGATTAATGGACCACGCCCACATGATGAATATTTTATTAAACCACACCCATTCGGCTGACTTTATTTTTAACCACGCTATATGAAATTAATTTAGTATTGTAAATCACCGCCAAGTAATTATTTTAGTTTTCAAACCACGCCCCAATTAATTAATAATTTAGTTTGTTAACCACACCCAAAGTGATTAATTTAATTTGTAAACCACGCCCTGTTGAAAAATTTGGTTACAGAACACTTATCAATTGGAATTTTATTTTGTAAGTCACACCCACTTATAATAACCACGCCCATTTAAAGTCAATAATTGAACAATTGCAGGAGTGGCCCATTACCCATTTCCAACCCCCGTATGAACCAAAAAAAGAAATCCTTACCATTTTAAATTAGAAATCACCTTTATTTACACATCACCGCTAAGCCACAAGTGGAGTAACAAACGATTACACGATGTGCGTGATTATTTTTAGACTTTTTTGTAATGGATACGTGGAAAGGGAGGGGAGGGTAGACCTAAATCTAGACAAAGAGAAATAGTGTTTTTTAAGCATGCTGACTCATGCGGACCTACCAAAAATTTATCAAGCCCTTTAGGTACATCGAAAATCATACGCTGACTGGTGGTAGTACTAAAATAATATGTACAGTCAGATTACAACATAAAAACGAAGTGGCGAACTTAAATGTATATATTAAGTTTAAAAATAAAAGTTTTATTTTGATCAGTTCGTGAAGATAACATTTTAAAAATCGAGCAATCTGTTTAGAACACGAAAAAATAAAAAAAAATTGTAAAAGGTTTAAATTAGCTCTGATTTAGAGAAATAATTTGTACATTCGTGAAGAAGAGCTATAAAATCTTACAAATATTAAATTTAATGAAATAATAAAAAAACTGTTAAATACCTCAACTTAAAGAAAAAAAAAATTAAAAATTGGGAGAACAGTTATAAAATCCTACAACTTTATAAAAACAAACTCGAAAGTTTCAGATCCACTAAAAAAAATGTAAAATACCTCAGAATTAGAGAGAAAAAAAAATTATAAACTATTCGAGATTTAGAGAGAAATGTTATAAAATCGTACAAATTTATAAAATAAAAAGATTCTAAGAATCGCAAAAAAACTGTAAAATACTTTAAAGAAAGAAAAAGTTGTTGTTTGCCTCAGATTTAATAATATAAATGAATAGGGAGGGGAGAGGAAGAAGTGCTATAAAATCCTATAACTTTATAAAAACAAACGTTGAAGTTTCAGATTAACTAGAAAAAAACTGTTAATAATTATATCAGGAGCCTAACCTTAGACGAACTTATCTGCAGATTGACTGACCTCGGCATACCCTGTCAAGGTTATGCTGACGACATAGTCATATTTGCTAAAGGCAAGTTTAGTAATATCCTGTGTGATATAGTCCAACGAGGACTAGAACATACCAAAAGATGGTGCCGTGAAGTGGGACTTAGTATAGACCCTACAAAAACAACACTAGTAGCCTTTTCAAGGAAAAGAAAACTTAATCTCAAAACCGTTAAATTAGACGGGATAGATATAGAATGGAAAAATGAAGTCAAATATCTAGGCCTAACCCTGGACAACAAACTTCTCTGGAATACACATGAGAAGGAAGTAATAAATAAGGCCACAAAAGCTCTAATGGTATGCAGAAAAATTACAGGCAAACGATGGGATGTAACCCAAACATACTGCGATGGATGTATACTCCAATAGTGAGACTAATCATCACTTACGGGGCTATAGCCTGGAGTAACAGAACTAGTTTAGCTTCTACGAGAGCTAATATCTCAAAAGTACAAAGACTAGCCTGTGTTTGCATTACTGGTGCAATGAAAACCTGTCCTACGGCCGCAATAAAGGGATCTTAAACCTCACCCCTCTACATTTGATGATAGAGAATGTGGCAAAAAGGACACGATATAGAATGATCAGGAACGGAGTAATCAGACGAAAGTCTACTTGCTTCAGAACTAAAGATACCTGGGACATGCCCCAGGATGAAATGCTAAAGAAGTACAGTTTTGTAAAAAACTTCAAAGCCACAGAGCTGGGCTGCAAGAAAGAATCCATCGCGCTTGCAACCGAAAGACGTGCTATTCAGTGGTATACAGACGGTTCCAAAACCATAGAAGGAACTGGAATAGGAGTGTATGGGCCGAGAACCAAGCACTCCGAAAGCTTGGGAAAATACCAAGCATCTTCCAGGCGGAAATGCACGCCATGAGAAGTGTATTCTCAGTTCAACATCGAGAGAAACTATCATAGACAAGAGATTATCATCATGTCCGATAGTCAAGCATCATCAAAGCGCTGGACTTTTATGTAATCAGCTAAAAATGGTTTGGAGATGCCTAGAACAATTGAATGAGAAAAATATAGTTACTCTCACTTGGGTCCCGGGGCATAACGAGGTACAGGGTAACGAGATTGCAGATAGTCTTGCAAACACCCTTTGTAGGACCTGAGCCGTTCTGCGGTATCAGCAGTAACATAATATTAGGAGAGATTAAAAAAGATATGGGCAGTAGAAGAACCGATAATTGGAACAATCTCTTGGGGCTGAGATAGGCCAAGATACTTCTGGGTAAAGAAAAGATCGGAAGCTTGCATCTGCCTGAGCAAGAACAGGCTACGTATTGTAACAGGGATCCTTACCGGGCATTGCCGACTAAAAGGACACCTAAGTAAACTGAGAGTAGTAGAGGATAGTGAGTGTAGATTCTGTGAGGAGGAGGACGAAACCTCCATTCACATACTAACTGAATAAGTAGCACTCCAGAATCCAAGGGCACTATATCTAGGAGGATATCAAATAGAAGAGGGAGATTTACCTAACTTGAAGCCACTTCAAATCCTACACTTCCTTGAGAAAATAGGATTGGAAGGGTCGTTATAGGCATGAAGACATTTCCTTGGTGCATTGGCGACAGAAGGGGGCACAATAGATCTTTTAATTCGCAGTGTATTAACACCCCATTCCCAACATAACATAACTAGAAAAAAAAAAAAGAAAAACCTCAGAATTATATAGAAAAAGATTGAAAATTAATAGTTTTATAATCTTACAAATTTACAAATATAAACGTTAAATTTTTAGATCTACTTAAAAAACACGGTAAAATATCTCAGAATTATAGAAAAAAAAAAAAAAAAACCTCAAAAATTAAAGCAAAAAGAGCCAATATTCCCCAGATTTTACCCTAAGTTACTAATTCTAGTGATAACTTTGTCAGTACGAATTCTTTGTCTACCCTTAAATCAGGCCTGCACAGGTTGATGTTTTAAATGAAAACTGTTTAAAATGATAAAATCGGTTAACGTGAAATGGTTAAATGGAATATATTAATGTTATGAACTATTAAAAAAAAATGTACAAGAAAGAATAACCACAACCAATAAGAACACACGAAAAACAGTGACCAAAATATAAACCATCGCACCTTGTGTGACTGCAAAAAAATGTGTTGGTTGCTTTAAAGTTAAAAAGAAATACTTCGGGTATTCAGTAAATTAGACTAGACTATTACGTTTTAAAAAATGAAAAACTATTTTCAAGATAAACCTGATTTTTGTTCAATTTTCCTATAAGTTATATGTCCGAAGTATTTCTTCTGCATTCCCCAAACACCCTGTACGTGTTAAACAAGTCGAAAAATAATACAAAATAAAATAAAAAAATATATTACAACTCTTGTTCGAATCATTATTTTTTTTAATATATTATATAATATCTACAGCATTAGGCTTAAATATTTGTACATATTCTATAAGTACGACTTAAAAATGATAGAATAGAAAAAGATAAAAAAAATATTTTGAAAATGTTAAACTTAATGAAACAAAAAATGTACAAATACTGAGAATTCGGAACATTCCAACGTTATACTATAACTTCACAGCAACACTTAATATAGAGAAATAATCATCATTGAAGATACTTGATTAAAAAAAAATTAATACCACACACCGGTTTCATTTTGAGTATAACTACAAATGTTTACAATTAATTTTCAAATTTAAAAAAATTAAAACATCACAAGACATTACATCTTGTCGACTTGGTACTTGCAACAACGGTTACATCTTCGGCAAAGTACCTAAGAATTTGTACTCATATCTCATTAAGTTGGTAAACCTATAAAACTGTTTAGACAATAATTTTTAGCAGTAAAAAAAAGGCGAACTTAATTAAAGTCTTAATTCATTTCCCATTTGATAATCAGTTGTTAAAAAAGTCCCAAATTTACAAGGCAGAAAAAACAGTAATCATAGAAATGATATGTTGCCAAACTCACGTCTGAGTAACGTAACGTGTAGGTTTACTTGACAGATTAACTACCATAGCCCTATAGTCTAATTAGCAAGTAGTTACTTAACTTTACTGGCCCTTAATATCTTAACCTTGATTGTTTGGATCATAAAGTTATAATAACTGGTAATTGATTAATGACACGACATGGCTAACTTTAAACGTTTCCCGGTCGAACACTGACTGTTGAAAAAGTCAAAAATTCACAAAATGAGTAAAAACACTTATAGAAATGATATATTGACGATTGCAGCTCAATGTTTTAGTCTATTTTTGAATGAGAAGGCGATAAAGATGTAATAAGTATTTCTCAGTTGATAATCGATTGTTGAAAAAGTTTAAAATTTAGAACACAGCTAAGAACAGCCGTAGAAACGGTACCTGTAATATTACAACTCAATATATTTATCAGTTTTTGAATTACTGGATGATACATTTACACTTTTTCACTTTTTTAGATTGCCATGATACTGTAACTAAATTTGTTACCTTATTAATGCCATTAAATTTGCGAAAGTTATTATTGTATTTTATTAGTAGGTCTACCAACTATGTTGAACAAAATTTGAATTTTATTAATAAAGTTTGAAAATTATTTAAAACGTAGTAAGAAAAATCTTTTTAATATAGTGTAAAGGAACTTGGACACATATCAACGAATGAAGGTGGTAAAAAACCATGCGATATTAATAAAAATTTGGCAATGGTGCTTATATAAAAAACTAACTAGAAAATGCGTTGTATAAAAATGAATGGCGTATTTTTTTATTCAATTATGACTAAAAAATCTACGGAATTTGCTTAAACAACATTTTATCACTTCATTTCATTCTAAAAAAAAAAAAAAAATAAGATGTAGAAAAAGTGATTTATAATATCAATTTTTTCAATCATGCAATTTTTTTCTGATAAACCGAGTAAAAATCTATCATTACAACTTACTGTTCAGTTCACTGCCCGGTTGACTTATTTAAAAAACAATTTAATTAAAAAAATTGCCTTAAAAAAACGCAACTAATAAGCATTCTAATAATACAAAACTGTACTAAATATACATGGCAAGGCAGCTTTGTAAGACCCTCGCAAAAATTAACCCTAATATTGCACTTTTCATTAATAAAAATCAAGAAAAAAATCATCGCAAATTTACCGAGCACAATCAGTCAAATTTTCCAAATTGAATTTAATCGTGATTGTGTAAATTACAAGCATTTTCTCAATGGAATCACTTTCTGACTGTGCCTCGTTATAGGCAAATATTTCGATAAACAAATAAAACTACTCGTTAAAGTTATCAAATAATTCTGACTAATATCGAAGGAGAGACGTCAAATACCATCGATACCGTCAGAAGAGATGCGATTAAAAAAAAATATAAGCGATTAAGCTCTACCGGACATTGAACTCTAAGGAGCTGTTATGTTTTATAATAAGAATTCGTTTTTCAATTTTTAGTGATTGTTTGGAATTATATTTAACTATAGGGTCGTATTAAAACTATCTTTTGTCACTGGTACTGATTATAGAAGCCCAAATAAACACAAAAAGAGCCGATTATGTAAGAAAAATTGTTAAAAATTAATAACCGCTGTGCTTTTGATAATATACTGAAAAAGTCTAAAATTCACAAAACTTTTAAAAAACACTTAAAGAAAAGATGTGTTGGCAGTTGCAAATTAACCAGTTTTTAAATGTATGGGCGATAAAGTCGTAATAATTATTTCTTCCAATAAGATACAGTTGACTTTAAAATTTTCCAGTTGATAATCGCTTGTTGAAAAAGTCTAAAACCCACTGGAGATTATTATATATTGACGCTTGCAACTCAATATATCTAGTGGTTTTAAAATGACAGACCAATAAATTTGTAATAGTATTCCTTGGAAGGCACGACTGACTTTAAAAAATTCCCAGTTCATAATTAGTCATTGAAAAAGTCTAAGATTCACATTGAAATTGTATACTGAATATCTTAACAAGTTTTTGAAGGGCTGGTTTATAAATCATAACAAGCATTTCTTGGGACAAGACAATGTTAACTTTCAAAATTTCCCGGTTGATAACTGGTTGTTGAAATGGCCCAAAAGACAGGTAAAAACACTTGTGTAAATGATAAAATGGTGCCTGCAACTCAATATCTGTAGTATTTTATAAATGACATGCCAATAAGGTCGACCAAAAGATTTCTAAAAATATGACATGGTTGACTTTAAACATTTATCAGTTCAAAACCAGTTGATAAAAAAGTTTAACCTTTCAAGGACAGGTAAAAAACAGTTGTAGAAATGATACTTTGTAGGTCATAATACTCTGTCTTTACTTTTTATCCGACGACAACATTGAAATTCTAAAAAATTAAATCTCTAACAAAATCGACTCCAAAACAAATTCATAATTATAAAACGCGATTAACTTTGTGTAAACCAAAAAAATTAAAAAAAAAACTACATCACCGGATATAATGAAAATATATTTTTATATCGCACAGCGACTACAAGAATGCCACATTTTAAAATGTAATACGTCCATAGAAATAGAACGTTGTTTTTACTTATCGTTTTTGACGTTATCGTGTGATCATAGATGTAATAGTGATTATTGCGATTACTTCACATCTGGTGTGTACTTCCAGTTAGAAACACCTCAACAGCGGTTAACTCTACAATAAAATTGATAAGGACCTTTTTTATAGAGCACATTTCTTATAATTTTCATTTAAAACAATTTTATCGAGTCACAATGTTTTTTAAATCTGGAAACAAATAGAAATAGAAACGTCAAAAAATATTTATATATTTATGTCTTCTTATTCGTCAAATTTCATTTATTTATCTTCTCAAAAAGCAAAAAGTAAGAATCCAGTATCTATGAACACACGTTGTAGATTTTCAGAATTAATATTTTAGCACTTATTTTATTGGCATTATCGCAATCGCTGCGCGACTAATCAAAGCCTCGTGCATTCGTCGACGCTACTACTATCAACATCGACGATGCTATCATCGTCAGCATCATCATCATCAAACACACTGCTCTTGCTAGCCAACGTGGTGCAACTACCGAGCGTACTGTTATTTTCGGTGGTGGTATCGGTACCTGTAAAGCCCACAGAGTCCGCAGTCGACAGATGGCAATCTCTATCCCTCTCCTTATCGTCTGCGACGACCGTCTCTTTCGCCGTTTCGCTGGCCAACAGCACGATCTCGTTCATCTGTTTCTCTTGCGACGAGAACTTGTCTTTGCGGATGCCGACTATCTCCTCGAATGTGGGTTCTTTGAAGACGCCAAACGGGCCGATTGGTAGTTCGTCTTTGGTCGGCGGGCCCGGCAAATCGAGTTTGTGTTTCTTGAGTTCCTCCATCGATGTTTCGAGATGTCTGATGACAGAGTCTTCGTCGTACTGGAAGTCTTTGTATAGTTTTACCTAGAAGAGAATAATTTGTTCTAAATTAAATGTAATCTACAATAATAGATCAAGTGCACAGAATCAGACACTATTGAAATCGTTAGTAAAAATAAACAAAGTTTGCTCTGCAATTTTCCTGGACGTAGTGCAAGCTTTTGATAAAGTATGGCATTGGAAATAATATTGTCAAGACGATATTCACACCTATTAAAATCTTATTTAACAGAAAGATATTAATTAAAGGAAATCAAGCCGGAAGTACCGCAAGATAGTGTACATAGTTACATCATTCTGGATAGTAATGTAATCATCCAGACAAACAATAGGTCTAAACTTTTTTAAGTCATCGACAAACAATAGAATTTCGCTATTAATATGTGTCAATATCATTATTGAATAATGTAATGGAGCTAGGCTTCTTTATGGTTACGAAATTCAACAAATAGCATTCTTTCATTTAGGTAGGATATTAGTAAGTTAATAAGGTGGCTATCAAAACCATAATGTGCTAACTTATTCAAGAGTATGTTGTGGTTAATCTTATCAAAGGCCTTTGAGAAGTCCGTAAAGCTACTATACCCCAATTACATATTCAACCTTCAGCCCAATACAACAGCGACATTTGCAAACGACACTATAGAAAAAAGGTCACAAATAAGCTGCCAGAAAAATAATTCAAAAACAACTGAACGAGATACTAAGAAATATCCCACCTGCACCCCTGTACTGCTGCAACTCTGATCTTAACCGGAACATAGTCAATTAAGGTGGAATTAAATTACTTAATATTATAATTAGTAAAATACCCTACGAAGGGCATTTGGTTAAAAAAAAGCGGAACTTTGAAAGCCCCATACATATGTTGAGCGAGCATGGTAGCACAAGTAGTTGGTGATACATTCTTTTAAACATTTTTAAATCTTACCTGTATAAAATGTACAATGGAATCCATATCACCGAGTTTTAATAATTGTCTTTTGTGTAATTTGAGTATTGTATAGGCCATTGCAGTTATCACTCGTTCGCCATCTAATAAATAAATATCCCAAATGCGCAGACACAAACTAAAAGGAACCTGAAACGAGTATAAAAGAAAAACAATAATAACATCATTTATTTACAAACTTTCAAAATTTCCCTGATTTTCGATTAAGTTAATCAAAATATACCTTCTATTACCAATCAAACTTCCCTGATATTCATTTTTATAAATTTTAAGATATCACAATATTTATATCATTTTTAGAGCACTTGGAAAGAAATTCGTTGCCACAACAAGCATCTTCCTAGCTCAAATGGTTGCTGAGATATTTAACAAAAACACTGATTTTTCTGTTAAAAGTCCTACAAATTCGAACAAAATTATATTTTCTGCTCTTAAGAACAATTCCTAAGTGATTCATCTGCGCACAAATCTTATACGTAGACGTACTAATGCGTATCCTAGCGCAGAATGCATATCGCGTTGGTATTTGGTGAACGTGAAGATCTTTATTTCTCTAAAATTTTGGGATAAGCAATAGTGCAAGGATATCCAATATCTCTCTTATCATAATAAATATGAGAAGACGTTGTAAATAACAGTTATAGCGTCTAAATGAATCATCCTGTATATTTTGTCATCAATGATTCAAAGTGAAATTTTAATTCAATAAGTTTTTATTTTTAAATACTGCGATGTTGTTAATACCGGTTCATGATAAATATTAAAAAAAAAACACTTTCTATTATTAACTCTTAGTTTAGCATATTTGATAAATAAAAAGATACTACTTAGTTATCTAAAATGTCTGAGAGGATCGAAAAGTATATTTTTATGTACAGGCGATTTTATACAGGTTCATCAACTTGCTATTTTCAAATTGAACAACCAGTATATTTCACTATTTGTTATTATAATATAGGCAATAAACGTGACAGTTTTGACAAATTTTTATTTTAATGGTAACTTTTAGTGATCTTACTAATATACTAATAATGCCACCTTGATTTCATCAAGCACGAATGTACTAATTCGCCTGAGAGATCAGAATGTGCAAATCGCGTCTGTACATAATACTGCTCTATGTCAGGAATGTGCATTTTTTAATGGATGTATGTTATACAATTTAATTCCAAATGACGTAAAAAATGCTCCAACATGAACAATTTCAAAAAGAAACTAAAAAAATACATAAACGATGTTAATTCATATACCCTTTGAAGAGTTTGTATTATTTCACTAAGCCTAATCTTAGTTTTTATTTACATTTGTTTTATTTTATTACTATTATTATATCTGATTTTTTATATATACCTATAATTGTACTTTGACTTGTTCTCTATGTAATATTCATATGAAAATAAAGATGATTTATTATTATTATTATTATTATTGGGTGAACTGGAGGAAAAATAAATTTAGAAACTACTGTAGCTCCCTTATTTGTAACCGACCAACATCTTCTAATATATAATTTTGTAGGTCACGAAAAAGCTATAGGCCATTTAGACAAACGCTCAAAATTTTTTTTGTTTGTCTTTTTTTGTTTTGTTCTTTTTTTTTGTTTTTTCTTAAACTAATAAACTAACAACAAAAATCATAAATATATTAACATGTACAATTGCTGCGTTTGAAAAGTAACTCGTTTTGCTTTTTTTACTCGATACCGCCCCTTTCGCTCCGTTTCCTCCATTGATAAGGTTTGCTCGATGTCACGTGACCAAAAAATCTACTCGCTCTGCTCGATGAGGTACTTTTCAAACGCAGCAAAAATCGAAACAACTAATATTAAGACTAGGCAATTTAAGTCACAGTAAGTTTTAACACCCTCAGAAATTTAGAAAAGCTTGAATTAAAAAATTCTAGACTACCTGCACAAGCATTAGCGCTTCATGAAACTCTAGGCATGAATGAATTGAGGCCAGTATTACTTCTCATGGAAGGCTGATGAACACTGTTTATTGATCTTGTGCTTCTAGTTGGGGCTGCCAACAACATGCTTGAAATCAATGTAGGACACTCTACCATATAATTAATGAGCTTAAAAAATAATTTCAGATCTGCCTGATCTCTTCTTATTCTCAAAGTTGGTAAAGTTAATGTCTCTTGCAGTGCCGCAAAATTATATGAATAGTCATCTATCCGTGGAATATTTGATTTAAATGCTAAGTAGCGAAGAAATTTTCTCTGAACCTGTTCTAATCTATGAATGTGACAAGTATACTGGGGGTTCCAGACTAAAGAGCAATATTCTAGCAAAGGTCTAACAAGACTACATTACAATAACCTGATAGCATTAATAATTAATTAGTAAAGTCTGATGTGTTTCTCTTTATAAACCCAAGCATACCAAGTGCTCTGGGTACTACTGCGTCAATGTGATTGACAAATGAGAGTCCATAATAACACCCAGATATCAAAGGTTTCTTGGCACCATTTTAATGAGCACAAAACTGCGCAATTTTTGTCTAATTTAACCAACTTTCTATCTGTTACCGTTTAAGAAATAGCAATACTGTCCCTATGAAATAGTAGTTACCCCATATAAGATTAATATTAACATTAAAAAGAGTAAAAATATATGCTGTCCTGAAAACGGTTTTCAAATGACCTACTCCCATTTATCACCATTTCCACAGTAACCTTTCCTAAAATACCAGTGACATTTCCCACAAAAATTCAAAAATATAGTTGAAATGCAAAAAATTCTTTATGCATTTCTAGGCCGTCTTGAATAAAACGTTTATAATATCAAAAACAACCCCTAAATGTCTTTCAAAGTGAACCAACGTGTCTTCATGTCTGTATAAATAGATAAATAGCTGATCTATTTTTAGCCGCTTTTGTCTTAAAATGTAGGTATCTGACGGGCTGTAACCTTTTGACCTATTTAATTATAAGAATTAAACTCATTTGACTCACAAACTTTTGGTTCATTTGAACTATTGCCCCATTTTTTTTTTTTAATGAGACAGAGTGTAATAAATAATAAATGTGTGACTGTAAAAAGCTAAATTTTGTTCATTATTAATTTAAAGTAAAAGTTGGTGACAAAGTTTTTATTTTAAAAGTAAAAAATTAATATTTAACTGATATTTTTTAGTCGCCAGTATCTTGGGCCTTTTCTTGTTATGTTTCGAGAATATTTTCAATTGATGTAAATTGAATATTATTCCGAAATTAAACTCCAAAAATGTCTTTTATGAAAACAAGGCGAAGTTGGCGTGGCTTTTGCTGGCTTGAACATGATTGGCTGAAACAAGTCCTACAATTGAGACTATGAAGACTAGAGATAAGGAGGCGAATCGGCATACTCGAAATACGGTCCTAAAAAACGAACGTTAATTGAGCTTTTTTAATTCACCACAAGGGCGTGGTGCTAGTACCACTGTTTAAAATACATGGCTTATTATGGGAATTTTACATAATTTTGTCAAAATAATAAGAATAAACTTGTTTAATGCCAAATAAAGCACATAATATACTATTGTATTTATTTCTAAATAAGTCTCACATGTTTTAATTGATAAATTATTTAATTTTATCTATATAAAATGCATTTTTGGTAGGTATGACCCAATTCGATAAGATTTAGTAAGTACAATTTTATACCTAAATATAGTAGTTAAAAACAAAATAAAAAACAGTTAACAGATTTTTTATTGTTACAATACAAGCATAAAGGGAGATTTGGGAATGTATATGATATTGCCACATCCTTTATTTTCGGCTTTCCCCTTTTTATTTTGCCAATAGTACCTTCAGAAAAAAGAGTCTCATAATATTTGGAAATATCTTTCAAAAAGTGTAGAACAGCATCATCTCTAGAAAGTGCTTTATCGGCCCTAGGAACGATATATATGTTGCCACTGTTCTAAGCGTTTAGGATCCTATAAAAAACATTTACAATGACAAAATTGTGATTCAACAAAAAAACATCAGTAGCAACTCTTTATCTAACATTAAAACTCTATAAAAAAAACAAATGTTCTTTTCTAATAAGTTAAATTTAATGTATAATTATAATTGTTTGTAAGTCAGGATCTGACTGTAAAATGTTATGTTATAGAAACTTGTAATAAAATAAACTATACTCCATGATATGTGGTGTGACTAATTTACAATAAATATTATATTTAGACATAAATACATTATTATACTTACATTAGAAGCTTTAAAAAGACATTGAATTGATTTCTCCTTGTGTTTTCTTTAGTTTTACATGTGATTTTTATCCTGTTTTACAATGTGGAATGAAGCAAATCTTGCTTTAATGTTTTTTGTCACTCATGTTACTTGTACTCAGGTACATTTTTTCATATATTTAGTCTTCATAATTGAGAACCATTACGGAGTTTTTGTTTACAAAAGAGAAATACTGACATATTGCCCACATGCCCTCAAAACTATTGGAGAGACAAACTTGTGTTGACATTGTCCGACATTTACAATTTCAGGGTTATGTGAATTTGAAAATTGGAACATTTACTAAATGTATGTCTACAGGGTCAGTCTGTTACAATTTCATGGATATGTGCATTTGAAAATTTAAATATTTACTGAATTTATGAATGCAAGGCCCAGTGTGATTTTATATATATATATTGAATTATTTTATGTTTGTATTTAAAAAATGGATTATAAATTTGTAACAGACATAGCTGTTAAATATCAAAGTTTAAATTATCGCAATTTTTTCTTACTGTAGGACATTTTGTGTCCTTCTCAAGATGAAAACCATATTCTTCTAACATTTTTCATCTTTGAGATGTACTGTAATGAATGGGTGATTAAATGATTATTTTTCTGAATAGCCATCCAAGTGAGTTCTCTAAACTTACAGATTATTACAAAATCAAGGCCTAACACTTTTTTATGATAAAAATAGTGTTCTTTTCAATGGTGAGACCTGAGAACCACATTTTTCAATCACATTATTTTCAAGATATGGTATGAGTCAGGAATTGAGAATTTTTTTGAATTAATTTTAAAATTATCCCCAAATCAGGGACTTTTTTGTGCACAAATTGCTGAACATTTTTAGATTTTCCATTTTTTTTTATGTACATACTTATACAATTAGAGATTGAATTCTTTACTGGGATCACAGAAGACATAAAACCAAATAAAAAATCTAACAAAAAACTAATAAAGAATAAGTTCCTATAAAATATGACTCACCCTTTCAATGAAACACACAAAAAACCACTTCAATGAATACAAAATGGCATCCAAGCCATGCTTGTCGAAATGCTTCTTCACTTTGGGCAATAACTTGGTCAGAATTCTATCATGATGGGCCAAAAATCGAGTTAATTTTGGAAATCCCTCTTTATACAACCCATGCATGGCAAACCTGGGATTTGCCAGCAACACATGGACAGCCCAAAAGGCATCTTCCTCGTCCATGTACATGAGTAGAACCCCCGCCAGGCCTGACATGCCTTGACAGTAGCCCACCTGCAAGGATTCAGTAAAAATTTTAAATAATCCAAATCAGCACTTTTGAATCGCACTATATTTTCATTATTCATGTACCTACCTCTGAATTGAACATGGCATAAGCTGTTAGAACATTGAACAAAGATTGCTGTTTGATACTGTATCTCTCTCTATAATGCAGATGTTCCCTAAATTGTCTATTTACATCAGAGTCTATTTGCCTGGCATCTGTAGAGTATTTTCTGGCAAGCTTCATCATCTCCATATATTTACCCTTATTCTGTTTCTTTAATTTTTCTACCTATAACCAAATTTTAATGATACACATGAAGTGAATTGCATTTTCAAAATATCAGGTCATTATATTGTTTCATAAATACCTCTAGTAATTTACCCCAAACTTCAGTCCTGAGAGAATTGGGAATACCCTTGTACACCCTAGAGTGCATTTTCTCCTTTACAGCAGGGCTATCCCAATTCTTGAGCATTTTCAGCCATTTTTTCTGCCTCTCTACTTCGATTTGAAGTCTCTTTGCTTCCTGCGGGTCCACTTTGGATGGCAGCCTTTTATCGTGGATGAAACCATACCTGTCTGTTGTGTGGTAGACTTCGAATCCAGGGTCTTCCCATGGATCGATCTCGGCACCCTCTCTGCCTTGCTCATATCTGTAAAAATAATGTGAATACTATATATTTTAATTTGTTTTATTATATCTCCTATTACCTTATGAATATCTTCTCTCGCTCTTCAGCTGATCTTTTCACTAAATCGTCTTCATTCATCCCATTTACAAATTTTGTAACACTTCAGACCCAACACTGTTCACCATTCCGCTATTTACAGTTACCAGCTATGTTTTGATGCATCTGGGACTTTCACCACATCTGAAACGCAAATATTTTAACTTAAAGTTAACAGGATAAATAAATATTATCGTTATTATTGGTATTAATTAGTAATTTGAGTGAAAATTTGGTGTAAACTTGACACCTGTCAAGTTTCTATTTCAGACGCCCCTTAAAACTTTTACAATCAGCTGCTGCTTTAGACCTATATGAATTTGTAATGTTATATTCAAGGCAGGTGTTAAAATTTAATTAGATTTAATTCACCTTATTTATTATTCGAGCTAATTAGAAATACATTCACGTCCACCTATAAACCGCTAGAAAACTCAAGTCTATGTCACTGTCAAACGTCATCACAACATAACTGTCAAAAACTGTCAATTTCGGACGTTTACGTTTTATTGATTAGTACAACATAAAACAAAAAAATCATAATTTTTCTGTTTGTAATATTAATTAATTGCAAATTTGCCAAATTTCCTAAAAAATAATATTTAAATCGTATAATTTATGACAAACAACGTGAAAAATAAAGAAAAATGATTATAGAAATTAGTTTAGCAAAAAAACAAACTCCAATACTACCAAAAATGCCTTCATTCAACATGACATTCCAAAATTCCCTGTTAAAAAAAAGAGCAAGAGTTATAACCAGTCGTTAAGTAAGAAGAGAGATAGACGATTGATAAGTAACAATTACGGTTCACCAAAAAGTCAAATCTTCTTCAACTTCAATAAATCGGCGATCGGCGAGTTTTTGTATCGTAGAAATTGGGTTATATTTTTAGTGAATTTCAAACGTTCCAAATAGTTTTAGGTGAGGTTGAAATTAAACTTATAACTTTATGATGGCAGGGGGGTTCACTGAGACTGCATTTATAAAAAAATTAAGTGAACTTAACAATACCTCGCAGAGTATTCAAACTTTGAGTCTGTGGTTAATTCATCACAGAAAACATTATAGCACAGTTGCGAAGATATGGATTAGGGAGCTGATAAAAGGTACTTTTGTATATTTTATAATGAAGAATTATATAGGAATGTTAGATGAATTATTTTTTGTAGCTAAAGGCTCTAAAAAGTTAACTTTTATGTACCTTGCCAATGATGTAATTCAGAATAGTAAGAAAAAAGGTCCCGAATATGGGAAAGAATTTTCTGTACACATGAAGAAAGCTTTTGAACACATGTCGAAATCTGATGAAAAAACGAAAAATAGCTTGGATAGATTACTTAATATTTGGAATGAGAGAGGGATATATGACAATGTTCTAATTAGTGAATTACAAAGAGCTTTAGGTAAGTTTAGTATATTGTGCATATTATGTGTGAAATATGAATACTAGTTTTAGGTAGTGAACCTCCAAATAAGAAAGTAAAAGTACATGGTAAAAAAAGCCCACTTAATCGAGATAGGAGGAAATCAGAGACTGAAAAAATTGTAGAGGTAATAAAAATCAATTTTGTTTATTCTTATTTAAGATTAATATTCTTTTTTTTTTAATAGAATTCTGATGGGACTATTGAAACCCACGTACAGTTAAGTCCCCATACTCCAGCTGGTGATCCACCAGAACCAGATGAACTTATCAAAGCTATACAAGACTTGGAGATAAATATTGCATCATCTGATGAATTGGTACGAGAAAGAATAGCTAAATTGCCAAGAGAGGTATCAGAAGTCTCTCTAATATCAAAAATAGAAGGTAGGATTTTTTAACTGTTTATTATTATTATTATTAAAGAGCTCAGGCAAACAGTATAGCCAATGAAGCCAAACTTCACTCCACCTATATCTAACTAACAATTATAATTATCACAATTTATCACAGGAAATTTAATTTGATTTTACTTGTTTTGTGATAAACTGCAGTGGTAGTGCATAAGTCTAGATTTACTTCACTTAGTTCCCTATCATTTCTTGCCTTGAATTGGTTAACAGCAGCTGTTATAGTGTCCTACTGTCGTTCTATGTATACACTATTTCTTAAAAAGTATTTTCTTTGTAAACTGCTGCACCTTTATATTCTTTGTGTGACCCTACAAATGTGCTTGGTTGAAAGATGTTTTCACATGAATATCCACTTAGTCCAAAGTTTAATTTAAGTTTCCACAAGAGAGTCTTTCTCTTAGAGTAGTGTAGTCCATGTTCTGTAAAATCTAAGATATTTCAGTGACTCTTCTTTGAACCCTCACTGTCCTTGGTAAAATATGGATCCCATACAGTTTTGGCTTTATACATGTTTTGTGGGGGTTAAGAACCATTTTTTCATATAAAAGTTTTTTTTTAAGACAAGGAAGCTGCTGAAAAACTTAGCACTCAAGTAGGTGAGGCTGTTCACTTATTAAGCCAGTACAATAACAGGTTATCATCTGAAATGGACCATAGGAAAAAGGTTTCTATCATGATGCGGGATTTCCTGCATGTGCAGGAAGAATTGCTAGCTCAAGCAGAAAGAAATTTAGAGGTGAGTTCATTTTAAAAAATTATGATTTTTGTTTTAAGTCCAGTGTCTAGTAACAGATTTAACATCTATCACTATTTAGTATTGAATGAATGCCAGAATGATTAAATTTTTCATTTTTAGTTTCTAGAATTGGAATTTATGACTAAAAATATGACATTTTTAACATTACATTTTTAAATATTTTCTTTTCTTTTTAATAATAAACTGATTCATCTCTAATCGCTGTGTTTAGTAATACTCTAACATTAGTTTTAAAATTTCATCTAATTTTGAATGATGGATGTTAGAACTTTGACATTATCCTTTTTTGGGGATGGAATTCTAATTTGAATCAATCAAGGGGCTCTCTTTAAAATGTTGTTCTTTTTTCTTAATAATCAACGAACTGATTTCTCTCTAATTAAATTTCTAGTGACATTTTAACTCTAGTTGTTAACAATATTTATCAAAATGTAATTTTCCTCATTTTTTGTAGTTCTACAATTGAAGTCTGTATCTAGTAGTTTCTTTAAATACATTTTTTTATCATAGATTTTAAAATTCTTCTTTTTTCACAAAAATCAACTTGTTTCTGAATTTAGTGTTTTAGACTATTTAACTCAAGTTGTCTTCAGTATTTGTCAAATGTCATCTAATATTTAATATTGTTTACTCTGTATTGTAATCCTGCTGCTCTCAAAGTTTTTATTTGCAAACAACCCACCAAAATATATAACATTTTCATGCCACTTTTAGTTTTTTCTTAGATATTTAAAACCTTTTCATTGGCGAATCTCTATTCCAAATTTTATAGAATATTTACAAAAAAAATTTTAATTTTATCTTTAAAATACCAAGAAAGAGTTTGGATAATAATGGACTTATACATTTCTCTAGTTCTGATATTTTTTCATTTAAGGCAACTTGACAACGTTGCTTCAAATAATAAAAATGACATGTCATAGCATATAGCACTAAAAAATATTAATTATTATTTAAGTGATAAATTTTATCAATTAATATTATACATAGTGAACTGTGTCAAATTTTAATAGGATTTAAAAAGAAACTGAACTTTATTGGGTATTAGAAACAAATTTTAATCAGAATACAGTTTATTTTTTTTTTTTTATATGTAATTCAGTGTTTAGTGACAGTTTAATTATTGTAATTATCAACGGTCATCTAATTTGAACAATTTTTATTCTTTTGGGCATTTTAAGAACTTAAAACGGTAATTTTTAGGAATACCAAGAGAAACTATTGAAAGTATTTAACGTTAGGACGGAGTTGCACAACCACATCCGCAACCTACCCGATTTGACACAGCTACCGAACGTAACGGACGGGCTGGCACCTTTACCATCAGCAGAACATTTATTTATGCAGTAAATTTAACATCCAATATTATTCAAACAATTCTAATGTGAGCAATCCCTACACATTTACCTATTTAGATCTTAGAAAAACGGTTTTTTATTTTGACTGTGTATATTAGTTCGTGTATTTTAAAATTTTAGCTCTTTCAAGTTTGAATATTTGCTAGAAGTGATTAAAAAAAGATATTTGTTGAAAAGAAAAAAATTGACAGGCATTTTGACAGCCGTCAGTTCTGTTAAGTCAAAATCACGACTCGTGACAGCTGTCAGATAAAGTTGACATGTTTGTATCATAAATACTTGTTAAACGTCTCGACTTTTTAACATTTATAAGAAACAAATTTCGTTCATTAATTATTTTGAAAGTATTTTTTATTTCATGCGTGGTATATCTGTTGACACGGTTAATACACATTCTGGGAGTCGTTCTGAAGGTAAAAAAAACTGCAAAAAATATTGAAAATGTGATTTTAATATTATAATAATTATAATTTTTTTTTAGTAAACAAAATTAGTTCATTGTCGATTTTAAGTTTTCTTCTGATTTGTTAGTTTTAATAAATTGTTATAATTTAAATGTATATTCTTATAATGACCTTCCATTCTATACTAGGTATAAACGCCGCATATAGCTATCAAAATACTGAAATATTAAACAAACTGTCAAATCTTGTATTGACAGTAGCTCGAATGTGACAGTTGTCTCATATACTGTCAAAATATCGTATCGAGATCTAATATATCGGAGTTATTGTGATATCTGTGAACAAAAAAAAATTGTAATAAAGGTAAGTGACGAGAATTAAAGAGAAACAGCATTTTGACAATCTCATTTATTAAAAAAAAATAAACAATCACAATGTTTTACTTATTTCTTCTACATGCAGACATGCATTTTTTATTTTGATCGCCTTTAGTCATTGCCCCAATCTTTTCGGTCGGAATTTTATGTTCGGCGGTGGATATTTTTCAAAATACCACAAGCAAGCATGGTGTTTGAACGAACGACCGACTCTAAAACAAATTTATTATTTTAGAAATTTCCTTACGTGGGATTCGAACCACTGCCGTCGTTTCTTCTGAATTCCCGTACCGATTATGGTGTATTACTTACAACGACATATCCTTCTTTCTTTTACATGGATCGTCCCTGACGATGGCGGTTAAATTCGGTTCCTCGAAATATCTGGGCGGTTCTTTCGCCTCCAAATCTATCTTAAATTCTTTTTTCTCAACTTTCTGATCGGGCGGAAGCGGCCACCAAAACGGTGGTTCTTCTTTACAGGGCCGTATATAGATGGCGGGTGGTCGCTTGGCATTCTCTTTTTCTAACAGTTTTCGATAGTGGTATTCAAACACTTTCTCATCGAATATGTTCTTTTTGTGCAGCTTTTCCAATCTTAAATCGTCCATGCAGCCCACCTCATATTGACAGGACCGATTGAAAATTTTTTCTAAAATGGTAGTTGCAAAAAAAAAACTGATTTTTACCACAGATTAGCCCAGATGCGAAATACGGCAAAAGATGGACATGTCCAAACATGCTTTTTAAAAGTGGAAAAAGACGCGCTTGTGTGTGAAATTAAATTAAACAATTTGGTTAAATTTTTTATAAACAACAAATTACCCTACTTATATGTTTTAACGGTTTTCTAATTAGTGTTTGAGATAAGCTCCATATTTTCAAATTTTCGTTTGTTTCATATATTATACAAATAAAAACTAAAAAGTGGCTAAAAAATCCATAGTTTGGAATAATTTTACAAATTATTTGTTTAAAAAAAACAAAAATACCAATGCAACATCTATTGTTCCCAAAATTTTTGTGAAAATACATCAAAGATATGGAGAAACATTTAACTGTGCAAAAGGTCAGAAGACTCTACACATAAAAACAAAAAAATATATTTTTATCTGACTGGCTTGTATAAGACGGCCCTGACTGGATTCCATAATACAGCCGACTACCTTATAGATTTATATCAATTTTTTTTCAGGGCATAATATACCCAATTTAGTATGCAAAATAATGTTTTTCGAAATATATTGGAGATTATGCAAAATAAAAAGCATTCTATTTTTTTTAAGTAGCTTCTAAAACTTCAACACAAACTAATTGTTTTCTTTTTAACAGCATAAATTAAAATTCCAACAAAAAGTGAACACCGGTCCTGAATGTCACCTAATTTAGGCTTACTAAAAAAGGTTTTAATTTTTCTTATTTTATGTTTATTTTTTTTGCGTAGCAACACACAATGGTTTAATTTTTTATCTTTTAATGTAATTAAAACAAAATTGACCATGGTATCTAACCTGTGCCGCCTGGAGCCATCGCAGATTGTTTCAATTTCAAACTTTATTATTCATTTTTCATTTGATGTTAAGTCTAAAGTCACATAACCACTGTAACCCTAAGAGCCTTGGTCACTTAAGAATATATTTTTTTGCTTTAGGAAGCTGTTCGAGTGAAATCGATATGGTCATTCATCTTTCTTTTGATTTTTTTTGTCAACTTTTGTATCTGGTGTGGGTAATCTGTGCTTTACTACAGAGAAGCCAAATTTTTTGATTTTACCTTTATGCATAAACCTAGGATCGTAAATAGGCGATGCTACTGCGTATTTCTTGAACATATCGTGAATTAAGAAGTCATCTTTGCCCTGCGTTGTGACCCACGAATATTTTTCATCAAACATTAATTTTTCTAGAATCTTACGATGCGGTTTTTTTCTCGGTACTTTGCTTAAATCGGCTTCTTCATCTTCTCTGTAAGCTATCGATAATGAAAAAATATAATATTCTAATTCATATCAAATAAACAGCTTACGTATAGGGACACATTGTTTGGCAATGGTCGGAAATGTTATTCTTGGTTCACCGCAGGGAGTAAATAGATGTGAGGACACAAGACTCTTGTTGATGTCGTCGAGATCATAGTCTTTGGGAGGAGGAGCTGGTAATACGATCATTTTACTAAATTTTAACACTCGTATCTATACGAAAAATTTCTGAATGATAATCCGAACTGAATAAAGATACAATGTCAGAAATGACAATTAATATGTAACCTAAATTTTGATATTAAGGATTGAGTACATGCATTGTCTAGTAAAATGCTTTTTTATATCTGCGATACGTAGAATTTTTTGCAGTGTTGCCAGCAGTGTATAAGTAGCGAAATTTGTGACTACCAATAGTGAAATCCGACAACCGGAGGTTGATAATTAATTTAAATAATTCTTATATATTACATATTATATTCAAATTTTTATTTCGAATTCAAACAATCTCCCGACTTGTAGGCGCCGTTTAATTACTTCTGGGAAAAGAAATCGACGTGTAAACTTTAACGGCCGCTGGAAAAAACCAATTGTAAAACGATAGGGCTGTTCAGAAATCAATCTTTTCTGAACAAGAAAAAAATTATTTATTTTACAAAATTAGCGCGAAACAATTTGAAATTTGCCGCCCGGAAATGAGCGTGTCATTTCCTTTTATAAAACACAACGTCCGGAAGGAGAGTTGAGAAAGATCGCCGCGCGCAAGCAGCGACCATGTTTAAAAAATGGAAAAAGGGCGAGTTGGCGTCTGAAGCGGTGGGGTGAATGGTTTTCGCTTTAATTAGTTTTAGGCCGTACAAATTAAGCCGGTTTCGGATGCGGAAGGACTGTGAAGCCCTAATGTTATGATTAATACACAATTCACATCCAGGAAACTTGTTTTTGTGCTATGGACGGTCGGATCGGTGTTGGACATTGACTCAAGCTCTCTAGCGTGGTTTGTGAACCAAAATCGTTTGTGTTATGTGAAGAAAAGAGCCTTAGGCCACCATAGACCGCCAGGGACCTCAATAGTAAGGGCCTAAAAATTGTATTTCCCTTGCGGCTATGTAAATTAAAGCCTGATAGAAGCAGGATGGATCTCTATTTGAGACACCCCAAAAGTGGGCCTGGCGGGCGTCCCCCTTTATATCAGGTGTTCTACGATTGAGCGCCATTGTTGCCCCATATGAGTTTCGAATAAATGTCAATATTTTTTTTTGCAATAATCTAATTATTTTACGTACTATTCAATATTTTTAATAGAAATTTTGACAGTTTTAAATAACCCAGCAAATGGGTTACCAAATGTAACTAGTCACAAAAAATCTGATAATTGTCTAATTTTACGAATATTTCAGTCGTTAAAAGCATAATTATACGTTTTTTATTTGTATTTTTTTAACTTTTTCAATGAGACGCTATTTACAACACTTGAACCACCCTGTATAGAAAATATTCAATTTCGAAGTCCATCGTAACCAACAGTAACCACTAAGGATTAGGTACTTAAAAAATTGACCCCGTACACCAAAATCTTCATATCTCATGTATTTCAACTTAAGTACAGTATATAAAGTTTATATTTATAAATAGTAAAAAAAAGCAAATACATAATTCTACATACTAAACAACAATAACACATAATATACAATTTATGTACAATATACAAATACAAAAAAAAAGTTTACACAATTTGATAAAAAAAGAGATTAAAAAAATTCAACAAACAACAACGCCCTACTGAAAATATTTATAGAACTTGGGCCCCGTAACGCTGCCGCTGCTCTGTTGGCTGCCTCCGCTTGCGGCGGCGGCCGCTGCTCCGTTCAAATGATGAACGGGGTCGTTCTTATAAGTTAACGCTTTGAAGACTTCGTTCACATCGCTGTCCAGGCTGAGATTCGAGAACTCTTCGTTAATGTGGCGCTGCAGCTCCGACTCGCTCAATCCGTTTTCGAAAACCTCGAAATTCACATTGTCCTTCGAGCCGTTATGGTGCTCAGACACGTTTTCCGTCATGTAGACTGGTTTGTTGAAGTTTATCTGGTTGGTGGGGCTGTCGTACCAGCAGAACGTCGGCGATTCGCAGGAGGAGGGCGTGGAGCGCTCGAAAATGTTTTTGTCGAGGATTTTTGAGCCTTTTTGGTTGGTCGTGTGAAGGAGATATTTGAATTTCTCGGCCGCCTCTGAGCCGGTCGTTTCCCTCAAGTAGTTGTACCTAGATACAAAACGACGTGATTATCTAACAGTGTTCGTCTAAAATCCCTTTCCCCTTTACTTACCACCTCTCCTGCAAACTGGGCGGCTGCAACAGCATATCCGCCAACGACATATTCTGCGGCAACAGATTGACGCAATCGTTCAGCACGTGCGCCTCAGGGAAATGAACATTATTCATAAACTGTATCAGCTTATTACTGGACGCCTGGATGCTTCCCGCCTGCGCCTTACACCCGGCACTCTGCACGCCCATGTTCTGAGCCCCGCCCACCGTCAACGCCTTCGGTACCTGCGCCACCACCGGCGGGCGTGGCTGGACTACGATCGAGGGATTGACGATCGGTATGGGTTGGGTGAAGCCGTTCGTCAACGGTGGCGGGAGCAAATTAAATAGAAAGGGGCGTGGTTGCTGTGGGTACAACAATTGCGGAAAGAACCGCAGATCTTGGAGCGGGAAGGGCGATATGACGGGAGGCGGTATTTGGGAGACTAGAGTGGTGGGAGGCGGTGGTGGCGGTACTACTTCTTTTGGTATGCTAGCTTCGACTTTGGCGGCGTTGGGAAGGATCCCCAACTCTTTGTATTTTCTCGGGATGAATTCCGGAGCCAGAGGGTTGAGGGTGTATATTTTCTTTAGTTCTATACCATCCAGTTGTAGCTGTAGAAAAATATTTCGGGTTATGATAAAGCTTTATTTTTTTTTTATAATTACCTTGAGCTGCGTCCAAGTGATGCCAAACAAACTATCGTTATCCTTGCAGATCTGTATGAATCTCTCCCACACTTTGCTGCACCTGCCTAGCGAGCACAAAGCTATAGGGTCACCCACTACTGCGACCAAGCTCTGAGCGCGTGTGATGGCGGTATTGAGAAGCTTCGAGTTCGACAGGAACCCGTAATCGACTTCCGTTCGGCCCGTATCGGCGCTGCACGTTTTCCTTGTCCTCACCGTGGATAGTATGATAGCGCGGAATTGTTTTCCTTGCACGTTCAGCACTCTCTCAACACACACGTTGTCCACTCGGCGTTTTCTTAGTTCGGATCTTATTCGGAATACCTAAATAATTGAAATAAATTATATTCTGTCGCTTTCTATCTTAATTTCCTTCGAACCTACCTGATCGGCGTACGGCGTCACCACTCCGATGGATTGATCCGAATACGCGCCCCATTCCGTGGGCCAACTCCTCTTCAACTCCGTCACCCGTTCCACCACCTCGTACACCTCTGAATTGTTATAGAAAGCTGTCGAATTTTTATCCTGAATATCTTCACCACGCGTCGTGAAGAACGTCAACGGGAAGAACTTCACGTGTCGCGGCTGTTTGCTGCTGGACACCAGTTTCTGATCGTAGAAGGACTCTGAAGTGAACTGGATTATGCTTTCGTGCGCCCTGTAGTTTTCACATAGTAAAATCTTGCAAGGAAACTGCCCCGGGTAATGGTCGTACAGACGTTCGAGCAAAGAGATGTGCAGATTTCGTTCTTTAGCGAACAGAGAGAAGATGTCCGGTCCCAACTGCATGTGATCCCCCGCGAGGACTATCCGAGTGCTTTCGTGTGCTACGGCCAGCGGAGTAACTGTTTCGCATTCTATGGCTTGCGCAGCTTCGTCTAAAAGGATGTGAGTGAAGAATCCTTGTGGCAGACCCATCGCCGATAGGTATACCGAGGTGGAGAGCGTCACAACGACGATTTTGTGCCTCATAATGTCGTCAAGAGTGGGTATTTCGAAATTTCGATAATTGCCGTTGTTTTTAATCAGGCAATACTGTAAAATTATAAAAATTGGAGAACGAAAACTCGAGTTGATTATGAGAAATAAAGGAAATTAACCAAATGAAAAATCAATAAAAATCATGCTAATACTTAGAAATATACTTACTTTCTGAACGATAGGATGCACGGTAGTCACCCAACGTTTTGTATAATAAATCCTCAATGGCCTGGCGTCCTCTTCACCATTGTCTACCCACTGATCCAAATAATCTTTAATATACAAATCCGCAGCACTATTCGAATGTGTACACAACAGTATTCTGTTACTGGCATCCTTAATCAACTCCCTAATCGCCTGAGCCAAAGTAAAAGTCTTCCCAGTTCCGAAAGGACCGATAACCAGTATCGGAGGCAGTTGTATGCATAACGGGGTGGTGATAGCGTTGATTGCCTCTTTCTGCTTGATGTTCAACCGAGAGTCTAAAGTCCTGGACCATTGTCTCGAGGGTGACCAAGGAATACTGGGTTCTAAGTAAGTTTCTGGGAAGATCATTTTGAAATTGGTCATTTTATCTAAAGTATAATGCCATTCGCAATACGGTATCCTGTTTAATTGGAACTGTATGTCGACCTCGACGTCAGCGTCCGGCGACAATACTAGTTCCTTAACGGTAATGGCGCTCAACCTCAAATAGATTGTATTCTTCCCCTTGTCCTCTATCCACGCTTCATAGACCCTACGCTTCCTTGAGGCATCTTCAGACAGACTGATATAAACACTGTTGCAGTGCATGAGGATCAATCTGCCTTCCGAGGTGTCTTCTGAGAGTTCCTTGCCTAGATTTACAGACGCGAATAGCTCGCCGTTGGTGGAGTATTTGGCCGTGCTTGCGGCCATGCTGTTGGGCGACAAGATATAGCTGTGAGCGATTTGGAGTTTGGCCGTTAGGTTGTATTGGGCCACCAGGTCATATCTGTGAAATGGTAGCGTAAGAAAAAATGGCCAAATTAACGAATCTAACATAATATATCTTAATTAAGCTTATTCTTTCTATATAGTAACTAAGCCACAGTCCATCAAAATACTAACCTCGCCATTTCTTCGATAAACAGCAACTCGTGCATTCTCTCTCTGTAGTTGTTCTTGGTGAACTTCTTTTCGGCCACAGTGGCGTGCGACAGTAGAAACGACTCTGCGTGCGGGCAGGGGTACATCGATCTCAAGCGTTTCTCCCACTCCTCGTTCGGATTCGCGTTTTCTACCGTAGAATGAAAGGGGACTATGTCCGAATTGTGTAACGTCCAACGTTCCGATATAGACAAAGTGATTTCTTTACGAATCTCGTTGATTTTCTCCAAATCGGGATCGGGCACGACGTCTACGCACATGTGTTTCACCAGGACTGGTTCGCAGGAAAAATCGAATACTATGGACTGTCTAAAATTGGGGAAAATTTATTGAGTTTCGAGATACAATTTGTTATGTTAAAAAAAAAGGTTATATTTTATCTGGTAGTTAAGTGGAAGATAAATGTGTAATCAAGAATTAATTGGATAGTTTGATACACATGACTGAAAACTAACCATTTTAATTGATCAAAAATGAGTAATACCTCAGAACAACTATAACTCAGAGTCAAATCTTGTAATGGAGGTAGGTTATTTTGTTTACGCTCATTTTGTCGCCATGATGAAAGAGGAGATCATAGGCGTCAATTGCAATTGGGTGTTACTTTTCCGTTTGTAGTTAAATAAATTCTAGTTATTAGTACGTACATGTTTTGTAGTCTAGTTTATTTTATAGTTATTGTAAGTACAGTTCATAATTTAGTTTGTGTAATATATCACAGTAAATTTTGGACTCAAAACATGAAGAATAATATAACTATGGTGGTTTGTAATTGTCCAAAGGATATAAGTGTCTAAACCTAGGTGCAATACACATATTGTAAAACAAAAATTAAAATAATACACCAATTATATGTTTTTCTATATGTGATAAAAAGGTTAAATTAAGTCCAATTATTATATTAGTAGGCAAACTCATTTCCCTAACGAGTAAATGGAGTCATCCTTTAATAATCATTGAAACTTATATTACAAAAGGTATTCTTAGTTAAAATTCCCTATTTTACCGATTTTAAGGACAGGTGTATTAAGCGACATTTTCACATTTGCCTGTTTCTCGAAAATACGTAATGTCGCTTAAGTCACATTTTAATATTTATTTTAAGAAAAATTTTAAACAGTAATTTCGTATTACTAATTTTTATAGTGATTTGGTTTTTATTGCTCCATATATGTTCTTTAAAAAATAAATAAAACCCGATTGCTACAATGTAATCAATATTCCTTTAGTCATCAAATAATGTGAAACATTGAATTGCAAATTATGTAAAGAAGATAGAAGGTAAGTCAATAAAAATATTCTATATTAGAGATTTATGGACTTTTCTTGGTTTTTGAAAGCTTTCCTTGAAATCTAATATATCTTGGCATAAAAGTGTATATTATGACAAAAAACAAAGTAGGTATTCATTGAAAAATATAATTATGAGAAACATCATCGATGAAAATTACTACTTACTAATAATTATCTTTTTATCCTTTTATCCCAACGTCTTCAGTTTATTCTCTGATTTATAGTTGCTCTGTGGTAATACATTTGTCGATCTAGCAGAACCCAACTTACCTGAACGTTCCAAAAATGCCCGTAGTAAACACAACCTTGATTCTATATTCCACAGCTAACATTGATTCCTGGTTCAACAGCGGCGATATCCATTCCTGGTCGTTCTTCAGATCGATCTTGCAATTTTTAATGAAAATATTAGCTATGTAAAAGTGATTTCTGTGAGTGTCCTGCAACAGGGCCACCGCCTTCAGCGGCCTTTTGGTTTTCAGCAAAAACGTCCACTCGTGCAAACTGTTTTTCGAAGAAACAGTCACCGATAGGGGACAGCTACAGTGGTCTTCGACCTCTTCGATTTTGCTGCACATCAGGGAGTTCGGACTGGAAGATTGGGCCCATTTTTCGAGAATATCCTCAGTGTAGGATTTTCCTAAATGAAATAGGTACTTATTCAGATGTTAATAAACAGGGTGATACAATGAAAACTGCTTTCTAGTTAAAATGGTAAAAAATATAGGTGTTTGTTATTTTATAGATTTAAAAGTGTAGATTCCAAAAATGCATTAGTTTTTGGCCTGTCTCCGTAGCAAGTGCATCAAAAACGCATTTATACATGAAAACAAATGTCTACTTTTTAGTTTTTTTTTGTGGCATTTACAAATATAGAAATTTTGTAGTGGTACAATAAAAAATAGTTGTCAGATCTGTTTTACAATGGATTTTAAATTATTGTGACACTTTGAACGTACATGTATTATATTTTTATTACTGATATTTTGTTGTCATTTATTATTGAATTTTTTAATCATGTAAATCTGCACGTCGGAGGTAAACTGCACTATGTCAGCATAGTGCAGTTTTATAAAAGTTATATTTTTAAACTCAGCTCATCGAGACCTTTTCACGGGTATACTACATAGTGTATTAGTAAGGTCACAATAAAAGAAAAAAAATATATCGCTATGTTCAATAAACTTATGAGGTAAATAACACCATGTGCACATAATGTTTTTTAACTCTCATGTTAGTCGTATTATTCATAGAGGCATGAAAGAGGTATATGACAGTATATCATACAAAATTCGGTATCATAACATAGAAATATGTCATAAAAACCAACAATTTATCCAAATTTAAAAAAAGAAAGTTTTATTGGTTAGATTAGTAAACAATACTGTAATGTGAGCCATTTCGTTATTCAATCATGCTCTAATCCTCCAAGTCTCTCATCTTATTTGGATTTTGAGGCTCAACTTGTCCAATTATCATACATAATTAAACTCCTTAAGATCAAACATATGTGACGACTATGGCGAAGGTGCTTTCGATTACTATTCGAGAAAGAACGTGATAATGTTTCTAATTTTGGCGAGAACGTTCTGGAATCTACCAGAATTTTAAATGTGTATAAACATTCATTCGTATATAGACAGTTGTGAAGATAAATAGTGAACAGTTTAAAGACATTAGAAATATATAAATTAGAATAGTATTGTTTTAAAATAAATAAGTGTTCAAATAAATTATTAACAAATAAACTGTTGTTTAAAATAAACAAACATAACACTACATAAATATTGTGACAATAATTGGGTCTAACTACATTTCTTGTCGAAATATAATTAATATATGTAAGTATCGAGCACGAAAGTGTTTAAATAACATAGAATCTGCTCTACTGAAAAGATGACTAGAATGACATAGTGCAGTGTACCTCCAAGGTACTGAATTATTAAACTGCTTGATTATGATTATAAAGGTTTGCCTATAGGTCGTTATAGCTTTGACAATTGACCAATACAATCATCTAATTTTTTTTTTTTTTTGAAAACACTCCTTTTTTTATTTGTCGTGTACTATAGAGTCCAATCAAATAAATAAATTACATTGCTCCCATACTCACCGAACAGTTCCTTCTCTTTTGCCCGCTGCATCCGCATCTCCCTGTATCTAAACCTCTCCCTCCATTCGGCAAGTTCCTCCTCGCCGTGCGCGCGCACACACTGTAGCCCGTACCGGCAACACCTCGCTTCGCGCCAGTTATCGCACGGTAGGTAGGCGTCGTAGGTGACGCCTCTGGGGGGCGGGCGCCAACGCCAATCGCGCCCGTCGTCTGACATTACCGTCATCTCGTGTGCTTCGGTTTGGCAGTGCGCGCGCAACTCGTTCTTATCGTTAAATGTGACGTTACAATAGACGCAGGAGACCAGCGGTGGAGGTACGGACTGGAAATAGATGAGGCAGGTTTTTTGGTATTTTATGAACAGTTTGCCGATTACGAAACATTGAAGTCGATTGATTTAAGGAAATAAATTTATTCAATTGAGGATATAGGTGGTAGGTAAGAAATAAAATAAATTAGACAACACTACTACAAGTAATTTACTATTTTTCAGAACATTAATTAGCCAGGATTAGCGGAACTTCCTCAATTTTATTTGTAGGCAAGTCATCTTAGAAAAGAAAAATAAAAAAAAATTGTGAAGGGTAACATTTAGGTAATTTGAATTGAGTTTTTCCACACATTATTATTAAAAAACTATTTTTTTATTAACAAAATATATCAAATTAACCCTAGATTGCCTGTGTACTGTCTGCATCGATGATCTAGCTATACTTTCCTTAGTTTGTCCATTTTAATAGTGTTAAAAGCATACGGTTTTTCAAAGAGATGTTTTTGTTACTTTTATAAATGATTTATTTATTTATTATACGGGGAAACCCCATTATATAAAAAAAAAATATATACAATACAAAAATATACAGTGTCTGGCCAAATATTTACATACTACACTAATACAAAAAAATCTATATCTAACTCATTGGCCTTTCTGCCATTCTTGACAAAGGACTAAAATAGCCATAATGTGTTGATTGAAAGTGCACAATAAACAAGTCTTTGTTTCTCATACACCTTTGAGGAACATGGAACTGAATAAGTTGAAACATATGGCTACAATTAGTTAAACCCAAAATCAATTTAAGTAATACAACAAGGTAAACAGTCAATCTATGAAATTCTGGAGATTATAATTTCAATGATCTCTGTATATCCCCATACTCTCCATGTCTTAATCCCAATTTGAATCCACAGTATCTTAAAAACCTATTCTGAACAGCTTCAATAGAAAAAATATGGACATTGTAAAAAGGAGTCCAGATGGGCAACCCATATTCAATCAGGGATCTGACATATGCAGAATATACTACTTTGACTGAATTTATGAAGAGGTCACTAGAGTTTCTTAGTATAAATCCAAGAGTTTTTAAACACTCCTAAGTCTTTTATCTCAGTTACTCTATTGAGGACTATATCGCAAATAGAAGATTATTTTGTTGTGCACCCTACTAAATGTAATCCTGTATTTAGAATTATTGAGAGACATACAGTTTTTCACAGACCAATTATGGAGAGCTTGTACATCAATTTGAAGAAAAAGACAATCAAGTATATTACAAATAGCTATGTAAAGTTTTGAAAATACTACCAATGTCATTGATGAATAGTAGAAACAAGGGCCCTAAGTGAGAGCGCTGTGGGACTCCAGAAGGCACCACAATGTGATCTGAAGTACTGCTGCCAATCTTTACTATCTGGATACTACCAGTTAAACAGTTTTTAGCCATGAAATCAAAGGATCAAGAAAACCTAAAAGATTAAGTTTGTGTAATAATAATGAATGGTTCACAGGATCAATTGCTTTACACAAGTCAGAATAAATTGAATCCACCTGCAGATTGACACCAAATTGGGAAAGAATATCCTGCTGATAAACCATCAACTGTTGATTTACCTCTGGAAAAACCATGATGTTCATTGATTATCAAATTATTACAATATCAAGAAAGATCAAAGACAATTAATGTTTCAAAAAGTTTAGGAATAATGGATAGCATACTAATAAGCCTGTAATTCTGAATATCGTTTTTGTTGCTATTTTTGAAGATAGGTACTACATAACTACTTTTCCAGATGTAGGTATGTCTAATTTGTGTATAGCTGGAAACTATAAACGGTCAACTCAAAAGTAAAGTGTGGGATTTGCACAAAACCCATACTGCCCTGCTAAGACAAGAGGTTTTCTAATGCAAATAGATCTTTCTAACTTTAAATCATAATAAAAGTCTCAAAATAGAATATTTTGTAGATAAGACCTCGAGCATCAGAATAATATTGGATTTATATTAAAATGTTACATTATTTTTAATCAATTGGTTCAATAATAATTGAAAATTAATAAGTAAAATTGACATATTACAGGTAATAAAAACTATTGAATAAGGTTAACAATCTAGGGTTATTATAAAATTAAAAGATTTATAATGTATATGGTTTTTAAATAACTTTCATTCAGTCATTGTTGTTTAAAAATTAATATTTAATTGTTATGTGTAAAAAATACTGTAAAAAATATGCATGTAATACTTATCATTTAGAAACAACAAATATTGGTTAATTAAATAAGGTCAATGAAAACCAAAAATGTCTTTAATCATAAATTTTAAATAGCTGAAAAAAACAATAAAGATAATATCAATAAAATGGAGCACTGATGATAAATATTCATAAAACTGTGAGTAATAAAACCATTAACAATCCAATGACGACATTTTTGTATTTTGTAGAATAAAGATAATTTTTTCTGCACCACTTACCTTTGCTGAGTTATTGAAACCATTGGTGAAATTTGCATCTAAAATCTTTAATAGATTAATCGTCTTCTGTTTAGAATTAGTGCAGTTAATAAAACTTCCCAACAAACCCTCTAATGCTGCCTTAATCTCTTTGTTAACATCAGATTCTTGAATGAGAATCAACCAGTCTCTAGCAGCCATGTCTGCTTCTACAATTAAAAATTCATCAGAGTAATCACATCTTCCACAATTAAAATTAGTAATTTTTACCTGTATAACGTTTAATCATATACAGAGAATGTATTAGTCGTTTTCTCGCCAGGCAAACATTATAGTTGGTTTGATCAGGACAAAGTTTGATAATATTTTTTGAATCTATGATAACAGCTTGGTGATTATTTAATTCTAAAAAGCATTCCGCCCTATCGGTGAGATAGCCCACGATCTGTTCGACGCTATTCTGCTTATTTGTTAAAAGTTTGTTAAGTAGCTCTATTGCTTGCACCCAGTTTTTTTGTTTCAAATATTCTTGTGCTTGCAATTCCATCGTAGCAGGGGTCATGAAATATGGTTGCGATTAGGGTGCAGTGTTATTTATTACTTTCTTCTGTTAGTATTTACATTAATTCTACACTATTAATTTTAATCAAAAAATTAGTTTACAAAACATGAACACTAGACGTCATTATGACAGCAGTGGCAGATGACAGAACAAAAAAAAGGGAATTTGTTTCTAACTTCACACTATCCTTTAACTAATTAAACTTCTTTTTTATATATCAAGCCTCTATCTTATATAAAATTCGTATCAAAAACCTTTTTTTTTTAAATATGGCCTATCTTTTATGTTTCTCTAGCCCTCTCTTCTTTTCTAAAAGCTAAATTATTGAGAATATTCAGCCCTGTTTGACCAAGTTTGACACTTGACGTATCAACTGTCACTTTTACAGACGTCAAACTTGTTGAGAGAAAAGTCAAATAAAGAAATAAATTGCTTCCGTATTTATTTGATTGATGTTAAAAGGGAATAATTATTTAATTTTGCAACTTTGCATCCAAGTTTTATTACAATTCAACCTTCGAGTTATGTGTGTAATTTAGCTCATCCTAATTAAAATTTGTATAGACACTATTTTAGAAATCAGAAATAACCCAGTTATGGCAAATCCCAATAACAAGACGACAAATTGGTTGTCACGCCTACGGCAGTTGAGGATACGAAGGGCGTCCGTTGATAACATAGAAAATGGAAATGATACGGAGGAACCTGTGGTGTATAGAAGAGGGATGTCGTACAGTACGGATTCAATGTCCCAGAACCAAAGAAATAGCAGCAGTGTCAGGAGAAGTATTATTAAAATGCATTTAAGGGTGAAGAATGCTTTCAGAGGGGCGAGCAGTAATACTAATAGACTTAGCGTACCAACTCATTCCACTTCTTCTCATTCACCAAGTAGAGTAAGCAATAGTTTCTAATAAAATCACATTGCAGAAAAAACTACCCATACATGTATTTAAATATCCCAGACTTTCCAACAGGTATCATATTTTCTTACTGTGTATTAACAGTGTGAAAGAGGGCATATGCTTTGAAATTGAGGTTGGCAAATATTGTTTCATTTAACATTAGTGCAGTGGCGACAGAAGGGGACACAATAGATCTTTTAGGTCGCAGTGTATTAACACCCCATTCTCAACATAACATTTTAGAAAATCCTTCTAGAGAGTAGTAGATGTTTACACACTGGTTGATAAGGAATGAAAAGAAAGATGTATTTAAAGTGTGTAATGATGAAATAACATCAATATATTTCACAATTTTTATTGATGTTATAAAAATGACAATATAACAAATATTTGTATTTATCATTACACCCTTTACTACTTTTAATTATCTTCAAAATAAGAACTACACATTTATTTTATAACAAACAAAATGCCTAAAATACATGTAAGAAAAATATCTGTCTGATTCAGAGTCTAGTTCTTCTGACTAGAGCAGCTGTTCCCAAATTTCTATGAGTATGGAACCCTTAGGAAATTATTTTTATTTGTTGGAACCCCTAACACCATAAGAAAATATAACTAGTAGGTAATAGTTAAATTTTATATTTCTAAAATTAACACTCATTTACTGTTCAGTAATTTTTATGTTTATGTAAAATTTATTATAAGAAGTGTGTCATATATTTTATTCCAACAGTATGAACATTTTATTATTTTAGGTTCTAACTAATTCTTCTCAGAACCCTGATGATCCTTCCACGAAACCCTAGGATTCCATGGGAGGAAATTTGGGAGATTGAAGGATATTTAATATTTATATATTAGATATATATCAACAACATTGATATATATTTTTTGAATTATGGATATTTTTATTACAAACTTAGCAAAAGATTATCAGTATAAATGCTGATTTTCAGTAGAATTAAATGTGATTCAGAATATTTTTGATTTAACAACCAACATTTTGTGGTATAAATGTGTAAATTTTGTAAAATGATGTCAATATATTTCTTAGAAATACCAGACAAATGATACATTCACAAATACATCAATTGATTATTTTTTAGTTTTATTAATATGATTTGAGTGAATGATTTTGTATTCATAGACTGTGTTATTTCTTGGGATTAGTCACTAGCTTTTATGTAATTATTATCTATTGTTATCATACTACAGGATGTCACTATCGTTATTTGTTGCTTTACATTTTTTTCTGAAGTAGAACAAACTTTTTATCATTTTAATTTAAGGAAATCCAGCAATTATCACTTATATTTGACTATAAATAGAAATGATATAAGAGAAGTTCTACTATATTATCTAGATTTAACTATGAATGTAGTTTAGTAATAATTGCAGTCCTTTATTTAGCAATTTGCTAATACATTCAATAATAAAATACATAAATTAGATAATAATATATAAATAAAAACATTGTGAGAGAGGGCAAAAATATTGTAAAATCATAAAATTATCTTAGGAAGGTTGATGGCCTGTTTGGGTATTGTAGCTCAATAAAAAAAGATTATTATTATTATTATTATCTCAATAAGTCAATAAGCTTTAATTTACACTTAAAATTAGCCAGTCAATGAACACTTTCCACACATACTGGTATTTTATTAAATGTTTATAAACCTTTTTTGCCACTACTACAGGTTTGTGGGATATAAAAGTCCTTATTGTGTGTGAATTTAAAAATGGTATTTGATTTTATTTACTAAGTATAATACCTAAGTCAAGAGGCAAAACACTAAGGCCAAAATGTACCCGTATTTCAGAAATCACCCCTTAATTTTATATGATTTCGGTGATTTCCTCAATTATTTTTATACAATTTTGGTGTCGAAATCATTGTATAAAATTTCCTACGATTTCTCTATAAATTGTCAAAATGATCTACTTTATGCAACTGGTTTCGAAAAAATTCATTATATCACCAGTTGAAAAAAGAAAACGAATACAAATTAACTCTTTTTTGGTTTCAAAATCAATAATTTACATTATTATAGAATGTGTATCAAAGATGGGCAGGTTGACTTATAAAAACAGAATTTGGTTAAACTTAGTAATAATGTTGTTTTGGTGCTTATTTTCTATTCTAAATCAGCACAAAATAATTAAAACACAATACATGATAAAATAAACCACTTTGTAAAACCTAAATAACTTTAATAAGCCATATAAACACACAAATCCTTGAGAATAAATAATTAATATTATGTTCTATTTGTCAATAAAAATTTCGTAACCAGTTTCATAATGTTTAACATTATGCAACTGTTTGCGTATAGTAGATCATTTTGACACTGATGCGATTACAAAAAATGTCACTTTATACGTCAAAATTAGAAAAGTATTTTTATATTTATAGACATAAACATTTAAATAATATCAATTTAAAAACAATTACCTTTTTTAAATTTCTCATGGATTAAATACATCAAATATTTTTTTAAGGTTACTCTTGCATCAAATATACAACACAAAGAAAACATATACTCTATTGAACCAATAAGAAATACTTTCATTTTTCCTCATATTGAGGAAACCAGTCGTCCATCTCCGATTCCAGTCCAGGTAAGTTTGTCTAGTTTTTTAAAACAAAATTTTAAAGGAATTCTTTACAATATTCCACTCCTCAAATTAATTAGATTTTTGGGATGTTTGATTGGATTAAATTTTAGGCCATAGTAGAAGAACCTCAGCCGCAAAGCTTAACAGCCCCTGTGATACCGCCTCGTCGAAGGAATTTCCCTCAACTAGTGCCTGAAACTCAAAATGGGCGAGTACCAAAAAATGAAATTGCAAATTTATCCAATTATTATTGGTATTGGGGACCAATATCCAGGTCGCAGGCTGAAGAGAGACTTAAAGACTCACCGGACGGTGCTTTCCTAGTACGAGACTCTACATCTGACAGGTAAGGAAACGTTGCTTGAGAGATGTGTTGGGAATGGGGTGTTATTACACTGCGACATAAAATATATATTGGCGCTAATGCAGCAAGGCAATGTTTCAATGCCTATAATGATCCTTCAAATCCTTTCTTCTCAAGGAAGTGTAGGATTTGGAGTGGCTTCAAGTTAGGTAAATTTCCCTCTTCTATTTGATATGCTTGCTTGAGAGATACAATGATATGTGAAAAAGTATCAAGCACTTATTATTTTTTTACTTAGGTATTTATTCACGATGAGCTTCCGCAACATAGGTAAAATCCTGCACTGTAGAATCGACTACACTCGCTCTGGCTACAGCCTTTTCGACCATTTGGGCTACAACAGCATTGCTGAGCTGGTAGAGGATGCAGTGTCCAAGTCCAAGCACAGCGTCTATTGCTACACCAAAACTAGGGACGACATTCATCCCAATTTCCCCGTCAGACTGACCCTGCCCGTCTCCAGGTACGACAAAGTACCGACGCTCAAGTATCTGTCACGCTTCGTCATCAGGCAGTACGTCATCATCAGCGACATGGACAAGTTGCCGTTGCCCGTGTCGCTCGTCAACTATCTGCAAGAGGAGGGCCCGTATTTTTAGGTTTCGTAGGTATATAAGTATAGGTACGCTCGAAAAACTACAAAAACTAGGTGCTGAGTACTTATTTTTTTTATTTGATTATTATCCATTATTTTTTGTTCTTAAGTTTTCAAATTTTATCGAATATATATGGGAAAGTGAGATTTTTTGGTGGCTCTAAATCATGTTTGTTCTTTTGGACATTTGTAATGTCATGACAAGCTAAGACATTAAATTCGGCATTAATGACACATTGAACATGAAATTTATCCATTTAACGTCAAATTTGACACATTAAATATCATTTGTGATATTGATGACATGAGAAATTTGATATGTTAAATGTCGATTTTGATTGTCAAAAAGTAACATTAACTGTCAGAATAATTGCATTTTAAACGGTGATAAGAGAAAAAAAAGCGGCCACCAAAAATAGAATATTTTAATATACAAGGAGTGTTGTGTGATTTTAAGTATGAAGAGATAACGAAAAAAAAAAATTCTGAAACAAATTAAGACTGATTATTGATTAATATTAGACTTTGTTCAATGATCAAAAAATATAGTTATATTATGTATAAAAAAGCAAATTATAGTTTTTAGTTAATTAAACCTTGTATATTAAAATTAATTTTATTATTTGTTCTATTTTAATAAAAAAATATTTTATAACTACTGTACATATTTATTTGATATAGGTATATATATTATAAAAGCATTTTTTTTATATATATTCAACTAAAGGTGCCTTTGCAAAAAAGTGAGTAAAAGAAAACAACATTCGTTTGTGTTCTTTATTTCCATATCACATTAAAATAAAGAAATTACAAAAAATATAGTCTCAAAAGTTAAATTATACATCTAACAAAATATTTACTTTATCGTATATCTCATATTTTGTTGACAATTAATTGTCATCTGTCAAAAGTAAGTAACACTGACATTGTTAAAATTTTTGCTGTTACTGAGATTTAATTGTCAAATTTACATTTTAATATATAAATCGTGGATAAGTCTAAATACGCACAATGTGATTAACGGAAAAGTTTTATGAATGAATATCAGTGATCGTTTTTCTTTCATTTTTTAAATAAATGTGACAATAATAGTAACATATGATTGTGAATCGATCCTTTAATGTATATATTGATTTTCTATTTGGTCATCTTCATAAATTCTTGCTCAGTATAATAGTTGTTGACTCAATTCTGTTGTTTTGTTAGTCTACTGTCAGCAGGTTTGATAAGTAAAAAAATTATGTTACTTTTTGTTCAGTTGAGATTTTTGTATTTTGCATTATTTGTTTTTTATTATAAATCTAAATTACCAACCTAGTCTGATTGAAAGTAGAAAATCCCCGGTTGTTGACGTGTTTTCACTTGTTATAATTATGTATTTATACATTTTGTGATAAATAAATGAATAAAAAGCGTTTCCCAATAAATTGTTTCCATTTATTTTTTTAAACCTTTTATATATATTTTTTAACAGTAAAAATAACATTGCCTTAAATAATGTTATAAAGGAAGAGGTAATAAAAATATATTTTGTTATTAACTCTTAAATATAATCGTTACTATTTAGAAAACTATCTGTGCCAGTTGAGTCCTAGTATATTTCTTGCCTAAAAAGAAAATTGCACTTAATTATGAAGTTCGCATCGGACATGTACAAATCTAGGTCGCCGACTCCGAATTAGTCGTAATCGGGCAACTGACAAACACCGTTGCTAAATTACGACAAAACTTACCGTTACAAATACCGATTGGATGGTATCTTTCGCCGTCTGACTACCGGTCTCAGTTTTAATCAGAAGATCGTGCAGTTGAACGGCTTCTAACAATCTTTTATTTAAAAACACCCAAGTATTTTCAAATTCCGCAGACTTGTCCTGTATCATATATAATTCTGTGGCTTTATACACTCCGGCGATGCCCAGTCTGCGCAAGTACCAATTTATCTAAAACATGCTCGTCAAAAGTAATTTTGACATTTAAAAATTGCAAACAGCTGTATAATATTTGTCATTTTGACAATCAGAAGAGTAACTTACATCTACAGATCGATCACCAGCGTAGTAACATATATCGTCAACCATTGTTAGGAGTGTTGCTAGCGATTTAGGAACATTCGGTGGTAGTGATTGTATGGCTATGGCCTGCGGCCACTTGCTAATATACGGGGCGATCATTTTTAAGCGTTCTTGGATAGCTTTTTCCGCAAAATCTGCAGGTGAAAGTGGTTTTCCAGACGTTTCTTCTGTCAGCTTAAAACACATTTAAAATCTAAAGTTGTTCCAATAAAAAGTTTAGATGATGTCATTACGATGCATAACTGTTTTGTTTTTAATATTAACAATGTTTAGAAAATAAGGAATAATATATAATTACATAAAATCCTGTAAAACCATACAATTCAGTCTCATAATATAGAATCTATTTTAGTTTAAATTTACAGCTATTTCTCCACTATAAAATAAATATTTAATTTATCCTTAGATTTTTGAACAGGATTCATATGAAATCTAAAACACTTATTACATACCTTTTTCAAAATTTCAACTAGCTTAAAATTAGAACTAGATTGAAAATAGTGGATCAAATCACCCCCACCTCTGGTAAACATCCCGTGTATGACGCCTGGATATCCTACGACTTCGGCTCCTTTGCATATCGTATCTTTGGACCAACCCAGTTGGGGCACGAAGGGTAGAGAAGCCTCTAGAATTTTATTTCTGATGTCGTCCTCATATTGACTAGCATTTTGATGGCTTGAATTTGCATCCGTGGGTTCTGTGGTGGTTGTAGTGGACGAAAATTGCCGAGTGGTGGACCAGATTAGTTGTGAGCCTGTTTCAATTAAAAAGTAGACAAAGTTATCTCAATGACCAAGAGTCCAGACTACTTTATAATTTTAGATTACAAATCGGAAATCGGAGTTTTTAACAAAAATTGACTGAATTTCTTACATATATAGCAAATTATCTAAAAATTTGCCATACAAAATAAAGGTACAGGAGAATAACATTCATTAATCAAAAATTTTCACCATTACAAAATTAATCGGAAACTGTCTTTATTTTTTTTTTTCTGGTTCCAATAATTTTAGTCAGCAATTGTTATAATGTGTGAGATCTCTCTTTGAAACCTTAGACCGTACACAAGATAATCATTCATAATTTTTGTACGGCTTTGATTTTTTTACCGTTTTATATAATAAATAATGTCTAAAACAGAAGCTGTGTTGAGGAGTGCCAACCCAATAGCCAGGCAATATCGGTATAACGAAATATTAAATGAATATCTATTTTTAACTTCACACAGCCATACAGTTTTCAATTGTTTTTATTGTTGATAAAAAATTTCGAAAAATTTAAATTATTAATTATTTTGAATGGCAGAATATCTTTCATTATAAGTATCGCAATAACGATCTACTTAAAAACTCCTATCCCTGGATCAGAAACTTGTTTTCCGATGAGATTCAATGCACCCTGGAAAATTGGGGACATGGCGTCTAAAGTTATGTTTTCAGATAGTAATATTTAAATTACACAGTTTGATGGTGAGTAAAATCATCCTCTAAATTTTTCCTATCCAGCTTGGCTTGTAATCATTATGGTCTTGGTCCAATAAAGTACTAATAATATAGATTGTCAGCGATGTCATACATAAAACATATTATTATGATTAAGTTTAACATAGAAAAGTTTTATTATATTTGCTGACAATAGTTGGTTTTAATTCATTCATTATACAAAAATAATAATTTATTCATAGCGTCACAATATATTGATGGGCTGGGAAATTGGCAGTTTCTAGACACTTTTAAGTAACAGCAGGTTTTTGACAAGTTGAGAGGAAGATCCTATACGCCCTGGAGAATGCACAATGGGCCAAATGAGACCGAAGTGTGGAGCAACCTACCCAGCAAACATTTTGGTGTAATTTGACGTCGATACTACCTAAATTATATATAATAAATTTGGTCACAAAATTAGATTTAACCATAATTAAGTAAAATTTACGTTGGCTCGACGTGGATTCGACATAAGTGGAGAATAAGACGACGTCGAAATTTGGTTTCATTTACCAAAATAGGTAGAATTACATCTAAATCCACATTGTAGTAGCCCAGTACGTTTGGTTAGTACTACCTTTTTAGGGAAATTTGACGTCAGTATAACGTTAATTCGACATGGATTTAACTAAGTTTAGGTAGAAACTACCAAAATATTTGCAGCTGACGTATGCCTCCAAGTGTACGAAAAGAAATTTTATACTTATTTGGTATTTTTATCTATATATAAGTAGAAATATTGTAAGAAGTCACCAACACAACTAAAACATATATCTAATTCACATGAAAGATTGAAAATAAATAAATGTCGGTGACAAAAATATATGTAATGTAATTGCGGTGAATATACAGTTCACGCTTGTTGAAATTAATGCGAAGAAAATTTTGTCGTGCATGTTAACAGTTCTACTTAGAAAAATAACAATGCCCTTCCAAAATACTCTCTAATTAAAAAAATATAAGAAAAAAATATGATCGTGTAAAAAAATAATAATAATATGAGCTAAAACTATGTTACGTTTGTTGTGTATCACTTTAGAAAATCAATAATGTTTCGTTTTTCGGTATTTTCATTCGTATGTTTTAGTTATGGTCATTTTAAAAATTTAAAATCTTACTTCAATTACGTTAAGAAAATATGGCGTATTGTGCGAATTCGACCTAAAAGTTATTATGACTAAGGAAATCTACGTATTTTACAAATACCTTTTTAATAAGTTGAATTAACTTCAATTTCACGACATATTAGTTAACTTTACCTATTTAAAGAAATAATAACTTATAGGTTTTATAAAAAATTTACCTATAGGTAAATATAACATATTTAAGTCACGTTGTTCTGCACTTGAGATTTTAGACGTTTCACTTTACGATAAAAATCGGAAGTATAACGATATGATTTATTATTTTTCGCACTCATTTAAAGCTCTATCTACACCACACGTAAATTAAGATTACGACTGTAATGGTTTTTTTAAAATGGCCGAAATTCTTAAGAATAATGACTAAGACAGTAACTGAACAACCTAATTGTTAAAATAACCTAAATAATATAAATTTTACAAATAGGTCATGTATGACTCTTTTTAAATTGGTGGTTTTTAGTCGAATTTACTTTGTGGTAGATTTTTCAGGTAATTGCTACAACAAAGTTAATAAATATTTCTTCAAGATGACTTATAGGTCAACTAAATGAGTATTCGACTATTTGGTTGAAATTAGGTAGATAAACAGGTAGAATTTTGCTACGATCTCGACCTAATATTACTTTAAAGGAGAGTAAATAAAAGCGGCCAAATAGGTTACTATGGAGGCATAAAATTACGTAGAATTTTTAACCAAATCTACCTAGTTGGATATTCTTCTATAAAGACGATTTTTAGTTGCCAAACAGGTAGATATTACCTAAATATGGCACCTAATTTTACTACAAAGGAAATTTAACTTTGAAGTAATTGTTGGTTATTTTTTTTTAGTAGTTTTTCCCTTGCTGATATGGTTAAAGTTACTTTTAAGCAGATTTGTGTAAAAGGTAGATTTCTTGGTATAATTTACGTAAATTTAAATATAAATTAAAACCGTTTGGTAAATTTACATTAGAGGTATATTTTGTTAGTCAATTTTACGTAATAATTACCTCAATAAGTAAATTCGTCTTTAACAAAGTCGAGTTATAACTAATGTTATAGCAAATGTTTGCTGGGTACCTTATAGATACAGAAATAGAATGGGTATGAAATCATGTCCTCAGTAGACTGATATAGCCTACACAAAATGGGTGTAAAAAACATTTTTTAAAAAATGAAGGCGTCATCCTAGCTTTCTTTGAATCTTCTTTAGAGACAACCTCAAATTCGTAGTGCCAAATTGTAAAAATTTAAGCAAATGCTACGTTTTTAAATTAACTAGTTCCGGAACAGTTATCTTTTCAACTTTTCTTTGAATATTAGGCAAGATCATTAATACATTCGCGGACACTCATATTTTATGGTATGTGCATAATTGGACACAAGCGGCATAAGCCGTAACATATATTATCTCAGTAGGGACACTGACGGCAACTGCCGTCAATGCGGCTATAGATACATTTTGCGTGATATAACGTCAATTTTGTATAAAGAACTATGTAAAGTGTCCCACTAGACACCTGTATGATAAAAATTGTTTGCGAAATGTCATTGGTGGGGGGAAAAATTTGGTTCGGCGATAGACAAAGTTTTGGCGCGTTTAGTTCAGATTTACGCATTGTTAGGGACTGTGTGTGCTAAATACTTGGCTTAGTACGTACCTAAAATGGACAAAAAGCAAGAACAACTACTTAGGTGGTATGATGAGCTTGATACAAAGGTTGAAGGGTCAGAATCGGATGCTAAAAACGCACACGATCCATATAGTACCGACGATAATCCTGAATACACTCAAAGTAATTCTTCATATTCTAGCGGTCGAAATTTTTCCTGATCAAAAAGATGGCAGGGAATTTGTTAAAACTATTCCAAAACGAACTAAATCCATGCCATCTAAAAAATCTAGGAAGAATACTGGTCATGTTCTTGAGGCCATCACTATACCAGAAGATTCTAAAAAACGGGGGAAATATTGTAAGCGCTGTAAGCATTATTATATGATAAAAAAAAGAAAAGAAACTGCTTGGCAGTGCCGGGATTGCGTCGACAAGCCATCCCTTTGTGAAAGAAAATGTTTCCAGGATTGGCATGAATAAGTGTCTTTCTCTTTTTCTGTTATTTTTACCAAAGCATTTTGTATTTATTTACTAGTTTTAGTTCCATATGAATACATATTTTCTTTAAAATTGACGTTTTTCATTTTATTTTTTATGCGGTATATGACGTCACTGTCATTTTGAGAACTATGCTTTTCGCAGGACATGCCGTTATATGACAGTGGCTTTTATCTACATTTCTAATTCTTTGGAAAAATGTGATTTTAAAGCTGTTTCGTTTCTCTACGTATAAAAGTACTTATTCTACCACTGTGACAATTTGAGCACACTTGACTTTATTTTAGTGCCCTGGAGTGCGTTTAGAAACCTCGTATGGCGCGTCTGACCACATACATTAGAATAGGGTCCAGACGCGCCGTGCGTGGTTTCTAAACGCACTCCTGTTGAAACAAAGGCCAATGACGTGATTTCACGTCACTGTCCGCGAATGTGTTAATTTTTCAAATTGTTTTTATTTTGCATTAGTATTTTGGGTTTGGATAATTAAAAAAACATTATTATCAATAAAATTATATTACGAATCAAAAAAAACCTACAATATCATCAGTTTCATATTACAAAATTAATTTTATTTTTCCCTCAATTCAATACACTCGGTAAGTCTACTCAGAAGACTATCGATTACATCAAACACTGTCAATGAGTAGTTTAACACTTCGATTTTCTCATTTTTGCTCAACTTAGACAAACTTTCGCCTTTAATCAATACATTAATATCATTTTCGGTACGTTTTCCCACATTTTCCTCTTCAATCTCTTTTATTTTTAACTTAAAATGCCCTCTGGATAATTCCAAGCCTTTCCTCAAAGGCTTGAAGTAAATTTCATCCAATACAGGTATAAAATCCCAAATTTGGGTACTATTCAATTTGTCCCTGATAGTTAAGAACCTGAGGAGATTTAATGTAGCTATAATTTCATCTGACACCTCAATCAAATCGCTCTCTTCCTGTTTATGTAAAAAACAGAATTTCTTAAGCAAAGCCAACAATTTTGAGCCTCTTATAAAGACATTATTGGTATTTTCAAACTCCTTAACAACCAGATCTTTGTACCTAGTAATGGTGAAACCCTTCAAACCAGAATGGGTTATTTGTGAAATAAAATTGTATAATATCAAATAGAACCCCCTAACTTCAAACAGAGACAGGTAAGTTTGATACACTTCCAAAGCCAGCTTACGAAAACTTTCCATTTCATTGTAAATAATAACATTAGCCAAAGTTTTACAAAATTCAGGGTGATCTGGGCTGTCTAATACAAAGTAGGACAGTTTGAAACAGTGGATATGCTGTAATAAACTACAAGCAAGCTTCAGTCCTTTTTCTACAACCACCTGATGATTTTTATTAAGCAAAATCATAACTAGGTGTAAAGAATTGAGAAAAAAATATTTCGAATCATACACTTTTGGTACTTTTTCTATAAAAATACCTTCAGAGAAGATTAAATAGTACAATGAAGCCAATCCTAGATCATTCAAATTAAAAATATCATCGTTTTCAGCCAAAGACCGGAAACTGAGTAAAGAGATCGGATCTGGGCATATTTGAAACACTTTAGTGACCAAATATTCTGAAGATAATCTCGCGGTACCCTTTATGTTATCAAAAACTTCCACGTCCAGATATACCAAAGGCGTGCCTAATAGTCTAATCAAGAATTTGAGCACAACAGTCCAACGTTCATTGCCCTCATCTTTAAATGAAATCTCTTGTAATAAAGAATCATAAAAATGCAGAACACTTGTGTATAGCTCATTGATATTTCGAGTATCCTCAGCACTATCTAACAACAATTTTTCCTTTCCCTGTAAGTTTTCACTGTCTGGTATATCATATTTATTTAAATAACAGTTTATTGCATTAAAACCCCAAGCTAATGAAATAGAAACTTTTTTTGGAATTCTTGTTAACACTCTTCTCAATGGTTCTAGCAGTGTAACAAATTTTAAGTCACTATCAGCCTCTTCTATCTCTTCAATGAACTGCAACAAGGCCTCCTCTGGGGTACAGATATCTGCAATTCTATACAACAAGTTCTTACTGCAGCTGAACATATTATCGAAGTTAGATCCATTGTTTTGGGACGATAGGAATTTACTGACGACCGTTATCAGATCCCAACAGTTGTTTCTGACGTTATCTAAGTGTTCTTCGTCGCAAAACACTGCCTTTGCATCTGATGTATTGCCAGCTTCCAAAAGCTCCTCAACACTTTTCACAAAATCACTGTCACTCTCTCCGGACATTTTTCTTCGTGCACAATCAATTTCCAGAGTCTGTAAAGAGATTGGTGGTGTCGGAAACTAATAACGAAGGATTTAACTTTAAATTTGTAATACAAATTTGAGGTTATGTAGATTCAGTTAAATCGCAAAATTCATACTTACTTCTTGCATTCAAGCGCCTAGATATTGATATAACTACAGAACACATTTTCTTAAGATAACTGCTAAAATTTTAAAATAATTTGTTTATCTAATCAAAAATGAACTCGCATGACAAGAACTACTTACTGTCAGTGTCAATGTCAAAACTGTTAACATTTTTCTATTTGTGTGTTCTGAATAATTTAAATCTCCGAAAAAGAGATAGAAATATTTATCTTAACGTAATAAAATAAGAGTTCCGACTGATAATGATTTCATGTTCACGTTATCGAGAATTCGCAAATTGATTGGTCACTTTAATTTTCTAATGCAGTGAAGTTAGTTCCGTTTACAATAACATAATAGTGACCAACAGTAAATAATTAACTAGAAAAGTTACTACTCCACGATAATTTCGACCAATCAAAATAGAAACTCGGGATATTTTAAAACGCCAAAACACAACACCCTGAAGTTATTACTTGGAAAATAATGACAGTACAGTGACAGCTACAGATGAGCAAAATTTGGAGTTCTTTTTAATTAAAATGTTTTTATGAATTAATTATATGTATTTGTGTTTATTTTGTATAAATTATGTCTACCAGATCACAGCTCACTAAGGATCTAAATGGTGAGTTGCACTTTTCTTTGACAATTTTTTGGAATTCAATTGGTCACCTCGAAATTCGCGAAGGGAGTGTCAGAATGACAAATAATTCGAAAAATACAATTTTATTTTTGTTTACTTCTGTATCAGTTTACTACAAATTATTTGTTTTTATTAAATAACAATAATAAATAACATAAGTGACTATGACTCATTCAGTAATTGCTTTGTCCATAGCCCACTGCCTCTGTGATTTATGGTTTCTGAGAATTACATTTAATTAATTAGTAAACAAATTATATTGTGGTTTGTCTTCGATTATAATGACCCAATGACCCGATGTTGTAAATTCCTGTGAGTAACCAAATATGGTTGAAATCTGAGATATGTTAACTAGTTGCCTTAATTTTATTTAAATTTATATCTTCTCTGTTGAATACTAAGGAGTAAATAAATGTAGAAACTAGATTTAAAATTCAATGTTTCTTTTATAAATGTTAGTACAGTTTTACTCAAGTTTATACATGTGATGAATATTTTAGAGAATTACTAATTATTTATGTAAAAAAAACTTTGTATGTGATTTGAAAAAACTGACTAGAAATATTAACTAGTGATAAAATATTAGAATTCCGTTTTTTGGTATCTTTTTACATAAAAACTTTTTTTTATTTATTTCAGAGAGTATAAAGTCTTCTGTTGGCAATAAAGTAAAAATTCTATTCAAAAATGTGGTTCGATTGGAAACCAAAGGAGACAAGACTGAAAACAGAGTTCTGGTAAGTAATGTTTTCCTTTAAAATCATATTTTTTTATAACTAAAATAATCAATAAATACATTCGTTTGAAAAACCGCGCTACTTTAGGAATTTTCGTAACTAACGTTGGCAGCATTGAACGTGTCAATGTCATGTATATGTGACCAACTTCAGGGACGATCGATTATTAACAGCGTTGCCAAGAGGATTTAAATGTAAAGATTTCAATCGATTGGTAAACGGGGTGTTCCAAAACTCGTCGACGTAAAATAATTTCTAATATATGGGGTTCTCGTTTGACGGACGAGTTCTGGTACACTATATTTAGAAACAGTGTATCGTGACTCTTGTAAAAAGTGAACTACAAAATAAATTCTAAAGTAGGCCATGATTGACAAAAACAGATAGAAATATTCGTAATAACTATGATAGTAATAACTACACACGGCTCTGAATTAAACCTCAACCGATAGTTAAAAAGTAGAATTGTACGCTCCGTGTCAATTTTTCTATGGCCTAATTTAGAATCATTTTTTTGTAGATTACTCCATACTATACTCATTATGTGTTTCTTCAATTAGATCATCCATGCAATCGGTTATTAATAATAAATATACCTCGAATTAAATGCTGCTTCGTTTTGTACCAATACAGAGAACATTATTTTTTGGCATATATATTTTAAATTTTAATTGTTGGCAACGCTGTATTCAAAAAGTAGCAAGAGCAAGTAGCTAACTTCAGTGCGGAGTGGCAAGTTAAGTGAGAAAGATTTGTTTTTGTTGATATTAAAAATTTTAAAAGTCGTTTAAAAGCGATAAAAATGGGGAAAAAGGCAGAAGTCGGTACGCCGAAGTACCTGGCCAACAAAATGAAGGCTAAAGGGCTCCAAAAGTTGCGTTGGTATTGTCAAATGTGTCAGAAGCAGTGCAGGGACGAAAATGGTTTTAAATGCCACACAACATCGGAAACTCACCAAAGGCAATTACTTTTATTCGCCGACAATTCCAAAAGGTACATAGATGACTTTTCTTTCGAGTTCGCGAAGGGATTCATGGAAATTTTAAGACGGCAATTCGGTTCAAAAAGAGTTAATGCCAATAGGGTGTACCAAGAATATATCCACGATCGAGACCATATTCATATGAACGGTACCAGATGGGTGACACTTACGGGATTCGTTAAATTTTTAGGTAAAACAGGACAAGCCATAGTGGATGAAACTGAAAAAGGTTGGTACATTACCTACATTGATAGAAGTCCGGAAACAGTAGAACGAGAGGAAATGAAGAAAAAGAAGCAAAAAATGGATAAGAACGACGAAGAGCGGCAAATGGAGTTTGTGGAGAAGCAAGCTAAATTAGGGCAAGAGAAAGCTGGACCTTCAGTAGAGCCTATTTATACTGATTTGGTTCGAGAAAATGAAGAGGAGACTATTAAACTAGATATTAAGTTAAAAAATGATAAATTACTGACGCCTGTGGTTCATAATGTGTTCAAAGTCCCTAATGTAAGCACCTCTAGCTCAGTGAAAGAAGCAAAGAAACCTAAACTAGAAGAAAAAAAGAAATCTGTGTTGGATGAGATTCGAGAACAAGAAGAACTCAAAAAAGAAAAGGACAACAGAAAAGATTACTGGTTAACAGATGACATTGTAGTTAAAATTGTCACTAGAAGTCTAGGAGATGAGTTTTACAAACAAAAAGGCATAGTTCGTGAAGTAATAGACAAATATGTAGCTATTGTTAAACTTTTAGATACTGGTAAAAAAATTAAAATAGATCAAGAACATTTAGAGACAGTCATCCCAGCTTTAGGCAAGCTAGTTAAGGTGGTAAATGGGGCATACAGGGGCCAAACTGCTGCTTTGTTAACTGTAGATGAGAAGAATTTTTGTGTAGATATTGAGATATACAGTGGGTTGTTAAAAGGACGGAAAGTTTGTGGGGTCCAGTATGAAGATATTTGCAAACTCAATGACCAGTGATAATTTTTCCATATTTTTTTTTGTGTTTTGTATATTGTACATAAGAAATATCTATTTAATTTTTGTATAATAAATATCTACAATAGGTACCTATGTTTTTTTATTTCTCTTTTGCTTTTTGTTTGGGTAAATATGGTAAATATTCCAAAGATGCTATTTTCTTTGGAAAACAAGCATTTTGGGCTGCTGGAACTACAATACTTATGCCATCAGAAATCTGAAATCCAATTCTGAGAAAAATTTAATATGTTTCTAACCTAAGATTTTATTTTTCATATGGTGTTGCCAATAGTTTCTATTTCTATTAGTAATAAGTATGAAGACTTTGAATTTTCACATGGTGTTGCCAGTTTTCAGAATTTGTCGAAAAGACAAATAGTTGTTTTCAAAATTATTGTTAATAAAAAAATTTGAGTTTCCATTTAGAATGCTTGTAAACCCAGTAAATTAGTGAAATATAAAACACAATAATTTAAGTCTATTTTAACATTCCTTTAAAGTAGTTGTTAGCTATGCTAATTTGGATCATGGTATACTTCTTGAAGCTATGCATAATAAAAAAATTGCAAAGTGCAGGTCCTTACCTCAGTTGTTATAAAATAAGTAGAGTTGATAGATTTAAGGGCCAGACACTTGATACAAAGTATCAGTACAGTTTTTTTTGTATAAAAAAAATAATACATGTGGCACTCGGGGACTGCCGCGGTAAAGCTATTGCATAGCATTTTTTATCAACTTATGCAATTATAATTATTTATTTATTCATTTTATTTATGCAGTATTTTTTTTCTTTGATATTAATTCAAGTTTTATCTTTGATATTAATTCAAGTTACACTTTTTGAGCGTGGTGACCGATAATAAAACAATTTTTTTTCTTTTATTGAATAAATGAAAAGTTATTATTGTTTAAAATATTTTTATTATCTTACAATACATGTAGGTTATTCAGGAATTTTTATCATTGAAACTATAGGTTTATGGTAACTGAAATAAGAAACATAAGTTTGAGACTTGATATCCTCTAAATATCTGGAAAATACCGCGTCAATGGTGGTCTCATAATTTGTTGTTGATTCTTGTGGATCATTATTCATTTTCAAATTCAATTTTTCCGAAATTGTGTCTATGAGCAGTTAGCAGCTAGTCTACACGCACACGTCTAGTCGCACGCACACAAAGACCGTGCCGAAATCTGCCGAACTGAAACGACGTTAGACGATCCACGGCTTTCAACGCCGCACCGCTGTGCCGGTCGCAGTGGGGGGTGTTAGGTTTTTTCGTTACGGAATATTTCGCGCTCAAATCCCGCGATAAAAGCTATGCAATAGCTTTTAAAACTAATGCAATCTTGATAATTTTCATTCAGTCTTCACCTTCTCAACGTTCATATTTGTTCTGTTTTACTTTTGGAGATGAGTTGTGAGAACAATTTTTAAGCAGTTTTTCAAAAAAATGTTGAAAAAATTAATGTAAATGAACGTATTATAAATTTTTGAAATCATACTTCAAATAGTTCTCATTTGATACCCCGCATGATGGCATCAGAGTTATGTTTTCTAGCTTACATTTTAACCCCCAAAACTGATGCCCAAGATAAAAAAATATTTGCAACATCATAAAATATTATTTCCTAATAAACCAAGTGACAGAAACTTCATATATGTATATGTCAGTTTAAAATTAATCCATCTCTGTATATTATATTTTTTGAATCTTATAAATATTAAATATGAATCCTAGATAGACTTGTGGAAGCAGATTATAGTTAATTTAAAAACGTCAACAAAAGTCAAATAAGACAACTGAACAAAAATACAAACCACTCAGATTATCTACATCATATTACGAGAAGAAAACACAAATGTTTTAAAAATATTCACCTTTGGGGTATAATATTTAATTTAATTTTCAGGTATTTTCACCATGCCGGATACTTTTACTCACGGCAAAAGTGCCAACAAAGGTGAGTTTTCTCAAATATTTCATCTAGATCTACACTAATCACAATTTTGAAGTATTTTTTTTATATAATATACACAAAACAATTATTTTACATCTTTAACACATATATTACTCAAAATTTACATTGCAATAGTTTCAGCATCAATCATTTCATCATCAGTATTAATAAAATTATTAGATGAATATACCTATAAATAACTAAATAAATCATATATTTTTTTAGATCGACACTCACTTCCATTACTTGGAAATCCAAGCCTTGGAGAGCAAAAGGGGCAATCAGTTAAGCCTTACAGTGAACGATAAAGTCTACTCCTTTCTAGTAGGAGAAGATTCAAAATGTAGTACGGAAGTAGACAACATGATTGGAGCTCTGAACAACGCCATTAGGAATATTTTTCCTACAGTTCCTCTTCAGCATATTATCAGAAAGGTACAGTAAATATATAAAATAACTTTTGACAACTACACACGCTTCTGAATGCATTTCTAACATGAAACTGTCATTTAAAGAAGAATAATTGTATTAAATTTGTTTGTTTTTAGATTGAAGTGATTCCCAACACGAGGCTGCAACAGTTGAGAGACTTGGAAGCCATAGCGAGCAGTAGACGCGAAGTGGGGCCCTGCGGGGGCTTCTCTAACCAATATGCTTGCATGTGCGACTTTCACGGCATGACTTATAGAGAAGAAGTGGCCTGGGATATAGATAATATTTACGTTTCGCTAAATACTAGGGAACTTAGCCTTAAGGATTTTGAATATCTTGATCAAAAGTGAGTGAATTGTTTTTTGTTCATAGAAACGATATAAGCGGGTATTTTTGGAGTTAATTTGATCTTTTAATTATTGTTGATTAACCAAAATAGCAGAGTTTGCCAGTTTTTGTTCTCTTGACTGTTTTGTAATATTATTAGACTTATTATTGACAAAAATATATCTTTTAGGGATCTTATTCCAATAATAAGTGCTCTGGAATACAACACGTGGTTCACGAAGTTAAGAGCCAACCAAGTCAAACTATCCCATGACAATATTGATAGGATATTACACGTTCTTCGAAAATCGTTAAATTTAGAAGAATTATATCTTGATAACTTAGGTTTAAAAGCTGATTTCGTCAATAAATTATCCAGCGTTCTGAAATTAAATCTCGGAACTGCTCTACATACCATAGATATATCATATAACCCCATAGAAGATAAAGGTAAAGATTGGTTTGTCGTCTGTTATGTAATAAACGTCATAACTATTTTGAAATTATGGACTTATTTAAGGTTGTTTCATGTTTTTAGGTGCTAGTTATTTGGGAAACTGCATTCCCAAGCTCAACAAAGGTCTAGTCCACTTGAACCTATGTCATTGCAGTTTGAGCTCAAAGGGTATCAACAATTTGTTTTCTGCTCTTTGTAACAATTCGAGCTCCTTAACCACGCTCACGTATCTCAATTTAAGCGGGAATAGCTTGAAAGACGACATTAGCGTAAGTAAACGTCATTATAATTTGACAAATGACACATAAATGATATTTAAGCTGTCGTTTGTCAAATCAATTAAAAACTATCTTATTTATCGTTTTTAGAATTTTCATAATTTCCTGTCTCAACCCAACGCTCTTCAATACATAGATATCTCTTCAACTGACATAATTCTAGAAAACGTAAGTTTCCTCGAACGCAAAATATGCGTTACTAGAATTAATCTTGGGATGCTTTTTAGCTTTTCGGTGCTTTAGTAAAGGGCTGTACGACAAATCTAGTTCACTTAAACGTTTGCAAAAACCCCTACAGTAGCAAAAAGAACAAAGAGGCTCCCATATCCTTCAAGCAATTCTTTAGCACTACGCTTAACCTCAAACATCTCAACATGTCGCACTGTAAATTACCACAAGAGGCACTGAAGTAAGTAAATCTTTTCGAAATGCTTTACTAGTTTATTGGGTAACAGTTTTTAGCCACAAACCGCTTTGTAATGGACCAAAAACACATTTGTGTAATAAAATGTGACGTGACAATTGTCAAGTTACAAACGTCAAACTTGTCAATTGTTATTTGATGAAGAGTTATCATTGTTTTTTTTTCTTCTAGGAATTTATTATTAGGTTTGGCATGTAATGAGTTTACCAAAGAAATGACTTTAGATATTAGTAATTGTGGACTCGGTAGTCAAGGAGCACACGTGTTGGAGTCCTGTGTGCATGGTGTTAGGTGTATTTCTAGTCTTGATATATCTGAAAACAGTAAGTATAATCGTTTAAACGTATCAAATGACTTATTTTACTTCTATCATTCCATCAGTTTCGATTGCCACTTGTTCACGGTTACTATCTCTTTTTTTGTAGATATGGATTCAGATTTGTGCAATGTTGTGATAGCAATAAGTAAAAATAAGTCGCTAAAACACTTGAATATGTCGCGTACGATGAAGAAACACATGTCTCTAATCATGGATTCGGTAGTTCAAATAATCCAAGACGATGAATGCCTGCTTCAATCCCTGATGATACCCGATTGCAGGCTGAGATCGGATCTTTTTAATCTTTTGAACGCTCTGGGAGATAACAAAAGTCTGGAAATGCTGGACATTAGCGGGAATTTGATTGGAGATTCGGGAGCGAGATTGTTGGCTAAAGCGTTGCAGATCAATAATAAGTTGAAGACTATCGTTTTTGATAGAAATAACGTGACTTTACAGGTACTAATACTTGTAAAACATTAATATTGCGGCTAATATGTATTCAATATATTTAAATGGTATTTTTGATTATATTTAGGGCTACCATGACATAGCTTATGCCTTGGAAAGCAATACTACCGTTCAGTACATGCCTTTCCCTATATTTGACATCACACCTTGTATGAAAGCTAATGCAGAAAGAACGGAATTCATTATGAGGAAGATCCAAGATTTGCTCAATAGAAACGTGTCTCAAAATCAGCAAAGTCTCAAAACGTTCCCGGTACAACCAGGATTTTTATTGACCTCCAAACAACAGGTAAAAATAATTGAAAAACGATATTTTTTTACATAATTTAAATTTTTAATGTTCAGGCCCTCGACAGACTAGTCCTACAGACCCAAGAGGCCATCAAGAATCTAGCATCCGAATCCATAGCCTCTAATAATGACATAAACCACGCCACAGGTGTCATACAAGATGCGGAGAATGCCAGGCAGTTGCTGGTCAGGCTGCAAGAGGTCGCCCAGCATAGAGATGATAAACATCCTAATCCCGTCGAGGAAAAACTGCAGCAAGCCGCCAGCGATATTCACGCCAGCATTTGCGATTACGTCCAAGTAAGATTATCGCAAAAAATATTACCACAGGCGCCAGAACTTTTTGAATTCTAAATTCTATTTGCTTTAAAATGCAAAATCATAAATTACTGACTCTTTGTATGAGCCAACATATTTATCTCCATTTCCAATAAATAATTTGACATCAAACTGTATTCTCTTGACGTGAATAGATTTCAAAGCAAATTCATATTTTATTAACATGTCTATATAGTTTTTTCGTTAATTTGAGAACTAAATATTACGACAGAAGTGCCAAATTGCGATCTTTATCAAAAACCCATCTTAAATGGTTGGTAAAACACCATATGAAAATATTGGAACATCCTGTATAGTTTTAATAGTTATTTCATTTTAAGTAATTTAACGTCTTAAAACGTATTCCTGAAGTAAGTAGATATCATTTTAGTCAAATAAATCAATGAGTAATCAGTTATGTAAAAGAAAAATCAATTTAAATTTTATTTCTATTATTTTCATCTAAAAACATACCATTGCAATGCGCTAGTTCAGTGATGATGAAATTATGGTTCCACTGACAATTAAAGTGACAGTAGATTTTTTGAGTGCGTTTTGTTTACCTAAATTATATCGTTTTTTTACTTTTATAAATATATTCCTAAAGTAAGTAGATAGCATGTATCAAATATACAATCGTTTAGTTACCAATTACATACCTTTAAACTATTTCTTATGACCTGTAAACAATATTTTGATATAAAATAAAAACAGTAAAAACGTATGTCAAATTTATTGATGTTTTTGTTAAAAGTTTGGTTAGAACTAAATGTCAGTAGAACCAAAATGACATCACACTGAACCAGCGCATACATACATTAAATATAATTTAGTAAGCTACCTGTAAAGCCCTTTTTACTGCTTTCAAACAATTTGTTAAAAAAAACTCAAAACTTTTATATCAAAATCAATGACAGATTGGGTTTCTTTTTGTTTGGTTCACTTACATTATACTAATGCAGAGTTTACCCTCAGATGCAATTTTTAGTTCTGGTGCTTGCAGCAAAAATAAAAATATAAGGCTTAAATCAATTTGTAGGCAACTACTGACAAAATGTTGAAGTGTTGCAAAGAACAGTGTCCATATGTTTTGCATGATGAAGATACCATTCAAGAAATCAAACGGGAATGCAAAAGAAAAAAACAAATTCCTTTCGATTTTGTCACCACTTGTGTTAAACAGCAAGCAGGCGTGGACATCATGAATAGAACTAGGTAACAAATACAGTCAACTTTATTATAAAAAAACTTAATGTATAACAATAATTATTATTAACTTTGATTGTCCTGAAACCACAACTGCAACCACGTACATATCCTGTTAATATTGTCTTGCAATTCTTCAGGTGTCCTACTGTACAACTCATGCACAATATTTTCTTTATATGATGATTTAGCTTCTTCTAAAATTGTTTGGAATATCTCACATTGTATATTATCTTCTAATTTCTTCCCCGTGTATCCCCTGGTCGTTAATCTGTCGTAAAGGGTGGTGTTATCAGCTCTGAGTACAAAGACTACATCGAACCATCTTTCAGGAAAAAACTCATTGCTGTGGTAATCCACGATATTTCCCCCTTTGCACATGACTTCCTCTAAACCGTCCAAAAGTTTATCTTCGTCCAAAACCGGACACTGATACTGCTCGTCATATTCTTCCAAGCAGTTGTAATCTTTGGCTATTTTCGAGATTTCTAACCATTGTAAACCTGTTAGTTCGGCCAATTTTGTACATAACGTTGATTTGCCCACTCCCGGGGTACCCGTTACTAGTATATTAGGCGCTTCTCGTTTAATATTCGGCGGAATTTGAGTCATTTTTAAATTTGTTTTTGAAATCACGTTTTAAGTTTAGCCAACTTAACCTCACATTCGATTCGATGACAGTTGGTTGGATGTAGGAATAATCGATTAGTTCGAAACGATTGCAACGTTGCCAGTAACTCACGGTTGTAAACGTTGCTAGAGAAAAATAAATTTAGTGGTTACTATACTTTTTGTATAGATCTGATTTATGTTCGACAGGGAATTAAATATAATGGTAGCGAATCAGTTGTCTGAACAAGTCACAGATGAGGTATACGAGGCGTTGATGCGAAGCTACAAGATATTAGTTGGCGATGCTAGTGCAATAAGAATTGACTCTCCTCCAAGGAGATCTAGGTTAAGTAGTTCAGACAGTTCCAGACATGGCGCTAGTGATATTTCCATAACGGATAGCAGCCATCAGTCGGATTTATCTCCTTTGGTAAGTCTTTGGATTATAAATTGGTTATTTTTTTAAGAAATATGCTTAAATTGACATTTTCTCTTTTTTACACATGCATAGAAATTGGAGTATTTGAATTTAGTAAGTACAAGAGTCTTGCGTTTGTGTGATTTTCCAATTATTTACTGTGTTGTGGTAGTTTCGCATCTCCAATATTACTTGTCATTTGAATATCTATGATAAATAGCTCTTGAATTCGTTATGTCAATATTCTCACTTGTCACTAAGATTTTGATGATAAATGATATGTTAATTTGATTTGACGTGATAAAACGCTATTGTAACGGTCTATTTTGAATTTTAGGCGACACCTCACTTATCAATAAAACGCAAAAGCCTACACGGACGAAAATTACGGCCTAAATCCGTGGTGGACAGCGTCGAAGGTATATCGGCGGACGATATACCCAGCCTGTTACCATCTCTACCCGGTAATTCGGAAGAAGAGGATTCTGTAACCGAATTACCAAATACCAGCCACCAATTACAGCACCTAGTCAAAGGTATTTTTCTTAACAAAGGTAAGTTCATAATCATTTCTTGCGTAATTTGGAAGGTTCAAATGGAATGATTTGGTTTTAGGTCGACCGAGAAGAGCAAAAACTAGGGCGCCTACAAGGCCGGTGGTCAATCCGCCCGATACCATGGACTCTGTGTCGCAAGACTTAGTCGAAGGCTTGGATTCTTTCTTCCGTCCAGGTTCGGTAACCCCTACGTCCGATGACTGCCATTCATTTCACACTGCCGGTAGCCCGAATCATGATTTTTCATCGCCGACCTTGAGTGAGGATCGTAAAACGCCTAAACTAAGTCGAAATTCGCCATTATTAAGAGGTAGGCCTATTTTAGTACACTCCTTTGTAGAAATCACCTCATTATTTAGGCAACCTTCCATTTAAGAAACCAAACCGCTGTAATGGTTTTGAAAGTTGATTTTTTTCTTAGGTTTAATGACGCCGACGCCTAGATCTCGTTCGTCGGATAATCTGGAAAAGTTTTCACCGTCTTCCTTGAGAAAAGCCAACGATTCCGCGTCGCCGTTGACGAGGAGATTGACAGGTGACAGCATCGTTTCGAGAGACAGCAGCGACGGAAGTATAGCGACCGAGTGCAGTTTCGATCAGTCTCCGGGCAGTACGCTGTCCAAGGGAGTGTCTTCTGACATTTCTAAAGGTAAGTTTTTTCATTGACAATAGTGTAATTTAAATAAAAGTAAACGCAATCAAATTTGGCTGACCAGCAGGCGGTTTTACCTTCTTTGTAATGTTATTTGTTTAACGATGTTTCAGACGAATCAGAGGGCGTCAAATCGCAGCTGAAACAACTGAAGAGTTGTCCGACCATAGCTCCGAAGCCACGACCGTGGTCCATGGTCAATTCGGAGGGTAAGTCGGGCGATTTGGGGCTGTTGAGCGACGGTTCGTCGCCCAATAATTCGACGGGTAACACGCCCGATTCCGCCGAGGCACTGGACAGCTCGGAATCATCGTCGATAGATCGACGATTGACTAAGGAGATGAAATTAAAGCGGACCGGTAAGTAGTAATCGCCCTGTATGTTTTGTAAATAAAATGTTCGTGTTTCACTTCATGGCGCAGCTTCAGCTTGCATGGTGAAGGTTAATTTTTAAGTATTCGTGATGATAATTATTATTATTTATTGATCCATATGAAAAAAATCACATTGCTTTTTTTGATATTATTTTGAATGGTACTTTTTTTATGAAAAGCTGATTGTTTATCGTTATTAAGCTTTTAAAATTTTTATTTGATGTTTTACCTTTTCTACGCATTTTTAATTTTATTTTAATTTTTTTTACAAGGTATTTTGCAGAACTATTTTCCAGATCGTGGCGATTTCAACTTTCTAGCACGCTATAAGGTATCTACTTGTTTTTATTTTTGATTTGTTTTTGCTTTTGCTTGCTCGCATTATCATAATGTTCCATTTTACACTTTTAACAAAATGTCTAACGTTTGTACTTTAACATTAACAGTTTAAAATTAACAGTTTTATGTGAGATTCCTTCATTATAGTAATAATTGAATATTTTTCCATAAACATTTAGTAAACAGGTATATATTTTAAATTAATTTATTATTATTTAATGACTGATATGTATTATGTTTTAATGGTATCAGACCTGTAAATAAATAAATAAAATATAGAATTTACTAACTAGAGTACTTCGAAAATTACATCGTTTGTATCGGTATTCAGAAACTATACTTTTGTATCTTGTAGGAGAAAACAACGTCTAACAAGATGGCGCCCGTGAACGTGGTAGGATCCAGGCGGGATAACAATTATAACTGTAGAGAAGCGGAGGATGCACACATAGGTAGATAGTTTTCAGAATTTTTTAGGATTAATCCATACAAAAAAAAAGAATATGTGAACGAAGAGTTGAAAAAAATAATCTTTTAGAGAGTCGGTAAACTTTCTTGTTGTATTTTTGTTACCTTGGCTTTTAAAGTAGGCATATATTTTCGAAGAATAAGAAAACAAGTGAATTGAATCGATGATCGAAGAGATACGGGAACTCCCTAATTCTAATTCTGCGATCGATTAGTATTTGAATGTTCAATTGATATTCGTAATGATATTTCGACTGCCGTAATATTTTAATCATACAGTGTGTCTACATATAAGGTCGATTATAGTGGAAAAAATAAGTCAAACAATTAAATTTTTATATGGTTTTCAGAACAATTAGGCTTATTTATCGATAATTTCATTTTTTTTTTTTTTTTTTTTTATATAAAATTAAAGAATTTTCTTCTTGGAGGGGACCTTATCCGTAGACACACTTTTATAGTGACAAAAAAGTTATTTTTTAGAAATGTCTTGTATTTTACTATGAAACTGTTTAATATTGTAAAATTATGTACTCGGACTAATCCTAACTCTCTATCCTTTTGTTGTGTTGGCACCTGACGTGCAACAAATTGTTTTCTCTACAAAAAAAAACCATAAACTACTTTAAGAAATAAATTATTGCTTTCCTAATAACTATCTTTTTTTTGATATAAGACAGTAATTTATATTTGGCTTCACCCTGTAACTAGTTCTAAAACTGACGTTTGATGATACAATGTGAAATAGGATGGAGAGTTTAGATTTAAAATCGTATTATCGAAGATTGGAATAATTTTTTTAGTGTGCTTCCTTTTCTAATTGGTTTAACGTTTTCGTTCGACATCTTGAAAATAATTCGAAAATTAAAAAAATTCTGGTAGTTTTAGAAGAAAATTTTGATCCGAATTTTGCTCATTTGTTTTTTTTTCTGAATGTTGAACGAAAATTTTAAGCTTGGTTACCATTTCAAGAAGAATAGTTGTTATAAAAGACGAATTATGTTTTTGTCTTATTTCAAGCCGACTGATATTTACAAATTTTTCTATAATTTCAATTTTTACATAAAAAATACGTAAAAAATAATTAAGGCAACTTTGGTATTATCCGAACAAATTTAATATTAGACTAACATTTTTTAATTTTTTTTTTATTTGTTAACAGTATTATTTTGTTTTTAATTCAGATTTTTATTTCATTTTTAAGAGCAAAATTTTTATCTTTTCGTTTTCTTAAAAATACTGGGTTACCCTGTTTTTTATACATCCCATATTTGAATTATGCTGCTTAGAAAAATAAAAAAATGGGCATTATTTTTACGTGTATATCTTTAACTTCTATCTATAAGAAACCGCCTCAACTTTAATTGTAAAAATAGGTGAACAAATATTGTTTATAGCAGATTGTGAAATGTTTAAATTGGGCAGTTAGACAGTGAGTTTATCTTCATGCAACAGTTTAATTATTTTTTAAAAGACAGTTAAATGATAAACTAGAATTAATTAAAACGATCAAAAACAATTTTCCTGTGACAGTTAAACGTTCTGCCCAAGACAAATTAATTATTGATTTATCGGATGTATAACAAATCTGGAATACCTGGTATCAAGTATGTGATTTATGCCTAATTTGCCAAATTCGGTGTGTTTGGAAATATTTTCGTCAAGTCATCCATTAAAAATTCGGTAATTTAACATCACAAAAAAGTCTTAATCTGATTTTTTTTACGTATGGTCTAGGAAACTTGTCGAAAATATTTTTATTTGTTTGCATTAGTGATATTTTAAAAACTTAAAATATCCATGATGAACATTTTAGAATTAAAAATATATAGAACGAAAAAAAGACGTCTTCTTAGGCATTTTATTTAATTGATTTTATTTTGTGATATTTTTCGTATATGTATAACTTCATTCCTTTCTATGGTGAATGTATCATAAAAACGCAATATGATACAGGTCGAACTTATTATTATCGTTAAGATAAATAGTTCGTCGATCTGTATGCTATAACAGAAGATTTTTGTTTAGTTTATTTTGGATATTTTCTAATTTAAAAAAGAGAATTGTTACAGTCTTTGTCTGTATTATATTATCTATGTATTCATTTGATACACTATTAGTGTAAAATGCTTCCATTTGTGTAATCTTTTTTATACTTTAAATAAAGATTTTCATTATTTAAATCGGTCTCTTATTTTCTTTTATAAAACTGGCAACCCTGTCCATATATTTGATTGCATAACTTGAAATCGATTTAGGGTCTATTTATACTCCCTTATTATTAGTATTTGCATTAGTATTATGATTAAGCATTAAGTTGAACCTTCACAATGTAATGGGGACATTTATACTCGATTTATGATTAGTATTAGCATTAATATTTATGCTTAATAATTGACAGATTCAACTTTTAAATTAAATATTAAATTTCTTCTTTTCTATAAAATGAATCAATGGCCTATTTGGCCTTTGTTTTTAATAGACAACGGATAAGGATAATTGACAATACACATATGATTATGTTGTTTATATGTTTGTTCCAACAAGCTCGAAAACAATAATATTTCGGTACAAATCATGCTATGTATACAATTTTTGTGTATCAGCAGTGTTTACCGATTATAAAGTTGACAAATGACATGTCACCACGAGGAAGCAAAGGCCTCTTTTCTGTCTGATTTGTATCAAATTTCTGCTTCTTTTTATCTGTTATAAATTTGAGACTGAAATCCGTTAAAATGTCCTTAATTAAACCTATTTTTGAATAATAATATTTTTAAATAAAATTAACTAGTAAAAATATTAATAAAAACACATTTAAAACTCAAATATCTTAAAAGAACGCAACTCTGGCCTCTTACATATTTCTTCAGTAACCATATATTTTGTTGACTGCAGAATTATATCTTATTAGGTATTAGGTTTAAAAAAGAATTACTAATACTAATTATAAAACGAGTATAAGGGTCTATTTATACTCCCTTATTATTAGTATTTGCATTAGTATTATGATTAAGCATTAAGTTGAACCTTCACAATGTAATGGGGACATTTATACTCGATTTATGATTAGTATTAGCATTAATATTTATGCTTAATAATTGACAGATTCAACTTTTAAATTAAATATTAAATTTCTTCTTTTCTATAAAATGAATCAATGGCCTATTTGGCCTTTGTTTTTAATAGACAACGGATAAGGATAATTGACAATACACATATGATTATGTTGTTTATATGTTTGTTCCAACAAGCTCGAAAACAATAATATTCCGGTACAAATCATGCTATGTATACAATTTTTGTGTATCAGCAGTGTTTACCGATTATAAAGTTGACAAATGACATGTCACCACGAGGAAGCAAAGGCCTCTTTTCTGTCTGATTTGTATCAAATTTCTGCTTCTTTTTATCTGTTATAAATTTGAGACTGAAATCCGTTAAAATGTCCTTAATTAAACCTATTTTTGAATAATAATATTTTTAAATAAAATTAACTAGTAAAAATATTAATAAAAACACATTTAAAACTCAAATATCTTAAAAGAACGCAACTCTGGCCTCTTACATATTTCTTCAGTAACCATATATTTTGTTGACTGCAGAATTATATCTTATTAGGTATTAGGTTTAAAAAAGAAGTACTAATACTAATTATAAAACGAGTATAAATACCTTTTTTGAATGATTTAACAAATTTAATGCTTAATCATAATACTAATACAAATACTAATACTAAGGGAGTATAAATAGACCCTAAATACCTTTTTTGAATGATTTAACAAATTTAATGCTTAATCATAATACTAATACAAATACTAAGGGAGTATAAATAGACCCTTATTCTTCTTTTCTTGGCTTAATGGCCTTTTATCCATTTAAGAACTGCTAACACAAATATCTACATATTTTGTGTATCTGAACTATTTTTCAGTTCAATAGCCTAATCAAGTGCTTAAATAAATAAAATGCCAAGTGTTAAGTTTAAAAATTCTAATTTATAATAAAAACAATAAGAGTTGCAGCTATCTATTTAAATATATAAAACATCTGAAACCATTATTTAATTTATATAAATAATTTTAATATCATTTTTTTTTGTACAAATTTAACAGGTAAAAACCTAAGTATTTTATTTTGACATTTTTTAACTACTATAAATATAAAATTACTTATATTAGACTATGAAGGTGACTGAAATGCAGAAATTCACAATTTTTACACAAACAAAATTCAAATATGTTTTATTAGATATATGCGGAATGAAAGGGTATATTAAAAAGTATCTTCTTTTACGAGAACTTATCCACTTCGTAATACAAACCAGAATAAATTATAATCCATGTAACCTAAAAAAAATATTTATTACTAGTCCTAATAAAAATTGCAAACTCTTACCAAAAACCCTGCAAAGGAAGTCATGAAACCTTCTTTAGTTAATTCCCAGGCTCCTCCATATTCATCCTCGTCTACATTTTGAAAACTACCAAAGTAAAAATAAATAACACCAGCATTAATTACAGCAAACCTAAAATTAAACATTGATTGATCATTTCACAGATACTGATGAATAATTTAACTTACAAAACCAGTCCTATGAGACCTTTTAGCGGTATTAATCCCCAAAATATTCCGAGTACAATACCCAAAGCCTGTCGAGCCCAATATATAACATCTAAAAATTCTTCCTGAAAAATTACAATTCCAAAAATAATCTATCTACAACCTAGATTACATTCATTCATACTAACCTTATCTGGCCATTCTGAATTAGAGGTAAAAGTTCTAGTCCAAACTGACGTTGGGGGAGGATTTGACGAACCGTTTTTTTCTATTAATTTGGTTTTCGTGTTCATTTTTAATTTACAATTTAATATATTAACCTACGAATTAGGCATGTACAAATTTAGAAAGTGACAGTTGATGTCAAAACTGTCAATTTCACATGATGGATTCTTCTTTTTAAATAGCTGACGTCTTTACCTTTCTTGCGCTACCTACATTTCCAATCTGGAAAAATGAGATACTAGCATTCATGATTTCATGTCGTAAAAATAAAGTTCTGGCCTGGCACATTTAAACGGGAGTGTGCATGATGTTGCCAATGTAATCCATATATATATATATATAATAATAATAATAATACTCTCCCTAATTCATCCCCTTACGAGTGAATTTTAACCCCAAAAGCTGAGCTTGTCCGGGGAAAGGGACGGCTATTATTATTATTTGCCGTGGCGCTCCGGGGCGACTTAAAGATGATTGATGGTGCCATTTGACTTACAGGTGAGGAAAACCTCAACCGCCATCATCGAGACGGTAATGCATGGTGATTTTATAATCTGCATATCATATCAACAGAAATTGAATTTCTATTAATACGGCACACAACAAATCCTAAACCATGTAATTAAATTAAAAATCCACATGGTCTGGGATTCGAAGCCCGGCAGTCTTGGACCATAAACTTGCCTATAAATGAATATAAGCGCGTTAGACTGCTATACCACTGACCCGATATAATATGAAAACTGTTTTTGATATATTGGAAAAGCTCCCAAAATGATTAAAGAAATATGGATGTGGTTTGATATAAAATGGACGTACGAAATTTTTATAAATGTATTACATTCTAAGTTATAAAACGTAAAAATGTTTAATTTTATTAATAAAAATAAGTCTGACAGCAAACAAATAAAATTATAGAGGCTGAATCAATTAATACTAGTCGACAGGTAAAGCGTAACCGTAACAAGATACTAAAATAATCAGTCGCCACCTATGGAATCCATTGGAGTGTAGCTCTATCTCTCCCAATTTTAATTTCTCCCTCTGACTGTCCTCTCTTGCTATTTCTACTCTTTGGTGATTGGTTACATTTTTCGACATATTTTAAATAAAAACCATATTTAGTTTTATTTTTTAATAAAGTTCTCAAATAACAAAACCAAAATAAACAAGTCAACAGAAAAAAATCAACAAAAAATTAGGTAAGTACATAATTTGGTTTAAAATAAATAACAGGGCAGCCATCACTAAACAATTTATGTCATCAACATAAGGCAGTTAAATCGTATTTTTTAATACAAGACTGAAAATAACCCAAATTGTTCATTTATAAACCAGAATATATTTCACATTCAAAACCCTTTAATTAAAAATGGCCGCTATGAACAGTTTTGTGGTCGTACTAATTATATAAAATAAATAACCGTATCAACTACCTTCTAATTCTTGCAGAAATTCGGATAAAGCAAGCATTCCGAAACTTATGATTAAGTACAGGCACCCTGGAAGACTGGAAAGCATTCGATATCGTTCCTCTAAAAACAAAAAATCAATTTTAGCAATCATATTACGTCATTTATTTGATTTGACAGCTGACATAAAACATCAAAATTGTCAAATTATTTTACCTGTCATAACGTTAGATTTCTTGGGAACAGCCCAACCTAAGGACCTTTGCACGGCCATTTTCCATTTTTTATACCTAGCGTCTCTTTCTGTAAAATAAAACCGAATTATAACCTCAATTTGTTCGTTTTGAACTATATTTTTTACCGTTAGTCGTTGATGTGGGAAGGAATGTATGAATTGGTACCAATTCCGCTTCTCCGGAACGTATATCCCAAATTTCGATGCCCTTGGCCGCTCCAGCGGCCATAGCGGCACCCAGAGCAGTAATATCTTCCGATTCGGCTCTTATCACAGGTATTCCACTGATATCAGCCTAAAAAATAAAATTAATGACATAAACGTCTTTTGTCACCAGTATATTGACGTTTTTTAAACTTCTGATGTCAAATAATTAATACAAAGAGATTTGACTTACTTGCAATTGCATTAATAAGTCGTTTTCCGACATTTTTCCATCAACGCGAAGCTTCGATAGCGGTATCCCGCAATCTTTGTTCATGGCTTCCAAGATGTCGCGAGTTTGAAAACAAACCGCTTCCAGAGCAGCTCTAATGATGTGTTGTTTCGTCGAGAAGGCGGTCAAACCACAAATGATCCTAAAATAAATAAAAAATTAATTCAATAATCATTGAAACATAAATAACTTTGATTTAAATGCAATTGACATGACTAGGATAGCAATTGACAATTCTTTATAAGCTTTTGATCGTATTTAAACTTACACACCCTCTAGCGTCTTTCCTCCAGTATGGAGCGTAGAGTCCCTTGAAAGCGGGTACGAAATAAACATCACCGGTGTTGAAGACTTCTTTGGCGAGCGATTCGGTGTCCTTGCTGACGTCTTTAAGAAAACCCATGTTATCCCTTAGCCATTTTACAGCAGTTCCTGCCACTGCTACGCTACCTATAAATAATAATAATAATAATAAAAAAAAAAAACAAATATGAATGCAAGGAATGTAATTTTAAAGTAGATTGAAAAAAGCTTTCTGTCAAACACATCAAATGATAAGAACCCATGATGAAGACAGACATGAAGTTAGCGTAAGAGCACAACCAGAAATGTTTGCTTTCTTATGAAAAAAAAAAAAAAAGTATGTCTGTCAAATACGTCAGTCAAATCTCAAAACGTTTTTCAACCATCATACTTGTCAAATACCTCAAACATATATCCGTCAAACTCGTCAAATGTTGAGATAAATTAAATTTATTTAAAAAAGAGTTAATAGATTATTTTCACAGGAAAAATCAAGTATTGTTAAAGAAAAATGTAAATGAATATTATCACATTGTATTACTTACATTTACTTACCTTCTAGAGCATACACAGCAGGTTCATCGCCTAATTTGTAAGCTACAGTTGTGACTAGACCATGAGTCGATAGTACTCTCTGAAAACAGTATTTTTGTAATGAGAAACCAATTTAATGACATGAATCTATACCGGGTGTTCAAATTAAAGTGTTACAGTTAAATACCGCCGAAAATATGCATTTTAGAAAGAAAAGTTTCAGACAAAAGTTTTATAGGTTTTTGGGGGAAACATTTTAGCTAAATTCATTTTTTTATAGCTGGCCATAATATGGCCATCGAGGTGAACTTTGTTTTTTTAAATGGGAATCCCATTTTTTTCTTACATATTCTTAAAGTACATAAAAAATAAGAAACTTTTGCGGGAAATATTTTTTTTATTGGACTTTTACTTTTTGAGTAACAGCTACTTGAAAATGTTGCTGCGCGAAAAAAAGTTATTATGGTTAGCTATAAAAAACGATTTTAGCCAAAAGTTTTTCCCTACAAAACTATAATACTTTCGTCTGAAACGTTTTTTTTTTATAAAAAGCGGTATATAGCTGTAACGCTTTAATTTAGAACACCCGGTATAGACTTCGAATTTATGATCTAGTTAGTTCACCATACAAATGTGTCATATATGGCGTAACTTTCGGGAAAAATATACTTCCAGGTAATAATTTTAATGTTGAAAAACGTTCATGAGGTACGCCTAGGGTTTGTAAAGACATCTTAAGAAACAGTTTTTTAAAAATACTCGAAAAATGAATTTCTCTGGAATTATTGATTTGCCTACGAATTTTCTTCAAATTAAATATATTTACAGTTTTCCTTTCAATTACAACCCCTACAACTAACACAAGAAAATAATGAAACACATGACCCTTCAAAATAATACCCTTCAAAATAATATTTAATTTGCTGTAAAGTTAGGTTTAAAATAATATAGATTTTTTTTCAACAGTCTTTAAAATTTCAAGAGACATTGTCATCATCATTATTATTATTATTATTATTATTATTATTATTATTATTATTATTATTATTATTATTATTATTATTGAAATATACGAAATACATTTCTTTTGAGATTTAAAAAATAGAAACTAAGAAAATCATATTAATATACTTTACAACGTGTTTTTATAGAAATCATTCGACCATACAAATTTAAATAGTTATCTTGAAACTACACATAAAAATATTCAAATTTTAATAATCGTTTCAGCAAATATTGATACTTACTTGATTTCCCGTATTGTATAGAAGAAAACAACCACTTCTGTAAGTGTTTTTCGCTTGACCCTCCTTTAGACATCTTTGACCGAGCAAAGATGATTGTTGGTTGCCCAAAATCTTAACAAAAAATACATATTTACACAATAAAAGTGAATTTAATTACTATTTTAAACTAACTTCAAGAAACTATAATGGCCCCGGTAATTTTTTTTTTAAATAAAAATAATAAACACACATTATCATTATAGTTAATTACAACTTCCAATTAAACGAAAAAAAAAAGAAATATTACAAGTTAATTGTCTTACCCCCGAGATGGTAACCCCCTTCAGCGGCCAATCATCTCCGACTTTTCCGTAAATTTCGGAACTGCTTTTTATTTCGGGTAATATACTTTCTGGTATATTAAAGTATCGCAATAGATACGGGTCCCAATTCAAAAGTTCTATGTTCATGAGAAACGTTCTAGAAGCGTTTGTTACGTCCGTATAGTGTTTACCATTGTGCACGCCCCCTGTCAGATTCTATACAATACAAAAATATATTTAATATCATGCATATCGAAGTATTATTCATTAAGCCTTGGTTTCTTTGAACACTTCGTCGCGGTGAGCGGACAGTCCGTCAACCGTCGCGTTTTGACGATTTTATCCAACCAGAGTATTTAAATGGGAATGGTTTTCTTGAATCCGCTTAGCTGAGCAGGACGGCGTCATGCCGCTGATTTGTCGCGAAGAGTCGGTTGATATCTGTTGAGTTTGATATCAGCGGAATCGTCGGCGTGTGCGGAGACTATATTGTTATTAATTTTAAAACAATGGGTGACAAATTCACACATACAAATGACATCATGACTTTATTTTTAGATTTCTTTGAAATTATGTCCTTTATAAAACTCAACACGAATTCAAAAAGATCTGTAGAAAGTCTAAAATACTCCCTAAATTTGGTTTCATTTCCAAAAAACCTCCGCTTAACACAATGATATTAAAGGCACCTTCTATATCGCGACACAAAAACAACTCATCCACTGGCTTATTGGAAACTTTGACGGTTGCAATTGCCAGTTCCTCTTGTTCTTCCTCTTCCAACAATAATAACAACGCAAACAATTTATTTGCATCCATTTTAGTACCTTTCGTTTACATTCATAATACTTAAACAGCACGTACAGACCTAGAGAAAGTATCATTTTCTATATTTTTTAACAAACCACCTCGGGCGAAAATTGCTGTCCTCAGCGGTCGACGGACTGTTCGCTCACCGCGACGGAGTGTTCAAAGAAACCAAGGCTTTACCCAGCAAACATTTTGGTGTAATTTGACGTCGATACTACCTAAATTATATATAATAAATTTGGTCGCAAAATTAGATTTAACCATAATTAAGTAAAATTTACGTTGGCTCGACGTGGATTCGACATAAGTGGAGAATAAGACGACGTAGAAATTTGGTTTTATTTACCAAAATAGGTAGAATTACATCTAAATCCACATTGTAGTAGCCCAGTACGTTTGGTTAGTAATACCTCTCTAGGGAAATTTGACGTCAGTATAACGTTAATTCGACGTTGATTTAACTAAGTTTAGGTAGAAACTACCAAAATATTTGCAGATGACGTATGCCTCCAAGTGTACGAAAAGAAATTTTATACTTATTTGGTATTTTTATCTATATATAAGTAGAAATATTGTAAGAAGTAACCAACACAACTAAAACATATACCTAATTGACATGAAAGATTGAAAATAAATAAATGTCGGTGACAAAAATATATGTAATGTAATTGCGGTGAATATACAGTTCACGCTTGTTGAAATTAATGCGAAGAAAATTTTGTCGTGCATGTTAACAGTTCTACTTAGAAAAATAACAATGCCCTTCCAAAATACTCTAATTAAAAAAATATAAGAAAAAAATATGATCGTGTAAAAAAATAATAATAATATTATGAGCTAAAACTATGTTACGTTTGTTGTGCATCACTTTAGAAAATCAATAATGTTTCGTTTTTCGGTATTTTCATTCGTATGTTTTAGTTATGGTCATTTTAAAAATTTAAAATTTGGAATCGTACTTCAATTACGTTAAGAAAATATGGCGTATTGTGCGAATTCGACCTAAAAGTTATTATGACTAAGGAAATCTACATATTTTACAAATACCTTTTTACTAAGTTAAATTAACTTCAATTTCACGACGTATTAGTTAGCTTTACCCAGTGTTGCCAGAATATATTTTTGTAATGTACCAGATTTCATAAAAATGTACTAGATTCTATAAAATTACCAGATTTTTCTAATTATGAAGTATGGTCATTAAAGACCAAAAAAAGGTTTATAGAGAAAACGAACACAACAATTTTAAACAATATTTTATCTCTCGACAAATTTCTGACACTATTTTATATCTCGAGCAGTTTTTGAATCTTTTTTTAACTCTTGAGTTATTTTGAAACAATATTTTATCTCTCGATAAATTTCTAACAGTATTCTATCTCTCGAGCAATTTTTAACAACTTTTTTTTATCCCTCGAGCAATGTTTGCACAAAATATTTTGTAAAATGTTTAACACTATTTAATCATTCGAGCAATTTTTAACAGTTTTTTTTATCTTTCAAGCTATTTTTGATCTATATTTGATCTATCGTGCAATTTTTTAAAAAGATTTTAATACTTTTTGATATTATTTTTATCTCTCAGTTTTTAAAAAACATTTTTTTATCTCTTGAGCTATTTTAAAAAAAATATTTTATCTCTCGATAAATTTCCAACAGTATTCTATCTCTCGAGCAATTTTTAACAACTTCTTTTATCTCTCTAGCAATGTTTGTACAATATTTTTTTTACCACTATTTAATCACTCGAGCAATTTTAAACAGCCTTTTTTTACCTTTCAAGCTATTTTTGAACCATATTTGATCGCTCGTGCTATTTTTGAGCAAAATTTTAATAATTTCTAACACTATTTTATCTTTCGAGCAATTTTTATTAACATTTTTTATCTTTCTAACAATTTTTAAACAATGTTTTATCTCTCGAGAAATGTTTAACATTATTTTTTAATTCTCGAGTAATTTTTGAATAAGATTTTAATAACTTATGATACTATATATTTTATCTCTCGAACAATTTTTAAACTTTTTTTTATCTCTTGAGCTATATTTAAACAATATTTTATCTTTCGATAAATTTCTAACATTATTCTATCTCTCGAGCAATTTTTAACAACTTTTTTTATCTCTTTAGCAAACTGCACAATATTTTAACTCTCGACAAATTTATAAAAATATTTTAACTCTCGATAAATTTTTGACAATGTTTTATATCTCGAGCAATGTTTGTACAATATTTTATCTCTCGAGCATTTTTTAATAGTATTTTATCGTTCGAGGAATTTTTAAACAATGTTTTATCTCTCGAGAAATTTCCAATAGTAGATATCTCTTGAGTCAATTTTGAACAATATTTTATATCTCAACCAATTTTTCAATAGTATTTTATCCCTCGAGCAATTTTTGAACAAGGGTTTAACATTTTGTAATACTGTTTTACCTCGAGCAATTTTTGAACACATTTTAACAATTTATTATACTATTTAATCTCTGAAAAATTATTAAATATTTTTATCTCATTAAATTTCTAACAGTATTTTTATCTCTAGAGCAATTTTTGAACAATATTTTATCTCTCAAGCAATTTCCAATACTACTTATTTTATACTTTGATCAATTTTTAACACCCTTTTTTACCTCTCAAGCCATTTTTGAACAATATTTGATCTCTCGTACAATTTTTAAACAATGTTTTACCTCTCGAGAAATGTCTACTATTTTATCTCTGAAGTAATTTTTAACAACTATTTTAATAGCTCTTGCAATTTTTGACCAATATATCTTACACTTCAAATGGAAACATACGCTGATAAAAGTACTAGATATTGTGTCGAGTGTACTAGAGTACCAGATTCTCAGAGAATGTACTAGATCTAGTACAAATGTACTAGACTGGCAACACTGGCTTTACCTATTTAGAGAAATAATAACTTATAGGTTTTATAAAAAATTTACCTATAGGTAAATATAACATATTTAGGTCACGATAAAAATCGGAAGTATAACGATATGATTTATTATTTTTCGAACTCATTTTATTAATTATTTTTCGCATTCATTTAAAGCTCTATCTACACCACACGTAAATTAAGATTACGACTGTAATGGTTTTTTGAAAATGGCCGAAATTCTTAAGAATAATGACGAAGACAGTAACTGAACAACCTAATTGTTAAAATAACCTAAATAATATAAATTTTACAAATAGGTCATGTATGACTTTTTTTAAATTGGTGGTTTTTAGTCGAATTTACTTTGTGGTAAATTTTTCAGGTAATTGCTACAACAAAGTTAATAAATATTTCTTCAAGATGACTTATAGGTCAACTAAATGAGTATTCGACTATTTGGTTGAAATTAGGTAGATAAACAGGTAGAATTTTGCTACGATCTCGACCTAATATTACTTTAAAGGAGAGTAAATAAAAGCGCCCAAATAGGTTACTATGGAGGCATAAAATTACGTAGAATTTTTAACCAAATCTACCTAGTTGGATATTCTACTATAAAGTCGATTTTTAGTTGCCAAACAGGTAGATATTACCTAAATATGGCACCTAATTTTGCTGATATGGTTAAAGTCACTTTTAAGCAGATTTGTGTAAAAGGTAGATTTCTTGGTATAATTTACGTAAATTTAAATATAAATTAAAACCGTTTGGTAAATTTACATTAGAGATATATTTTTCTAGTCAATTTTACGTAATAATTACCTTAATAAGTAAATTCGTCTTAAACAAAGTCGAGTTATAACTAATGTTATAGAAAATGTTTGCTGGGTACTTTACAATCTGACCAAAAAGACTTGCAAAAAAATGAATATATAGCGAGGAATTTGTTTTTTTTATCTTACCCATAAAATCCAAGTGTCCACAGTCCCAAACAGACATGTATTAGTCTTGAGGGCCTTTTTAACATGAGGCGAATAATGCATTAACCATTTGATTTTAAACGCACTGAAATAAGGCGATATGGGTAAACCACAATGTTTTGAGAAATAGTTTGTATTTTGATCAGGCACTTTCGCCAAAATTTTGTCCACTGTCGAGTCCGTCCTTATATCATTCCATACTAATAAATAAAACACGATAAATATTATTTATTATTCAAGATGTAATAATTATGTATATCACGAACTCATGAAACACAAATTCCAGAAAATAGGTTTTCCCAAAGATTAAATCATGTTGTTTTAAATAATTATATTAGACACGTTTACCTATTGCATTGTGTAGTGGTTCTCCAGTCGTTTTATCCCACAATATTGTCGTCTCTCTCTGATTTGTAATACCTAAAGTTACGATGTTTTTTACCACTGAAAACAAACATCCATTATTCAGATTTGTTTAAACAGATTTTAGTTCTTATTACACAAAAAAAAAACGAACGAATTATTAAGCATCCAACATTTTTTCAATCAAACATTTTTCATTAAACTCTGGATTTAGCCTTACTATACCATTTTTAGCAAAATAGGAAAGAAGAGAGGCGTTTAAAGAAAAACAACTTGTCACTGAATTTTAATGAATCATTATAGACGACACTAGGCGAGTTCGGTCAGTCAGGGGCTGGAGCGGGACAAATTTTAGGGTGCTTTTAAATGACATTTAAGCGTGTTAAACTGTCACTAATCGGACTAAACCGAACGCTAAAAGAGTCGTTTGGAGTTAAAAGTGTTAAAGGAGTTAAAGGAACGTGGCAAACCGAACGCAATGCATAAAAGAAACTTAAAACCAAATTTTGTGTTACAATTTTTTTTATCGATTTTCTGCGAAAACTGTGGGTCATAGTAGAAAATATTTTATACAAAAGTTGTATTCAACAATATTTTCTATAATTTATCTAATTGGGTTACTACTAGAGTGTCTCAAAAAAACAAGACTATTTTTTTTCCAAAGAACATTGAAAATTCGTCAGAGTATCTCTAGAAAATGACCCTGTGAAAATATGAGCTCTTAATATTAATATTTAGGGGTGGCGTTTTGTAATTTTCTATTTCCCATTTAAATAACATGGGAATTTTTTTTTTTAACTTTGGAATTTTGTCTGATTGACTTTTTGCGTAAATGCGTAAAAAAATTATTGTAGATTTTACTGCTAAGAAGTTAACTAAAAATGTATAGATCTTGTATTTAACTGTTATTACTGTTTAATCTATTAATATGCCAATAAATCTGTTATTATTAATTAAAATGGATTATTGATACATAAGATAAATAAATTTATAGTAAACTTCTACCAAATTTTTTTAGGTAAGTGAAATTTTTTTCTAAAAATCAATAAAAATTATCATTTATCAAATTATTAAGATTTTTAGATCTGCATTCCATCAAATATATGCATATATTTATTCTTAAGTTAATAATTTTGGGTTTTAAATACATATAAATTGATTTTTTTTAAGAAAAAAAAAAAAGCATAATTTTAAACATGCTGAAGTTTGAGGCTCGATATCTTTGAAACGGATTGACTTACGCAAAAAGTCAAACAGACCTTTTTTGTAGAGCATTCAATTTTCTATAAGGGGTAATTTCGTCATACTTATAAAGTAGCTCGTTACAAAATTCCAAAGTTTAAAAAAAAAATTCCCATGTTATTTAAATGGGAAATAGAAAATTACAAAACACCACCTCCAAATATTAATAGCTCATATTTTCACAGGGTCATTTTCTAGAGATACTCTGACGAATTTTCAATGTTCTTTGGAAAAAAAAAAATAGTCGGTTTTTTGAGACACTCTAGTTACTACGCTATGATCATAAATGCAAAAGTAGAGGGCGTCAAGTTAACAAAAACTGTTTTTTGTGTTAGTCAATAAACATAATAACATAAAAAATACAATTCATTGCAATCCTCTAAAAAAAAATAAAAATATTGCATAATCTCATAATTATCTGAAGGCCAAGATAAATAAGAACCATTAAATATTATTTATAGCCTTATTTATTAGTTAGAAACTGTGAAATTATGACAAAATCATAATTTAATACTGTTTGATTGTGATACCATGGCTTAGATAAGAATTTTATTGCAATATATTTATAATAATAACAGTTTCATTATGTTTGAAATTGTATTGACAATGGATAAGTTCATAATGTTCAGATTAAAATTATCTTTATTAATAAATTATTCATAAATCTACTGATATTTTTATTAACTTGTTAAATTCTAATGTAGCTTTACATATACATCAAATATTTGCAAATGTAATTTTTAACACAACACATTTAAACAAATATTTATACAGCAATCTTGTAGGTATGGTTTTTTATTGTTACAAGATGATGCTGAATATTCTGATACAAATTGTGAATCTATTTTTATTCTTCAGTCCATTAATAAAAACACTGAAAAACCTTATCTTTGCTAACAATTTTAATAATGAATATGGATATCCTGTAGTAATCAATTATTATAGTTTTTTAAATATTAATGGAATTATTTGTTTTTTAACTTTTGTAATATTTATATGGATAAGTTGATTGATAAAAGTATAATGTAAACCCCAACCTGCTTTATATTTGAAATGTTGACTAATTTACAACTTTGTAGCCCAATTTATCCATCTTTGAATATAAATAAAGATAAGACTTCTTTATCTAAACAAATTTTCCTAAATACTGTCAACAATTAGTAGCTAAATTACACAAAGAATTAACAATGAAAATGAAAGTAATGACTTACAGTCTGCTCCTAATCCATTAACAACAATTTCCATACATGATTTAACAGCATTTAGTATTTCTTTGGGGTCCTGTTCAGACCATCCTTCTTGTGGAACGGCTGTTGTAATATCTATGGTGTGCTTGGCTATTTCTTTAGTATGCGACGTTCTAAACACACAAAACTGTACTGTCCTTGTGCCAGCATCTATCACACCAATTAATCTCTCGTCCTGATCATTTTTGGGGCTCATTTCAATCAATTAAAAACGTATTTATAAATTGAATTATGTAATTGTATAGGTACTAGGTGAACAAGAATCGCCTTAATTACGACTAATTTTAATATTTGTACCGACGTTTCACTTATATAACTTGCCTGCTCCCATACGTTCAGTGGCAATACTTAATTTACAACATTTCCTACCTATTTATTAATATTTTCTTATCATGTTTAACAACAACATTGATTCACTGTTCACTGTTTATTATTTATTGGTTAAATGCAAATTAATTCGAGGTTTAAAAGGTCTGAATACTTAGAGGATAAAATGATAAAAAAGTGGAATTGTTCGAAACTGAACTTTAAATGAAAAACAGAAAAAACAAATTCAAAGTTCAAGTTCGAAGTGGGTGTTTACGTTGACAGCTTGAATTTTGAAAGTGTCTACTTGACCGACAATCGGATCCACCCTTACAATAGGACAAATTATTATTTTTATTTCAGTGTTCACTTAATATAAATATTATTAAAAATTGACATAAGAGGTTTGGATGATATGCAGAATTACGTGGATATTGCGATCCATAGAGTCGGCGATTAATTATTCTATTTCCATCTTTTCTATACCGTTTTCCTGGAGTCACACTATTTGAAAGTTAACGTAGTGAATAACCGTTCACACTCATAAATCGGGCTTGGCTAGTCTAATTCCCAGACAACACACCAACTCCCAGAGATATCCGCAGAATAACTTTTGTGGATATCCAATATATCCACAGGATATCAGAAATATTCCGTGGATCTAATATGGATATCCAAATGTCCGTCTATATCCAGAATATAGTAGATATCCTAATGGATATTCAGCAAAATATCTAACGGGTATCTTCCAGAAAATACAAGAAATCACAGAGATATCCACAGAATATATTTTGTGGATATTCAATATATCCAATATGGATATCCAACCAAATGTCCTTCTATATCCCAGGATATAGAAAAGATATTCGGATATTCAGCAAAATATTTTATGGGTATCTTTAGTAGATGTTCATAAGTAACCAATGATTATTGTATAACGTCGAAAGAAAATAGCAGAGATAAAAAATATTTTCAACACTCTGCCTTTGATTTTGCTTACTAAGGAGAAAGTCATCCTTATTCGGACTCTTCAGCAATAAATGGAAATTCTCGACTCCAGTCTCTAATGGAGTCTGTAGGACAAAAATTTCGATCGAACTCTATTGCGGCGGGTCGAGCATGAGTAGATGCGATAGTGGTATCGCCATCTATACTTAGTAAGCAGAATCAAATAACATCTAGTGGATATCCACCATGGTTTGCGTTCGCGCCTAGACTTTGATATATTTAGTGGATGTTCATGGGATATTGAATACACCTTAAAAAAATTAATTTTAAATATCTGAACGGTACTATTAGCCACAATGGCGAGTACAATGGCGTAATTTTTTAATAATTTGCTATATAATTACTATTATTTATGGACATTTGCATGTCTATAAATTACATTTCATGGATATAAAATAGATATCTACCATGGACTGGACATTAAGTGGATATTGGGATGTTCAGTAGATATCCAAAGGATTTGGTGTGCTGTCTGGGTTTAGACTATATTGAATAAAAAGACTGATCTTAAAAGTTCATGTGATAACAATAATCATTTCTACCACCAGGGATGGCCAACTTTTCTGTATATACGATCTTAAAAAGTGTTGCGATCGACTTGTTGTCATAGAGGCGTAGCCTAAGGGGGACGAAGTGGTCTGAAATGCATACTATGTTTATATACTGTGTCTTGCGGTACGTATAACGGAAATAATAACCATTCATTGATAAAATATAATATTCACATGGTGTAATTCTGCTACATTTATTTATTTTGTTATCTTGTATAAATATAAACATCAATACACAGACCATAACACTTTATAACCGACAAAACTGTATTTCATTGTAAAAACTAATTATCACATGCATATAATCGTCAACGAAATAGCGCGTGTCAAAAGAGCGCCTGAACGAAATAGCGCTTTTAAAATGGGAACTTTAAAGATAGCTTTAACTAATTCTCGCTCACGCAACGGTTTGGCAAATTAGTCGATTTTTAAATTTTCTCATTTTATGTATATATTTTTTGTGAAGCACCCCGTGAATACTCCAGGGGCTGTTTCGTTTGGGCGCTGCTTTGACTAACGCTATTTTGAGTTGGCGTAATTTCTTTGGGTGCTTCTTCATTTGAGCGCTATATTTATATTGAAGCACGCTAATTTTGATTAGACGCTCAAACAATAGTACTATTTTTGTGAACCCACATAATCTATTAATATTACACACTGAAAACTTTCAATGCATTGAGATAGGAAAAAGAGGATATGCTATATATATATGACAATACTATATAAAAGTGTTCGCACCTTTGCATCATACTTTTACGTCAGTCTTGGTATCGTTAAGTGCGACCTATGAAACAGTCTTCATAGTGCGACCATCTGTCATATCGTAAAATAGTGTTTATGCCGTCTCTATTTCATTCTATCTCGATGTTTTAAAGCCAAGGCTTATACACTTTTGTTGAAAAAACACATTTTGTAGGTCTCGTAGGATAGGCCGAGTATCCACTTCTAAAATAACGGCAACCTTGCAGACATTGACGTTTTGAAAATGCGCCAGTAGTGCAGTGAGTTGGAGGCACAGTTGGAGGGTCATCGATTTCAACCAATCATCGAAGAAAAAATCGGGTCTTGCCCAAACATGTGACATTCTACACACCTCCATAAACTCGCTTTGCGATTGGTTGAAATATTAAATACCTGATTCACTTTTCATTTCTGTTATGTACGATAGATGACATCATAATTTGACATGATGTTAATATTAGGTTAGGATCACCTTCCTCCATGGTTAGGATTACGATATTTTGATTTTCTAAATCGAAATCATACTATGTCAGGTCATGGTAAACAAGAAATTACTGATCCAGTAGAGGAAATGTTAAAAAAAACTGGCTGCATTAATCTACATTACATCGTTCAGGACTGTATTTCTGAAACTAAGGATTGGAGAAAGTGTCAAGACAAAGTAGCGGAGTTTAAAAAGTGTATGCAGGTATATCAAGAGTCTAAAATGAAGAAGGTATAATCTAAAATAAATGTATATAGTAACAGTAATCATAAGGTTTGTGATAAGTATGTTGAAGACTGTATTAACCAAAGTTACTGGTTTTGAATCTACAAAAATGGTAATAATAATTCGTACGGATCTTAAGATGGGCAGAGGTAAAATAGCATCCCAAGCAGCTCACGCAGCAGTATTGCTTTATCAATCTTCCATAGAAACATCAAACCCGCATTTAAAATGGTGGTTACATACAGGGCAGCCAAAAATAGTCTTAAAAATAGACACAAACTGTGATGAAGCTTTAACCAATATTTATCAAAAAGCGAAAGACTTAAATCTCAACACTTGTATGGTTAAAGATGCAGGAAGAACACAAATAGATACAGGAACTTTAACTGCAGTAGGAATAGGGCCCAATAGAAAGGAAGATGTAGAAAAACTAACTAGTAATTTCAAATTATTATAATGTGTTTTACAAGAATAATATCTGTACATTAAAAATTTTCACTAAGTTGCTCGATGTGGCTTTTTTTTTAAATTGACCATCTAAGACACAATCTAAAGGAAATTCAAAGTAAATTTGAATAAACGAATGAAAATGTCAAAATTTTGCTTGTCATATGTAATATTTGTCATTTTTTGACATGTGTCAGATGTAATGTTGATTTGACAGATTTAATTGGTTTGACAAGCTTAAAGTGTATACATTTGATTTTTTAATCGTCAATTCAGAATTACCTTGAAAGCAGTGAAAATCGTAACATAGTACATAAAATCTTAACATGCAGTTTCAAAATGGACGTGTGATTTGTTGAGCAAACAATATTTGATAAAAATGTGCACTCACGTTACTTCTAAAATGATTTTACGCACGATCCGATTATGAATAACTACATTGTTTTTTTTTATACAATAATCACTGTGCCAAAAATTTTAAAAAATAAATGTTATCTACAAATAAAAAGTTGTAGCAATGTCATTTAAGTTTAATCATCACTTGATAGTATTGCAATTTCAAAAGATTTAATAAAAATTACACAGAAATCATTTGTTTGATTAGAGGTTGTTATCTTATATAATATAAAAAAAGTACAAATGTTATTCCCAAATTACTACAATTGGCACATTTCGCGATTTTTCTTACAAAATTACCTACTTAAATTAGAGAAATACAATTTAGAAACATCAAGTTATAATGCGTTAACAATCTTATAATTAAGTATTAGACTGACAATGATAGAAGTGATTGTAATTTTTTGACAGATGACAGCTAGTGGCAAAAAATGTAGAACTACGTATAAATTGAATTAAGGTCTTAAAGAAGAAGATAAATAAAAATTAATAAGACAGGTTAATTAATAAAATAAATCATATTATATAACAAAAAATAATTTATATACAAAACTCTATTTATGCGTTAAATAGTAACATCACATATATTTTTTTTTATTTTCATTGCGGTTTAAAAAAACTTTTTTATTAACAAACACGTTTTCAAAGTCAACATGTGCATTAAACAAAAAATATCACAACTTGTTTAAAAATTTGCACAAACACACGCACTCATTATAAATTTACACACACAAAGGTTTGCTTGGAACTAGTTTAATATCCTAACCTAGAAAACTTACCATATATCATAAGATTATATCAAAACTTTTTTGAAATGAAAAACACTAAACTATAAACATACTGAATTAATCTAACTGGTTGACATTTGTTACTATCTGCTTAAATGACAGCTGCCATTTTTGTTTCTTACACGTCAGTTATCACGGTTTGCTTTTAAAAATATTTGACTTTGTATTCAAGTTTTATGTTTTGAAGATTCATTTCAAGAAAGTTTTTCCTATTTGAAAAATGGATTTTCCGACATTTTTGACACATGTGTTATTAACAGCCTGGCTTCTCAATTTTTTTTTTTATAAAATAACAGGAACTTCTAGAAAAAGTTAAACAAAATTTCATTGACAATACATTCATATTATACTCCGTATCCAATAGATTTTGGAATTTTCTTCCCCAACAAGTTTTCCTAAGTCACCTAAATGTAAAAGTTATTTAAATCCGTCCTAACTTTCACTAGTTTGCAATTGAGGTATTTTAATCGTTTCTACTAAACAAATTGATCAACACGGATAAACAAAAAATAGCCTGGATGTTTACAGGTAAAAACTTCAAAAAATCACACCCTTCAAAACCCCATCACTCTCCAATAATTACCACAACAAAAATATCACGCCATCTCATTATTAGGGATGGCAAAATAAAAAAATATATCGATATATCGAATCATATGATATATCGATACATTCGATATATCGAATAAAAAATATCGATATTTTGAATGTATCGATATATTTTTAATAAAATGTAGAAAAATGCATTTTTTAACAGTTAAAATGCGATTTATTTATTTAGATAAGTAATAAAACATACGTACCTACGTGTTTTTTTAATATAGAGACGAACCAAACCAACTCAAAATTAAATATTTACTTAAACGTGTTTATGATACATTATTTGAAAGCTTTCTGAGAAGAGAACTCAAAAATAATTAATATGACATTCTATTGCCAGATATAAACGGTTTTGGCTTTCTGTTGCTGTCAAACCAGCTTTCGAAAATAGTCTTCACTTAGAACAGAAGTTGCTACTGCAGAAAAATATTTTTATTAACCACTCTAGACACCGAAAATAAAACTAAAAATATGCAAATTCATACATCAGACCAAACATAAAAACAAAACAAAGAGCCTGGTGCACGCCTGACGTGTTAGCTGCCAACGTCAATTAACATCGCATGGGCGCGTGCGCCCGTTTTATGATTAATGTTTTCGATATATCGAAAAGATTATATCGATATTTTTTCGATATATCGGTAGTAATATATCGATTAAAATATATCGATATTTACACAACATCGATATATCGTTGCCATCCCTACTCATTATCTATCTCTCTCGAATATAATTCACGTGTTCATGTTAGTAATCAGTTTAGTTTTTTGGGCGTCATCGTATTTGCAAATATCGTATGAGTTGATACTCGACATCGAAGTGTAAGAGTTGTTGACGATGTGCGGTGCCTCGTTGAATTCGTCCAGCTCTTCGAGTTCAGCTGAAGAGGGGCCCTTCAATAGGAAGTACTGCTCCGACCGCGTTGGCCACAGTAGGTGAGCCATCACGCAGTACGCGAAACAGTCGGCAGAGTAGGTGATGCCTGAAAGAAAACTAATAAGTAATTTTGTTTCTTTTAAGAAATTAAAACCAATTAACTCACCCAACAACAGCTTAAATCTCCACAAGGCGCTGACATGCAGAGCGATCAGTGCCAACATGGGCAAATATATGAACCACACCAAACTGGAGGCACCAAAATGTAACAGGAAATTCAATTTCTGAGTATTGTGCTCATACAACATTGTGGTCCGCAATTCGTATAGGAACCAAATCATTATCAATGATCTGAAAACGATTATGAGCCATCCTGGCCACGTTTGGTACTCTTCTATGTCTTCTACAATATCCACTTCAGTCTGAAATGAATTAAATAAAAATCTTCACCATACCACTTGAGCAGTAAATTTCCCCAAACTTGGGGAAATTTTAAATCACATGACAGATATATCCCAGTGTGATTCGTCTAAATGATTGATTTGAAGCATTATTTCCCCAGATCTAAGGATTTTTGTAATTATGTGTTTTAGAAAACCAACCAATTTTAAATATATAAAAAGCAGAGAAAACTCTGCCGGTATCAAATCCGAAAACGCGGCATTCATTTAATTTAAATCCTAAATCAATTGCTTACCAAGTTCCAGACGTACAGCAATATGTGAACGATGCCGTAACACAACCATATGGCAAACACCAAAGGTTTCCAAGTAAGTTCTAGCCTAGTGACGGCCCAACCTTTGGCCAACAGAAGCAGTAATAGCATAAATGAAGTCTAAAAATAAAAATAGAACTATTTAAATATCACAGGACACACAATTAACTATTCAAACGTATTTTTTATTCAATTTTCCTACGTACCCTAGATAGTATATCAAAAATATCACCGGTCATAGCCAATTTGGGATAACCTTCTCCATCTATAGCATACCTCAAAGTGTGTACAAGAATCAGACATAGAGCTATGAAATCCAGAACCAAACTTGCTGTGAATAATCTAAAAATAATGCAAGAACATTTCTAAGTTTCTTTATAAACATGAAATTTAACACCTTACCTTGTAACTGGATGCCTCTGCGTTTTGACAGCATGACATTGCAACGGTACCAAGACCATATAGCACAGCCAAAACAGAAGATATAATTCCATCGTATTTTGTCTGTCAAAGGAAAATTGATATGTTAGTGTGCTCGTAGACGAACTATTAGGATTTCCGTTGACCAACCAGATGTCGTAGTCTATCTCGAAGGGAGTGTATGAGTTATAGTAGTGCCAATCGCAAGATGAGGCGTTATGGTAGCAGGCCACCATCGAAAGATACCAAAAACTGAAAAAATAACACATTATCGACTTCGATATGTAATAATAATAATTCATAACATTGCTATGAAAGCAAATTATTGTTGAAATAAAGCATTGTCATTGTTCGGGCCTTATTAGGGTTGTCAGATTTAGAGAGGACAACTTTCTGACGAGATTTAGAGATTAGCACATTGAATAAAATATTACACCAATATTTTTAACAAATAAAGATGAAATAAACATGCGCTGCTTCGTAAAAACCACAGCTCATGTACCTACGTAAAAAGGGCATGTATTACATCTAGCCAATTACAAGTATAGAGAATATTTAAAAACAATTGTAGTTTTATTTATAGTAAAAGTAATTAAGTAACAATTATCAGTGTTCAGAGACATACCATTAACAACAGACCAATTGGTAAGTGCTAAAATGTCGCTTTCCAGTTTATAACAGTCCTCCTGGGAAGTAATTCTCAAGTACATTTTCAAGTCATCATCAAACAGTAAAAATATGTAGTACTCGAAAATTCAACCTGTCATTAACAAAAAGATTGAAAAGCAGCAGTCCCAAATGAGAGCCCTGAGGAGCTTCCGAGGAAACGATGACTGAATTTGAAGTGTGATTTTTAATTTTCACTAACTTCCACTTAGACATTTGGATAACCAAAGAATTAACCAGATTGGAAAATCCATCAATTTTAATTTGTAAATTAGAAGAGCCATGTTTACCCTGTCAAATGATTTACTGAAATCAGCATAAATGGTGACTACTTGACTACCTAGTTCAAATGAGGAAGAAGATTGATACTGATAAGATAAATAAAATTGAAGGTACCTTAAAATTAACATTAAATTAGAAAAAATATCAAAAATGAAGATCCTTTGATTTGGTGGGCACAAAAACACGACGTTTTTCTACTAGTATAAATATAAATGTGCAATAAGTAGTGTGGCTAATGACCAGCTATTATTTTCAGCTGGTTTGTATAGGGCGATTCATTAATGGTGGATACTGATCTTTTCTCAGAATATAGAAGATCACAAAAATAGGTCGATTTTTTTTAAGGGAGACACCTTTTTATAATATCCTTAACTGTCAAATTTCATTCCTCCCCCCTCTATCATCATCATCGAAAAGGTAATTTTATGGGGAATTCAGTAATATCATCCTGTGTTACTTTTCATTTTTGATTTAGTTTACATATTATGTAGTGCATTGAATTACTAATAAAAATAGCTCAATACGAAAGTTTTTTATTCCGCTATATGGCGTTTAAATGAAATGAAACGCAATGAAGTCATATTGCTGAATTTACCATAAAATTACATTTTCGGTGATGTGTCATTGTGTCACACTGGTTAGATTGATGGAGGAGAAAGGCTCGACAAATAATAATTGAGGATACTATATAAATGTGTCCCCCTTGAAATAAAACAGACATGTTTTTTCGTTAAAAAAAAAAAAAAAAAAATCCTACTTCAAGATATTCTGAGATAAGGCCAGTCGAGACCTTTAATGAATCACCCTGTATATGAAAGCACAAGAAGTCAACGACATTAATATGATGCCCAATTTAGACTGAAATAAGTTAGATCAAGGACATCGAAAAACAACTACATTATTTTGAAATTTTGAGCATGTTATTTGATATTATTTTGCGAAATTGTTTAGTTTCATGTTTTTTTCCTTCTGGACCTTTAGACATTTATTATATACCTCCTGTCATTTACAGCTAACCTGTAATAAGCAGTTTTTATTTATTTATTTATAATAGCAACTTCAAATAACTTCCAGTATTCTTTTAAAAAAAATCACCTTTTTAATAATGTTAGCAAAATATATTTAATTTAGAGAAAAGTTTTCCCGATTTTATTTTACTAGCAAATTCGATCTGACAAATAATATTCTAATGATAAATATTTTTTAATATGCAAATTGGAAATTATAATTCTACAAAATTCCCCTTGGCCTTGAATCAGACTTTCAACATATTTTTTTAATTAGCATTCTAACATTTACATATAAGTATTTATAACATAAGACAAATAAATAACATTTGTCTATACTTCTTCTGTCCATAGTCTGAGATAATTAAAAATAACAAATATCAGTTACTATCTCTAGTTAAATATACAGGGTACCTTGAATACTTTTTGATAGGATGAGTTTTGGCAAAATGGTTGGGTCACCTCATTTTTCTATTCTGTCCCTTTTGTCAGCCCCACAACACATCTGACATCTCCCCTCTTCTGACACAAGCCAACCAACATAAAAATTTTAACAGGGTTTACCACACTGTTGTATAATTTATGTAAATAAATCATTAAGAAACCAGACCAGTTTTCTAAACTCTTAGTGTAGCAGTTTCTGTCTGTGTTTTTTCTCCAATAGACAAGCTAGGACCTAAATTCGGCCCTAGAGAAAATCATAAACTGTATTAATATTAAAGTTTGAAAATACCTGTGCGATCCATAGGCCTGGAAGGCCTAATTAAACATTTTATTTTAAACACTAATGGAATTTTTTTATTTTTCACTGCATGGTACACTTAAGACTAAATACTTTTTACATTATTTACAGTATTTCTCTGGCCATTTTTAATGTATAATAGTTATGATACATGATGGCGGACGAAGCGTTGCCTTTTTTAACATCGCAAAACACTGGGTTGGGTTTGACTGGTTTTGATGATCTAATACTGCCTGGGAGAGAAGTAGCTAATCGAGCTTGAGTCATGCCAGACATTGAGCAATAATTAAGAAGTACATAACGCCCGTGGCGCTATCCAATGAAAGTGTATGTCACATATGGCAGTAACCAATGAGAAGTGGACAAGAAGTAAATGATGCCTGTGACATAGTTATTTGTTGGGAGACATTTCTTATCGGCCAAGTCAGTGCCGCTTACAGAGACGTCTCCAGGAGTAATATAAAAATCGAGAATGACAGCTTAGTGTATATTGCCGCGTTTACGGTTTTTATTTTTCCCTAACGAGCTGAGGGGTTAATTATAGCTAGATGGTAGAACTACTTTAATAAAACAATAATAATAATTGAAAATATTTATTTAATAAGTAAATGATTGGTTTAAAAAAGGAAAAAGACAATCTCCATTGAATAATAAAAAAAATAACAATATTCAGGTACTTACCAAGGGTACACCATTTTAAGAGGGATGGTGCTTGTGTCGCTCTTCAAAACCAAGTGATTAATAATATTTAATATTTTATAAAGAAAGTTTGGGTTCCTGCACTTTTACTTGATCAGGTAATTCATTGAACTGAGTTTACTGCTGTCTTTACAAATTCAACGAATTTCCATAAAAGTATCAATTAATTAAGAAACTTGAATTTATACTTCCTCTTTAGAAATAATATCTTTAAATAAACTAAACAATGATTGTGAAAAATTAAAATAATAATTTAATGAGATAAATATTTTTTAATAATTAAAATGAAAAATTATTTAACTATTTTACCTATAGTACATGAACCCTAAATATATTATTTGACAATATTTGATGCAAATATTGAACATAATGACAAATGCAACTAGTTGGCTGTAATTTTATTTCAGTAATTTTAAGTTGAAAACAGAAGGCTTAATTAAAAGGAAGCAAAAGTGGTTAACAGCTGTGTGCTTAATGCCTTTTAGACTGCTTTGATCAAAAATTACTTCCATACTCTAAAGTCAAAAAGTCAGTTTTTTTAGAACCTACAGCATATTATTTATTATTTTTTAAAAATTTTGCAACCCTACTATTAATATTTCAAATCATGTAAGAATAAAACATGTAAAAGTAATAGTACTGTTATTTCAATTAAAAATGTAACAATCACATTTGGGTGCAATTTGTGCTGACTCAGCATAGAATGAAATAAAATGTAGAGCAGTTAAGAGAAAGTGATTGAAATTTCTTACATAACTGTTGATTGCGTTTCCTTTTTAAAAATAATGTAGAACAAGAATTTAAATTTAGAAACTTCATTTTGTGGTCAATATATTTTCCAACATGATAATTCTGAATTTTATTAGTTTTTAAATTAAAATATTACAATAGAAATTTATATTATTAACATTTTTATCACAATATAAATAATTCTTCAAATACTTGGCTTGTTGTTTTTCAATTATAAGCTGTTATTTCTTTTTTATTCAAATATTTTTGAAAGACAATCTTAATAATCATAACAGAGTATTTAAATTGATAAATTACTCATGCAAAATATGTATTATTATATTATTAACATCTTTCTAGAATGCATAATCTATTTTCTTGTAGATTGAAAATATTTACTAAACTAAAAATATCGAAAGTTTTAATGAATAATAGAGTAATCTATTTTGTTATCTATAATTATAAAGAAAATCTAATAAACAATTTTAATTTATTTAAGATAGTTACCAAGAAAGAACAAACATATTGGCTTATCAAATCTTTATTTTACCACAAAACTAGAACAAGATAAATAAATCTGTATACATACCTGGGTTGTTTAAAATCCTGGATGACATATGTAAATTGGTGATTTTTAACAACATTCCAGGGATTATCTTCATCATCGCACAATTTATTTTTCGTGCAAGGTATTCTCCTTAAATAATCATTACCATTTCTACTACATTTGCTATCGTATGCCCTAGTATTAAGCGTAGCAAACATCCTCTTGCATGCTTTATCTTTGTCATAAATTACGCGATTTTGATAATAATCTAAAAAATAAGATCTATCCAATACTGCAAAAGTAAGATGAACAGGAATTTGCTGTTTTGAAGTGATATTCCCGAATATGTACCCATGGGTAGCCTCAGACTGATGTTGATCAGTCTTTTGGAACCCGAATTTTATCAGAAACTTGAAGAATTCACTGGATTTAAAAGTCCCTTTCAAATGAGTGCACTGTCCATTATGTACGAAGATGAAAATATAAAATAATACCACTATGAATATGTGGTTTCTAAACATTTTTGTTTGAAAATACAAAATTTTGACATGGTATCCCCAACTTGTCAGTGTCACTCGCTGCTCGTGTCACAAAAAACTGCCAAAAACAACACTAACACTACCAACGGAACAAAAAAAAAGCAATTTGGCAATTTTCGCTTCTTCTTTAATTTTATAGATCCTCTTCCCTAACTAACCACTTGGTTATAAATGTATATCCTAACTGGTAAAAGCCAGATGTTTTCCTGTCAAAGTATTGTCAACTGCCAAAATACGTAACGGTTTTTGACATTTAAAAGAAGCCGGTTGGTAATTTATACGCGAAAACGTAAATTATTCTCTAAGAATTATTTTTAATATTTCTATTAGATAATTTAAGCAGTGTATAATAAAATAAATGTTATTAATTCCAGTTGTTTACACTCTGAATTTATAAAACAAGTACGATCATTTATAACCTTACTTTTTACATGCCTTGAATTTACATTTTTTTAGATTGTATTCATTATTAAAAGATGGCAAATAAAAGACGTAGACCAACATCGATTGATAAAAATGATATTACTATTTCGAAATCCAAAAGGGCAAAATGTAAGTATAATTTTAATAATGTAAAAGTTGTAGGTTAGGTTCTGTTATTACGACCTACTGATTGTTATATCCTTGTAGTTACTTTAGAAAATGTATCACTGCCAGAAGTAAATAGAGAAGGTGTCGTATTAGTAACAGGAGCAGGAGATGTCGGCCAATTAGGTTTAGGACCAGATGTTTTAGAAAAAAGCAGAGCTGCTGCTGTGAAATTGGACAATCCAATAGTAGATATTTGCGCAGGTGGGATGCATACAGTATGCTTAACAAAAGAAGGAAAGGTAAATACATATTTAGGTACTAATTTAGTCCTGTTACTGTTTCCTATATTTATCCATTGTGGCTCAAATAAATAATATTCTCAGGTTCTGACTTTTGGTTGTAATGATGAAGGAGCTTTGGGCAGGACAACAGAAGGGAAAGAAGACGCAGAATTTGAAGCAGGACAAGTAGAATTACCTAGTAAAGTAGTTCAAATATCTGCTGGAGATTCTCACACAGCTGCCCTATTAGATGACGGAAGAGTCTTTGCTTGGGGTACATTCAGGGTAACTAAGAATCTATATTCCTACTTTTGAATTATAATTAAAACATGCATTTTCTATAGGATTCACATGGCAACATGGGCATGACATTAAATGGAAATGAAAAATATCCTTATGAGATTTTAAAGGATGTTGTAGTGAAGAAAATTGCATCAGGTGCAGATCATATTGTGTTTTTGACCAATCATGGGGATGTGTACACTTGTGGTTGTGCAGAACAAGGCCAGTTGGGAAGAACAACAGAGAGAGGGAGCAGTAGGAATGCCCGTAGTGGAGTGGGTAAGGGACAATTTGGTATGAAATATGATTTTTTTTTAATTGGTGTTTGTAGATTTTAGAGGAAAATTGTTATTTTGTACTCATTCAGAATCTGACAATATCAAGGAATATAGTAATTTGCTTAATGCAGTTTACAATTTTTTATGTTTTAAATCCCAAAATAACTATAAAATTTCTTTTCTTGAGAACAATTGTATAATTTAATATATAGTTGAGTTATATGTGGTACATTGTATATGTATATATACTGTTTTAGTTATAACAACCATTTTCTCTGGCAACAATTTGTAGTATTGAATTTGTTTTTTGATTCAGAATAAGTTTGCTATGTTCTAAATGCCATTCTATTATAAAGTAATCTATTCAGTTGTGATTTAATTTTTATTTTAGCAAAGCTTCTGGAACCTTTGCCTATTAGCTTGAAACCGAGTTTGAAGCTTCATTTTGACAACATTTGGGCCTCAAATTATGGAACTTTCTGTAAAGTAGCAAATAGTGACAAGATTTATGTATGTGGACTCAATAATTACAATCAAATAGGTAAGAAGATAATAAAAGTTGTTAAAGTATTAAAATATAATAAATATTGTATATTTGATTCATGTTCTCTTTGTTAATGGGAAATTTACTTCTGTATTCCCATTTTGCTTTATAAATCCCTTCAAATGAGCGACTACCCTGCCTTAGAAAGTAACATTCATTAAGTTCACTGTATCATTTATGACACCTTCAATCATATCAAGTGTAGGTAACCCATACCTTGTAAATATTACAGTAAATGTTTTGCTTCATCATCTGAATAGCCTTAGGCTAAATCTCGCCCAGACAAATGTACATTTCTACATATTTTTTGTATTTTTGGTATGTACAAATAAAGGCCATTTATTATTATTATTATTATTATTATTATTATTATTATTATCTCTTAGTAAACATATTTGTACTAAATTAAAAATAAGAGGTTGAAAAATATCTATATTTTGTTATTTAAGTTCCTCTTTTGTATCCTAAAAATGGAGAAATTGCCATTAGAAGTTTTTATATTGTCACCCCATTTTTCCAGGAGAAAAGAGAACAAAATATTTAGGAGGGGGAGCGAAAGTGCCAGGGTCAGAACCCAGGTGAAATGTAAATGGAAAATAATTAACTTTCCAACTCTGAATTTGTAAAAAGAATTTAACTAGCATGTTTGAAGGCAAATTAAGAGAAATTTAATTATTAAATATTGAGAATAACAAATATGCAACTTTGAAGATTATTTATCTGCTGTTTGTATGATTGAAGGTTTATACTCCCAAGTTCTATATTTATTTATTTGTGTCCAAGCAGGTCAATGGCCTTATTGCATGGATAAAAGTATCTTAATACCTAATAATAATAACCATAAACAGTAGGTAATTACAACTAATATTCCAACTTATTCAGTATTAAAAGTAATTAAGAGTAATGTAATAATTAATCAAATACAAGTTTTTGGAACATATTAAACGGTAATGTAATGCAATTCTGTCACAATTCCTATATTATGTACAATATAAATCTATAGGTAGTAAACAAATAGTATTATCATCGATTTTTCTTAGGTCTAAAGGAGTTGGTACCATACTTCACGCCAACATTATCTAAAGATTTTTCAAAATACAGGTGGCACATTATAAGTAGCGGTCAACACCACACCATCGGTCTGGATTTGGATGGTAAAGTATACGCGATTGGTAGAAAGGACTACGGACGTTTAGGTTTAGGTAAAGACTGCGAAGACGCCTTTGAAATACAGAGGGTGAAAGATTTGAGCGACAAGAAAGTCGTGCATGTAGCTTGTGGAACTGCTACATCATTTGCAGTCACATCAGAAGGTAAGACATTGTAAAAACACATGTATTCTTTAGAACTTCTTCTGAAAAGCTTTTCGAATTTCAGGAGAGCTATACGGTTGGGGTATGGGCACCAATGGTCAGCTGGGTACCGGAGAAGAAGACGATTGCGAGGTGCCGACCCTGATAAAGAGCAAGCAACTGCAGGATAAAAAAGTTTTTAGGGTGAGCAGCGGAGGACAACACACTGTTATCCTAGCGGTTCAAATCGTATCTAACAACAGCCATGGGGACGCCTAATCATAATTAACTGACTGAAGTAACATAATTAACATTTATGAAGTGAGTCAGCGGCACGGTGTCGGGGTCGACGTAATTTACGTAATTTTAACTTTTAGAAACTTCATCTTCACCCTGTTGTCAGATAAGATTGGTGAGAGTGTAGCACTGAGTGTTAGGTGGGCTCAATGTGCCCTGATAAGTAACAAAAATAAACGTATTTTTTTAAATTTAGGTTAATTTTTTGTTTTATTTTGTGAATTATTTATAAAATGTAATTGTTTAGAAAATTGATGAATTAAGAACAGTAATAAAGTTAAAAAAAAACACATTCTTTTATTTACCTTTAAAAATGAATTGATAAAATAAGTTCGAATGTACAAAAGTTTGAAAGTGAGAAAATATCAAAATTAGAATAAATTATCGAAACAACATATGATTGAAATTACAAATGACCAAATTTAGATCGAAATTCATTCGATTTTACGTTTACAATGGATCATACTCAAAAACTTTACACTGGTGATATTTATTCTAGTACAATCATACAGATTGTCGTCATTCAACACGATGTCATAAGGGTGGCTTTAAGAAGAATTGTGAAAGCTAGGATGGGATTAGAATTTGTGTGTGCCGACGAGAGTTGGAATATGACTGAGTTCGAAAGTCGAAACCATGTGTCTCAATAGCTCAACGGATAAGAGCATGTACGGCTACAGCCCGAAAGTTCCAGGTTCGACTCCTGGTCGATGCACTCATTTTGCTTTTAATTCTCGGCTATTTTCAATTTTTTTTGGCTTGTTCTCACTCTAGGGTTATGGGGATGTATTTTTCATAATTTCGTAAGGGATTATTCGTTTTCATATTTCCAAAAATTGCATTTCAGTTTTTCAGATCTTGGCCGATTTTTTTAACAATGACTCGTGACAAACTTTATCTAAGGCTATATTAAAAAAAAAAAAATAATAATAATTACCAACAATTTTACTTCAAGACACAAGCTTATGTTTATTTTTAAAAACATGGAATCTATATAACGATCTATATCATTGACTTTGTCAAATCATCAGATCCACAGTGTTGCCAAGTCATAACCTATCATGTGCCTGTCAGTGTCCTGTCATTACCTACGGGCAACCATTTTGTTTGGAATGCCTATTTAATCAGACAGGTAGAAAAGTGCGCACCAACCCTCTAGTGGTATATTTGATTTTGTATTGGGTATGGGGTAACACTGCACGATTCAAATATAATCAAACGTCGCATCTTTATATCCAAGAGTCCATGTGCTAAACGTCTGTGTCGGATTAGGACCTTTTCATGGCCTACCGCTCAGGAGGGAGAAGGGTCCACCTTTTTCATGGTCCGATTTTAATTGAAGAGAAGAAAAGGTCCTCTCGGGTATTACGCGGTTTCTTGCATTTAATTCTTTGTTCTTCTTAAGACCCACTGCCTGAAAGAGGGTCCACTTTCTGAACGAGCACCTACCGGTCTTTTGGCCCAATCCGACGCTGGTTAACGTACTGTATATATTGGCTAACGTGAAGAGGAGGTACATGAAAAAACAATAACACGACGGATCCCACGACAACTCTACATGATTATGCAGCTCCTCTTCACGTTGGCTAATAACTATGGCCAGCAAGTAGATGGGGCGTTGATAGGTAATTCAGATAGGTACTAAGTGTTGGCATGTGATCTGTCGTGTTTACCAAGCAGATAACTATGTGAAATCCAAACAAGCGAATTCCAGCATGCACAGAACCAGTTGACCAACGCATTAGTCACCATGAAGATGAGAAATTGGCCAGTATTATTTACCAACGTGAATAGGAGGCTTTACATATTTCAATGCAGTAGATATTTATATTCGTCAAAACGAATTTTCGTAGAGGAAGGCATTATGTAGTAAAATTAGTTTAACCTAAAAATTATTTTACATATTAATTAATTTCATATTTCCCATTTTTATTAAAAGCGAAACGTTCAACACGCAATTTCGAATCGTTCTAATTCAGCTTTCAAGATACGTATAAATCACAAAATGAGACTTTACAATTCCAATTAAAGTTCCAATTCCATGTTTGATTTAGCGCCGAATGATCCTGGCGAAATTATGCAGGGCGTGGTGCCGTAGATTGGTCCTTTTAGACTGGAACATACGTCGGATTGCCATAGATAGAACGAGATGGACATATTTAAGTGGTCATTTGTCAAAAATGGCCGCGCTCGAACGCTGGAGCAGTCACATTTATTAGCGGATGGCGGAATTTTCCAGAGAAAGTACTTGTTGAATTGCGGTGGTTTTGAATTTTATCGCTTTACGACGATCTTGGCATTTCGTGGAATAAAAATGTAGTAGGGCTTTTTATGGGTATGTGCTGTTTGTTTTTTTAGATTAATGGTACAAGAATGAATGGCTTCCCTAGCGGAGCGAAGCTTTAATGGGACTGCTGTTAAAAAGGCCGATAAAACAGACAATGTCACTGACGTTAAAATTCTTTTAGCAAAACTACGTATATAGGGTGTCCACGTTTAATTAAAATTTACATATTGCTACCTTGTAAAAAATTGTTTTAGATAAGTATATAACTACATTTTAAAAGGTAAATACTTTTTCTTTAATTCCAAGTTCAACGCGTTGTCAATAGTGACGGCGACTTTTTTATTACAAAAAATACAGCTCAGAACGAAAATATTTTTAGAAATTGTTTTTAAAAATGGGACCGGAGTACGGTAAAGAATGGTGGAAATTCTATAGTTTGTTTTACTTTTATGTATAATATTTTGATAGTGATAGTTAATAAATATTTAAATGTTATGGACTTTCCACCATTTTTTATAGTATTTAAAAGCTAAAACGTAAAATACATTCTTTTATTTTTGCCTAATTATTTCAAGAAACTTGTGTTAAGATTTAAAAATGTACTGTCTATAAGGTGCTGCCATCTGCTCAGATGGAATAGATACTAAGTGAAAAATTGCAACATCGCTCCTTATGTAGACAAATGTAAAACCGGCTTAGCCCAATTTGACCATGTTCCGTGATGGGGAGCGAGTTGCTGGGCGGGGAAAGTTTCAAGTAAATAACTATGGGTATAAATATAAATGGTATTTTCTGTTTCGAATTTCAACACAAATATGTTTGTTTTGAAAGTCTGACGTTTGTGGTTTGACTTGACTTTCAATTTTATGGAGTTTAATAATTTAAAAAATAAAATGTACTTATTATTTATACATATTTTCCTATTGAAGATCCAGAAGAGGTTTGTATTCGGTTTATATTTTTTTATATTTGGCTGGTTTGCTAATATCACAATATTCAAATTTAGTAAAACATAATGTAATATAATAACTATTATAATCTAAATAGGAAAAGTAATTTAACTGCAATTGTTTTGATAACAGTCTTGGCATATGGTCTGTGAATTTCATCCGTTTCCGAATAATTACCCCTAAATATTAAAATTTTTCTACGAACTGTATAAAATTTCCTCCAATTTCCTATATTGTTTATCCACAAACTGCATATACAAATGATTGCAACACCATTTACAAACATTTTGCAGAATTTCATTAACAACTCTTACTAAGTTATCTGAATACTTACAACTTACAAGAAATATAGGAAAGGACATCATCAACAAATAGGTAAATGTCATATTGACCTTTGCGACATCAACAATGTCATAGACATAAATTAAAAATAATACTTTCAATAGTTTTATTATGTCAGCCATAGTTTTAAACCAAAAATGAAAATAAACTGAAATTATACATTAACAATACATTCATAAATTTACCATATTTATAACATTCATCGATTCCTCTCTCCTGGCTAAAATATTACTTATCTATCTATTCAGCTTTGTTCCGTCTATTTTTTTGACTTCAGTCTCCTTCTGACACTTCCATTCGTTCTTATTCAGTGTAGTATGAATGGTTTTTAGAATATCAAGTGTTATACCTAACTATCTGTCTATCTGATGCTGGGTCGAGCAAAGTTCATTTGCAGTACAGCTGCTCATCTGACATTTATCTCGATGTCAATCTTGATTGAACATTCGTTACCTGCCTATTTAGTCTTATACTTAACCAGAAGTTGCTTAGTTTCAGCCGAAAATGTCTTAATTCGGCCAACACACAGCCTCCGTACACAAATATCTATTTTACCGTTGACTTCATTACAATGATCGATGGTTTTAATACGAAAAACTCAAGTAAAGGGTAAAGTTATATCTTGCTCAGAACACTCGTATTAGCCTATATTATTTTTGATTAAAGAAGTATACATTTAAAAATTTCGTTCACTTAAAAATAAAAATATTTAATTTTGATATTTTATTTAACTCAATCAAAACATTTCAATTCATATGGCTTATACCGGACCTGTATGTACTCTAGTAGCTGACTGTGTTGCCGTCAGTTGCCGTCACATATTCATTAGAGACATACGTTTCATTAAACACATCGTGTTACGTATTCGTTGACATTAGTAGATAGAAATGTTAAGCGACGTCTAGTATTAGGCATTCCAACGACCTGTCAAACAATAGGTGCCAGTGGGAAATTGTTGTATATTTAAGGGCGTAGCGACATAGTCTTGCAACTTGGACGCTATTTTTATTCGAAGTAGTACTCGCCAAGCCTGCCAATTTATGAAGAAATGTATAGGTGGGTTTTTTAAATATTATTTTTATTGTGTTTGACATAAAATATTTAAATATAATCCATTATTCATGATTTTACGTAAAGTAGATAGAATACACCATATGTCGCTACCCTTAGATATACCAAACCTGCCCACTGGTAATTCATTTGTTTGGAATGCCAAATTACTTACGATCACATTATGTTGCGAATTGATTGTTTTTGAAAATCATCCTTTTCGATTTTTGAACAGTAGGACTAAAAAAGGTCTGTGAGTAGGACAAGATTGAGATGGAAAGTCAGAATTAGATGCGCACTGGCAAATCTAAAAATGGCAGGAGTTATCTTAGTTAATAGGTGAACTTCGATGCTATTGTTTTTGTGATACATTTGTGTTCAAATGTGCAGTGTTGCCAAATTGCTCTATTTTGAAATTTTGCCGGTACGCATCTAATTCTGACTTGCCATCTCAATCTTATCGTACTGTAATCGATTCATTTCTACCTTATATTTCGGATGAAAATCGACAGTGTTGTCAAATTATTAACTAAGAACGGTCGATGATTTGGGAACGTTTCTCCCATCAGTTTTCCTGTTTTAACAGGAGATCTCCTGTTTTCACTCTTAATCTCCTGTTTTACTGTTTTCACTATGAAATCTACTGTTTTTA